AATTCTGTGGAAAGAAAGACTCAAATATCTTGTAAGAAAAGGGGATTTGGTGTTCACAGCATACGGAAATGAGGACAAAATTGAGTGAATTCCTCCTAACATAAATCTTATCCGTATGAAAGATTCTTCCCGTAGACTCGGAGGGTTTAATAAGCTCTGGGGGGAATGGGGGAGAGGGCGAGGCGGGGGGGAGGGGTGGGGGGGGGGGGTTGTTCACCATTCCTGTCTTCAGCAAGCTCACTGGGCTGAGGATGGCAGAGGAAGTAAACAGGGACGAGATGAGTCTTTTCTGAAGGCCGGGTGAAGACTGAAGGGAGGATGATATCAGTATAAGTATAATATCATACATATATATCTATATCTATATAGATATAGATATATGTATAGATATAGATATATAGATATAGATATATATACTGCATATATAATATCAGCAGTGTAATACTGCTGGCTGGGATTGTCAATGGATCCCAGCAGATCAGCTGAGACATTCTAGTCCAGGTGTCACTCAACTACTACACCTTCTTGTCTTCTCATTCAACAATCAGCAGCAGCATAATGAAAATGTGTCCCGTAAGGGAGTTCATTCAAACAACGCCATATTGTTACAATCCCACGTGGGCCGCGTCTTTTAATTACAGCATTGTTTTGAAAATGTGCGTTTTGTCATTTTGCCTGTTTTCCGTGATGAACTAATTTTCCCCTGCCCCTTTTCCCAGCTATGATGAATATTTATCCCGCTGCAGTGCAGTGTGTTACAGCGCTGAGCTGCGAGGGTCATTGATGAGCTGTGGGTCTGAGGATGCTCAAATCACACAGCAATCAGGCGTCGTCGCTCCTCTGGCCGGGAAATCACAGCAGGATTAAACACCCAGGTACATCCTGCCTCCTTCTTTTTCAAACAGGACGTGAAATTATCCGACCATTAAGTGGGTAAAGCCATCGTTGTTTGACGTTTTACATACTGATGGGATGCATTGGGATGTTTTCTATAAACTCTGCTCAAGGGACGGAAAGTCTAATCCAACACAGAGGCGTGCGGGGGCATCCGGCTGGTGACGGGACGGTGGAGCCACAGCCAGAGAATTCAGATGGGAGTGGGATTGAGCAAGCCTTTAAACGTGTCTTGAGGGCTGGATAGCGGCGGTGATTATCCAAAGAATCATGACAGGAATCCAATGGCAGGCTTTTGTCCTCTGAAATTTCCCTCCTCCCTCAAGGATCCTTCTGTTTTCCCCTCACTTTCCATCGCTTCCTTTCTTCTCTATCCCTCTGCTGCTCTGTGGGGAACGAGTTAAAAGCATAATACTGGGAGCACTTGAGTGCTCAGGATACCTCTTGAATGCTAAACAGTCTTATCAAATAGCACAATGCAGCCCAGGATCTTAAGTACTGATGGGCAGTGAGGAGCAGAGCTGTCATCTGACAAGTCTGCATACTTTATGTATGTGTGTATGCGTGGTACAATGGATCTGAATCTACAGGCTTCAAAACATCCACATCATTAGCGAGTTGAGTTTCCTGTGAGATGCAGAGAACCAGAAACATTTGTGACATTAACACAGTTAAGTAACTATTCTGAGAAATGTTGCTTTTAAGCTCAATGAGCTAAAAAAAAAGCTTTCAGTAATGCAGTATCTCCCCTTTGTGGTTCTCTGGCTCCAAATGTAACTGTGATTGAGTGTGATGGCTTTCACATCAAATAATTGAAGATTGTAAACTGGCTTATTGACAACAAACGTGGAAGCTAACTGCCGTCCTAAAATGGATCACAATAAACAAGTGTTGGACCAATAATTAGTTCAAAAGAAAATCTAAATGAGAGGTGGATTTATTTTTCTGCTTCGCTATATAAAGGTCACAAACGTGTCAAACATCTCGTCCGATAATTACACCAAAAACCTGTTTTAATTCAATTCATTTGTCTATTGTATTTGAAACACTTAACAAATATCGGATGCAAGTCTGAAGTAAGAATCCAGGCCATAAGAACCTTTTTACACAGAACTATATGCATTGTTCATCAATTTTCCTATTTTCTAATACTTTTCTTGGATAAAATTCATTAATCGATAATAATGGATGGAGTCATCATTTTCTCCCTGTGAGTTGAAGTGTAGTTCACGTCTTGTTAACTGGGTGTGGGATAGAAATCTGACCTGTTGATCACGCTGCGTGAAATCTACTATTAACACACCTACTTGGCATTCAGGGCACAGACAGCAGAAAGCTTTCACATTACAGCGCCTCTCACACACACACACACACACACACACACACACACACACACACTCACTCCCACATCCACAGACAAAACATTTCATCTGTATAACACTCCGCCTACACTGCTCCTTTTTGGGCTAAAATGAGCAGCACAGTGCGGCTCCGGGACGACGGCTTATGCAGGAGGATAGCGTGAGTGTGTGTGCGTGTGTGCGTGTGCGTGCTGACAAAACCTTTCTCGTGCTCCAACTCTGTTGTAATTCCACATTACAGTCTTTTCAGTGAGCGATGCAAAATAACAGCAAAGTTCAGACAGGAAACAGAAAACAGAGCAGAAATAACTTTCTCGCACAAACACACACCCTCACACACACACACACACACACACATGCAAACACACAGCATTGTAAGAGATCCTGGGTATAAAGATTTAATGTAACTGTAGGAGATGTCGTCTGGTGGTTCTTAAATTTTTAAATGTTGCTATTTCTTACTGCCACCGTGGGAAGAGACAGTTTCCTGTGGTAATCCCTTTGTAAGTGGTCGTCCTGCTCTTTGGCAACCACAATTTCCCTGAAGCATAAATACAAAAACTGTCCGTATGGTGTAAGCTTTGCATAACCCAATAATGTGCAGAGATACGGGAGCTGTAAAAGTGCCAAAAACTGAGGGTGATGAATGAGCAATAGCAAAAGACAGAAAGAAACTCACCTCACCAATAATACATTTTTTTGTGGAAAAGGATTTGTAAAATATTGCAAGGACAACGTAAAGGGTGTTGTTCCTTGTGCTGTGGGCATCGGGCCACCCGTTAAAAGATGCACACAGAGCATCGAGGGAATGAGGCTCCTTGGTAGAAGACTGCATGACGGAGGATGCACCTTGACTTGGGGTTTAATTTAATATGTGACATATATTTTATCTGACAGCTACTGCCCACTCACACTCAACTGCTCTCCCTCGCTCTCCCTCCCTCACACTTATTTTCTCTCTCTTTGCTCTGTCACTATCTGAAAGATAACCACACTTTTACAAAACTTGATGTTCATCCCCCCTGAGCTTCAATCTGGGGCGAGTATACATAAATAAAGACCCATCAAGAAGTTCAAAGGAAACCATAAAAACGGGCTGCGTCTGGCGGTAAAGCTTAACCATAACCAAGCCCTCGGCTTTGTGCGTTACAGGATGTTTGCGGCGCTCTGTGTGCCAGCAGGCCCGCGCAGCCGCTGAAAAGTACAACTAGGAATTCCAGTTGGATGATTTGCATGTGTGACAGTCCGCGGTGCATTCGTCCGGGTCGGGGGAAACGCCTACGCTGTTTCCACAATTCATCACTTACTGTAGTGTCAGTATAGATAATGTATTCAGAACCAAATGAAACAAGACAATAGGCTTTCACTGGACAATCTATGCCACTTATTGTTAGGCTATTGACTACGTATCAGAGGGCAACTATTACTGCACCACACACTACATTTAACAGTTAGCTTATAGAATCTACTTATAGAAATGATGCATTCTGATTGACTAAAGGCTCCGCATACCCAGTGCTGCTGAATAGACCAGCTCCTCTGGGATCCGCAAAAGCTTTACTATACTTACAAGAATGATGAAGTTGTTACGTACGTCCTGCTAACAGTTTTTACACTTAATCTCAACCAGCTGTATTGGAACAGTTCATTATTTTTAGTACCAACTACTTACTTCTGGTGGAGTATTTTTTTTACATTTGCATTGTGGTATTGTTACTGTACTTTAGCAAAGAACCTAGACATTTAAAACGCACAGTATTTTCTGTCAATAGCTGCCACAAGAGCTACTTTTATATAAAACACAGGAGCAAGAGCAAACGTTGCCCGACACAATGCAGACAAAAGCAACACAGCAATTGTTCCTTTTGGTGATGACAGGTTTTCTGGCGTAGTCCTGTCTCAGTCCTCGTGGGCTTATGAATACATCCCCAAAAAACCTTCCACTAATTCAACTTGCATTGTCACTGTGCTCAAAGTAATCAAGTGGTCTCTCAGACCGCTGAGGAACATTTGCATATTTTAGAGCTGGACTGGAGTTGTTTCGTTGCAGTCGGAGTGGTTGATGGGAAAGGCTTGAGCACAGACAGTCATAGATCAATTAGATGCTCTTAATGCTGTGATTAGAGGGGGTTACGACCGCGCACCAGAACAGATTTCTGTCACTGGTTCCCGTCACTGGCTGTAACGTAGCGGTTACACATCATGCACAAGCCGGATGTAACAACATCCAAAACGCGTGTCCATTAACATGAACACGAGTCAGATATTTGAACCTTGAGTCCATGCACAGAGCATGCATCTTTGTCCAGCTGCAGCATGTCAGTGCTTTTCAATAAACGTAATTTATGAGCGGCAGGATACGCAGAAGAACGAGTACACAAGGGGGGAGAACAATAGTGCTGCTGTTCACAGAGAGATAATGGGTGAAGGTGTAGGCCTGTGCAGACGGAGCTGGTACGAGTGGAGTCAGTCAGTACTTTCATGCCATCTAGTGGTCATCACAGAAGTATTGATCACAGTCACCTACATTGTTTTCTGAACAAGGGAAGCTGCTTGATAGAAGGAAGATTAACAGGACAATGCACGCTAACCACGTATTTTTCTTTTTGTGGATTGTTCTTCAAATTGTCCACATATTGATATGTTAGACACATGCTGTTTTTAATGGCATTGATCGAAGCTCCACTAAACGTCCCTCTGGCTGGCTTTGTACCCGCAATGTGTCAATAGACTCTGGGCCTTCTGTAGCTTTCATCTTTCTTTATTGAACAAGACATATATAAAAGAGTATCTACAATTCTTCCAAAGCATCGTTCAGTGTGTGCAGACACCCGTTCATCTGTTGCTCAATACCCATTCAAATTTATACAACCGAAGATTTATGAGATCAACACAACAAGCATATAGCAAAAGTGACATAGAGAAAAATAATAACTTCTAGTATAAACCAACATTTCTGTATCTAAAAATAAACAAAGGGCAATAAAAAGGATAAAATCTATACAGTAGCTCAGTATGTGTCTTGTACAAATAACACTTGTATATAGGTGGCGTAAGAGAGCTAAAACATGTGATACTGCAAACCTCAGATCAACTGGAAAGACAATCTAAGAAAACCTGTGATAACATTTGAAAGAGCTGAGTTAAACCCATATTTACAGACCTGTGAGTTTGTAGTATTGACTGCCTTTCAAACTATTAACCCATAAAAGCCAGAGCTTAGAAAGCATCGCGTTTTTTTTAAAATCTGTTTAACTCAGTTTTAGCTTAATGTCTGAAGATCTGTCCGTCCCAGAAAGCAGTGAGCCGTCCAAGCGTCTGCGGGTGGTTTGTCAACGTCAACGTGATCAGATCATGAAGGAGTGAGTTTGTTTGTAATGCTTGATCTGCAGAGAGAGGAGACACGTACATCCAATCAGTTCCTACAATTATCTAGGGACCGTTATCGTCAACCCAACAGAATTTGAACAAGACGAGCCCCAGCACAATAATGATCACTCACATTGCGGATGGGAGGGGGGGGAGGAGGGTTGTAGGACATGGCACTGAAACACAAAGGGAGGCACTTCAGTCGGAGCTCATTAGCAGCGAATAACACGCATCTTCAGGCAAAGCAAGAATACAAATGACAAGTGAAACCGTTACCTTTTTGTCTTCTTGTCTTCTGTTCGGGGAAACAACAAAGAACAAAGGGTGACATTAATGATCACGTACATACTTGCCAAAGAAGCGTCACGTGACTCCTAATCGGTTGTCAGTGATGGATTGTATTAATTACATTTAAGCAAGCATGCATTAAGGCTGTTGTTTCTGTCCACTTGGACAACGTAAGTCCAGTAATCACTCTCTTGCAGCCCTCCGGAGGGAAATATCTGTCTAGTTAGCAGCTGAATGTTGCGCTACGTCATCATCGAGGCTTTTTTTGGTATTCGTACTTTATCTTAACTTTTAATAAAGGGACTGATCTAAATACAGTCTGAACTTGAAGCTGCACTTGTCTCCTAGACTGGCCCCCTTAAGGGGCCCTGTTCCCCATGTTGTTTGCAACCTGCACAGAGACAGCACTCATTCAAGCCATTCTTTGACTTGATTATAGTTATATATTTTCACGATGCACATGATCTCCTTGCTGTGACAAAAGCCTGGCAGTTACTTAACAAAAAATATATACTGTGTTACCTCAAAAACATAAAACAAATGATTAATTGTTGTTGTTGCAGCTTCAGTCCAACAAAGACAGAAGATAAAACCTAGAAATACCAACCTCATAAGGGACTAAAAAGGGAATATTTAATCCAACTGTGGTGGATTTTGCCCATCACCTCATGTTTCATAAATGTCTCAAATGTAAAAGCAATGATTACCTCTTTCACACACGCAAACAAGCCGCCTCATATACAGTCTATTAAACATCCGTCACACTACTCACTCCTGCAGCAGCCTCGGTGTCGGCACACACACACGCAGATGCAACAGAAAAGGACGAGCGCCAGAATGCCTGCAGCACCTGTGATCAAATACGTCATGTTCCAAGGATCTAGAAGGAGAAGAGAGAGAGAGGGAAGTTCATCAGCCTTTGATGAGAGCAGCCAAACACGTAAACGTGAAAGAGGGAACACCACATACATTCAATGACTTTCAGTTGTTGGGACACACAGCTCTTGGGCGCCCCGGCGCTGTTGGAAGACTCACAGCGGTACATCCCTGCGTCTGTCTTGGACACGCTCTTAAACTTCTGCTCCACACAAACACAAGAGGAGAGCGTATCAAATAACACAGTCTGGACCCCTCGGTGCACTGAGCGCGTGTAATTTCGAGTGAACTCACCAGCGTGCCCTTGTTAGTGTCAACGCTGTACGGAGAATCTGCGGTGGCCGTCAGGGCCTTGTTGTCTTTGTACCAGCGGTAGGTGGCGGGCGGCACGCTGAGTTTGTCCTTACAGAGAAGCTCCAGGCCCGAGCCCACAAACACAGAGCTCGGCACCTCACAGGACGGGACGTGAGGAGGCACTGAGGAGGCACAGGGGGGTACAAATCCCAGATGTACATTTCTGTCTACCTTCAAACAAGGGGTTTAATGATTCACTCGCTCTATCAGTTGACAAGTTTTTGTCAGTATGTTTTACCATTTATCTTGTGAAATTAGATTTTTCATTTTGATGCCAATTTGTAGTGTGATATTTGTGATATTTTTCCCTGAAGAGCAGAAACTGTAAAGTAACCACATGGGAAAGCTCGTTTTCGGCTAATCTAGCAAACGATCTTCCCTCACCGTGACACTGAAATGCAGAAAACGCTAAACTAAGTACCAGTACCAGTACCGGCTCGCATTATGGTACGTATGCAGCACGTAACCAGCTGTAACTGAGAGCATCAATCTAGTCTCTTGTCCCGCTTAATATGTGTCAGAGATCATTTTGAGTATTTCATCAAAAACATTTTTCTTCTTTTCCTGTTCCATTCACGTCTTGTTCAATTGACTGTCATTTGTCAAACACAAGATACAGTCACCACGACATGTGCAGGAAGCACGTGTTCCCTTCCTACCGAGCACATCGAGGGTCACGATGGCTTCCCCGAGGTTGACGTGGTCCTCGCCAGCAGTCACCTCACAGCGGTACTCCCCAGAGTCTTTCTGGGTAACAGAGTGTATTGTCAGCGTCGCTCCTTCCATCTCCGCCCGTCCTGCGTAGGAGCCTGTGGTGGGAGGTGATGGAGGATGGAGAAAAGCGTAACTAATGGTTTAAAAGAAAAGATAAATCAAAGGGTAATAATAGGAGGAAGGTGGGAGGAAAGCAGCAAAACATCAGCGATTTCAGCTCAGAGAATCAAATACATTTGGGCGGTAACGGTCTTTCACTGACCAGTGAACTTGTGATTAAAGTACACAAATGTCACGCCCTTTCCTTTCTTCTTCCACTCGATTCGAGGGTTCGGATCTTTCTCTGTCCGGAACTCACAGGCGAGCACAGCATCTGAGGACAGACAGCGAAGCAGGAACGCTGCTTTGTGAGCACAGCAGCAATCGTTTTGTATTAAGCATGTGTATTGTATTGTTCTGTTTTTCCGACTTTATTTTCCCTTAGTTAATATTCCAAATTATTCAAAAACATAGAATGTATCTGGTATTCTCATTTAAGATGGACTAAATAAATCATCTCACCCACTGTCTCATCTTTGATGTGAAATTATTCCTAAATGTGGCCATTACTTAATATCAACACCACTCAAGTCCCACTCATCTGATATTACAATTCGGACACCAAAACATAATGCAAACTTTTCTTTTGTTGTTATTACTATTTTTATTTCTACCAACTGGATGGAAAAACCCACTGGAAAATATGGTGAATTTGATAAAACAAAGACTTCAAGTTGGAAAAATATTCCAGACACATTATACAATGTTGTTCTGTAGCGTTGTGCTCAGTTGAGGTTTTGAAGGATGAACGGATGATGCTGCACAGTCTCACCTGTGTGCTCGTGGACCTCCACTTTGGGTTTACTGCTGCTCACCGTCACCGACACGGAGACCGGACCTGCAGGGGACAGCGCACCAACCAGTGGTCGTGAGTTGTTAGATGGTTTTACCGTCTTTTAGATACAGCATGTGTTGGAGCTTTTTGGACTCCAGTGCATCAGAAACATGAAGGTGTAAACAGGATAAAGACTCCAGCAGAATAAACATCAGTCCGCACAAAGCAGCCTTGTATTCATATAACAGTTGTAACAATTCACAGTGCATATCGGCTCTCTTTTAGTGTGGATGCACACATGAACCCTCAGACACGTATGTGTTTAGATTCATCCTGCTGGTACCAGGAGCGGTGGTGTGCAGGAATGTGGGTGATGGATGATTGTCTGACAAGAACCTTACACCGACCTGATAACCTCTGTCCCACCAGCACACACACACACACACACACACACACACACACACACACACACACACATTAAGTTCCCCCACAAAAATGCATAGAAGTACAAACATGCTGAAAATGACAATAATTGTTCAAATCCAGCGGCGGTAGTCAGCTTGTATTCCTTGATGATGGTTTTCTATGGCAACAAGTTTCCACACAAGCTTTACCAAAATATAAATGAATATTAGTATATTTCAATTGATTAAATGTGTGTTTTTTTTGTATAGCAAACATAAAATGCAATAAACCCAGTGCTGCTCCCTGTGAAGGACACAACTACAAAACATGACAGTTACATTGGAGACTCTTTTATTTGGGAAAAATCAAACCATGCGTCTGTTTTGGCATTATGAGGTGAACACATGGTGACGGTGAGTGTGTGTGTGTGTGTGTGTGTGTGTGTGTGTGTGTGTGTGTGTTTGCCACACGCGCACACATCTTTTGCAGACAGAGCAGGTCTTTGTGACAGTAACCCTACCCTCCCCAGCTGGCTCGATAACACACACCCAGATATCTGCACAACACACTTGTGAGGCCCCACGGTGATTGAACCTTTAACCCGACCCTCAGTCTAACCGAGACCTTTAACCTCTGAGCTGAATCGTTTTGCAGTGAACTGATGTTGACCTACAGCATACCTATGGGTCATGTTGAAGACATGATGTCCATATTGTCATTGATGTTATACATGTAATTCTGAAATGTCAAATGACATGAATGTGCACTGTTTAAAACCCTTATACCCTTTTTAATGCAGTACTAGCGATCAAAACACCATGACATTAGTATTTAAGAAGAAAAGGCCTTTCTTCGCCAGCCTTGTCCCAGCTGAGGATATCTGAATCTTTTAATCGCTTTGAGGAAATTTGGACCTCATTAGTAAAGTCAAGAAAGATCAAAACACACGTCAAAGCTGCAATTATCAACGTAAAGCATGTTGTTTGGACAGCAGACTCCTGCCCCTGAGAAATCCCACCGCAACTTCAAATGCATTTCTCCAGATAGCGAGTTGTCGTTTTCATCTGAGTCAGCGACAGGGTCAGCCGGGGGCCATCGTCAAACTGAAAGGTCGGGATCTGAGGCTCCTCCACAGGGCCGGGAGACGCGTTTCATCACCCTGTGGATCTTGAGTTTGATGTAAACAGGGAGCCCAACGCTGCCACTCCCTGCACATTGTCACCCTCTGATGCAGGCCGGGAACACACCACAGGTCTCACGTGCACTAATTCAATCTTACAAATTAAGGATAATAAAAACATAGCAATCAGCCTGCTTCATGTTGAAGTCATTAGGAGTTCTAATCATCTAGTTAATTGGTTGCACGAAGCCAAAAATGCATTGCTTAGAGAAAAAAAATCTGTTATAAAAAAATGATTCTTCAATTAAATTGTTGGCAAATCGCATAATTTTTCAGTATTTCTGATTCATTGTTCCAAATATTTAGGAAGAAATGTAGTGCAGATAAATGACAGAGGGTTATTCATCTTTTGATTTACACCCTAAAAAAGTAAAACAAGAGCAAAGTCAAAATGTCTTCTTTTTGTTAAAGTGAAACATTAGGCTGGACCCCCCACATCACTCCTTCGGTATCGGAAACACATTATTATTATATTATATTATTTTTAATGCACATCTTTAGAAAGGTTTATCATTTTAAGAGTTTCCTGTTGATAACACACAACGCCTGTGGGAATATAGACAAGCAGAATTCTAAAACGTGCCTATTAACACTTGCCCTGTTGCACAACTTAATGTACTTCTTCCTCTAAAAAACCTCTATCGATATCCCACATCTACAAGCCCATCAGCTTCTTCTTGTGCAATAAACCACTTCTCATTGTTTAACAAATAGAAATAAACTCACTGTGCATCAAAGCGAAGAGAAGAGGCAGCGCCAATAACTTCATGGTGTCCATGTCTGGTCCGTCCTGCTGGTTCGCATGTGTCTGTCCCGTGTGGACGTGAGTTTTACTCCAAACTCTCAGCAGCCTCCCCAAGTTGCATCTGCAGCAGGCGCGTGCGCTCTGGCGTCTCCTGGACAACTGTCGTGGAGCGCGCACAGGAGTGCAGAGCTGCTGCTGCTGCTGCCCTCCGACGCTCAGGGAGGCCAGCAGCGTGTCAGCAGGCAGTCCGTTAAGTCTGAGGGTGAAATCATGCCACATTACCACTAGGTTTGTTTTTTTCTCAATAAACAGGATGCTTGAAGCTTGAAGCTGGAGACGTGAGCCATTGGGAGTGAGACATTGCTTGATTGTCTGAGTCACCACGTGCCTTGAAAGCGTAAACCAATGAAAATATATCATCACTATTATGTGCAAACTAAATCATTTAAACTAAACTTGCATGGAAGAAAGTTTTTAAAAAGTGGCATTGAGCTCTTGAGGTATCTGAAGAACAATTCCTCACAAGTACCAAGAAAAAAATCATTGTTCATTTAGAAGAACAAATAAGTATATAAATGTTTTTCTCAAGACGAAAAGAAATGTGCTTAGTTTTCTCAACTGCCTCGTTGGTGACATAATTTCTTAAAAACAAGTAATCCTCAGTGTAATTGCATAAAGACAAATATCCCCATGGTTAGAGCTGTGGGTGTAATAGGAGGTGCAGAGACGGGACAGCTGCTGGCTGAGCTACTGTGTCCTTGGCTATTAGGTTTCTCTCCACCACCGGCCACACAACAGCTCATTGTCGCTCATTCCCGTTAATGTGCACACATGCCTACACTTGTGGCCATATGTGCACACAAAGACACACACAGGGGCCATCCATGCAGACACGTGTGCATACGCGTACGAGAGGGATACAAAGTCGCCAAATGGCCACTGCGACACCTGTTGACAATCAGTGATCCCAGCTGCTCTGCTGAGAGCCGGACACACTGCTGTCGTGGTGCACACACACACACATCCGTGACAACACACTGTTCCCTTCAAACAAACATGGTTCACACGTGCAGTAGCAGTCAAAGGTTTGGACACGTTTTCTCATTCAATTCAATGAGAAAACGTGTCCCAACGTTTGCCTGGTTCTGCACACGTTTCTTCCAGATAGTGAAGCTCGTATGAACGAAGGCGGGACTTTAAGTGCGGTGGGATTGACGGTGACACAACCAGTGTGTGTCCTTCAACAGCTGTCCCACTCACACTCGACGGCACAAAGTTCAACAAAACACCGTGAACCTGGATTGATTTCATTTTAACATAAACATCTCTCTTTAAGGTCTGGAGAACCAAGATGTTTTACTAATCGTAAACAAGTTGAGTTATAACTCAACATGTTTACGATTAGTAAAACATCTATCTACACATATATGTGTTTTATTTCAATTCCCAGTGTTCACCCTTTACTACGGTTTCCAGGTTGAATGACATGTTTCCTCAAAACTGTGTGAAAGCAGCATGAGACAGAACGACATTGCTGAATCAGCAATGATGCTCCATGAAAGTATGTCCCAATAAATATATGTCGAATGCAATATTGCAAAAACACCAGGGTGCAGGGGGGGGGGCCCTGACCCACAATCCTCTGCGCAGCGCACACATGAGCACAAGAGTCAAAGTTCAAGGTGGGATGTTTTTATAATGAAGTAGTACGTTGGAATTAAACTGCAGTATGTACTTTGTAGGCAGCTTCAGTATGTTCAGCAGGTAAAAGATAGAAAATGAGATCTGGAACGCAATCAAAGATCAAACTTAGGAAGAAATACAAGAAATGTAATGATGGAAAACTTCACAATAAGTAATTTTCGTACTGTACTTTACAACCGAGTGAAGAAACAACAGAATTTAAGCAGGAGGGACAGCTAGTTTAAATCAACGCACAATAAATATCTTTATAATTGTAATTGTTTGTTCAATATTCCCGGAAAACACAACAACAACATGAGGCCCGGCGACGGCTGACACAAATCTAAAAAAATTAAAGGTATTTTTTTCAGTTTCTCTGGGCCGGTTCGCTTCCTCCTGATAACAGTCTCACCCTTTGTTATTTTATTAAAAAAGAAAACACCAGTTCTTAAGGAGTTCAATGACAAACACGACAACGGGAAATTTATAAGATCACTGAATTACAGTTAATGGTCAAAGTCTAATCCAAGAGGAAGCTCGGTGTGAGAATTGCACGTCAATTATTTAAGTTTTGTTGCTCGTTTGTGAGCAAAATAGTTTGTTTTGTTAGTCATATTTTATGTTGTGTTTTTTATTTAATATTGTGTCTGAAAACAAACTTCTTACTTACCTATTTTCAGTTTAAGAATCAATAAACTACTTTCTACTTCCTTAATTCTGCATTTCAAGAGGAAGCAAAAGAGAAAAATAAGAGCTTTTGATTAGATAAGGTAACTGTTGTTTATGACTTACAGACAGAAGTGGAATAAAAGGGGCAGGACTGATAGTCTCAATAAAGATCAACCAAACCCATAAATATCAGACGCAAAGAGAAGCAAGTGAAATCTCCGTCTTCTATCCTAAATACAGATTCATTCAAACAGATGAATATGAAGACGCTGGCGTTATTCTCACTCAGCCTGGCAGGTACGACATTTCGTTACAGCATTCCTCCACAAACGTTTACGTTTTTGCAATTCTGAGTTTGAGATCGGTCAAAGAAGACTCTACGTTTAAAGTTAAAATGCATTTACATGTGCTTTAGTAGGTAGGTTTGGTAACCTCCATGTAGAGAGTGAAGTTATCACCAACAGCGTGTTCATTTCATCAAAACAAGTACGAATCATTCTTATTGTTGTTTATTAAACTAGAGGATTGTAGCAACTACTAAACTTGAAAATCACCATATGAAAACACAACCTGACCTAACATGACTCAGCAGTTTCCTGTTTTACCGTCTGCATCCAAAGTCACATTTTCTAATAATTCCTACAATGGCGGCAGGTAAGGCAATCTGCATCATCTCACCAGCATTGGTATCTGTTATTTGGTCCCTGCAGTGGCTCTGGGAATGTCACCACTTGCTCCTGGTGTGGAACAAAGCCCCGAGTTGAGTCCTGTGCTGGGAGACCTGCTTCCTGTGCAGGGTCATGTGGTGGTGGAGGAACCTGCGCCACAAGTCAGGCCAGGATCCGAGGAGAAGAAGGAAGAATTGTCTCCGAAGCACAGTGGGGAAGTACTAGAGATCCGGGAAAAGCCACAAGTTGGCGAGGAGCCAGGCGGCGAAGTAAGCGCAGAGATTAAGAAAGAACCAGATGTCGAAGCGGGGCCAGATGTGAAGGAGGATCTAGAGGCTGAGGTGGAGCCAGAAGTTCATCTGAATCCAGAGGTTATGGTTAAAGTAAACGCCGATGCAGAGCCGGAGGTTGAGATGGCGCTGATTGACCTTGAAGGGAAGCTTGAAACGGGCCAGGATTTAGAAGAGAGGCACATTGACATGGAGGGAAAATATGGAATGGGTGAGCCAATCATGGAGCTGGAACCACTGGAGGAAGACAGCATGCAGTTTTCACAAGTGGAAAACCTTTTGATGGCAGCGTTTCAGAATCACAATTCGGTCAGTCTCCCTCTCGCAAATAGGAGTGATATTGATTACGAAGAACCAATCATGGAGCTGGAGCCTGAAGAGGTCGGTCAGCAGGTCATGCCACAGGCTAGTATCGTGGAAGAAGGGGAGAAGCGGTCTTCAGTGGGTCTCCCAGAAATGGAAGGTCACAATAGTGTGGCATTGAGAAAACAGCCATTGAGGCAGGGAGTGAAAAACCCAGAAGAAACAAGACCATCACCAAATCAAGACAATGAAGGTAAAGACATAAACACAGCGAGGAAAGAGGGAATAAATGCAACAAGGACGAAATGTTGTTCTTTAGGTACACTGGAGTTTTGTTTAAGATTTGGAAAATAAAAGTGAACCTATCCTTTAATTTGAATCCAACCTGTCATTGCTGTAATTTCACATCTGACCACAGGGAAGAGCCATTGTCCTGGTGTGCTGCTCCACGGGACGTGTTACCAGTTCTTCACGGGGCCAAAGACGGCCTCGGATGCAGAGGTATTAACACTGTGTGTGCATCATAGATTCACCAGGAAACCTTTATGAAATTAAACTTATTAAGCGACACACAGCACGGTCCATAATCTCACTCTGTCGAATCCCTTTCGTTGCAGTTCTTCTGCCAGGAGCATTTCGCCGCGGGACACCTGGCCTCCATCACCAGCCAACGCATCCACAGAGAGGTGATGAACATGATGCTGCAGCAAAACGGATTCCTCACTCGCACCTGGATCGGAGGATTACGATATTTAAAGGTGTGTGTGTGTAATGAGTCAGATAGTAACGGGTCATGATGCTCATGATGTATTCCCCACCTTCACTAATCACATAATCAAAAGCGGTTTATTTCATTGCTGTGTTTGTATGTGGGAAATAAATTGAATTAACAAGCCCCTCATGTGATTATCCATCAATTAACCACCTGCTGTCTGTCAGACCGGCCGCTTTATCTGGTTGGACGGATCCCACTGGAGCTACGCTGACTGGCTGTGGGGGGAGCCCAATAACACGTCGAATCTTGAGGACTGTGTGGAAGTGCTGCCACGAGGTGAGAGTCACAATGCTGTAGCTGAACTGGAGGGAGAAAAATACTTTTATGTTACACTAAAGAAGAATGTCAACCGATGTGTCTGACTTTCGGATCTGCTTATTGTTTCAGGGAAGTTCAATGACTTCACATGCTGGGAAGCTCAGCCATTTATCTGCTCCTACCCCTTTCAGTGAGTTGGCTGCTCATTTGTGCAATTTGATGCATGATTGGCTGAAGGAATTAAACATAAAACATTTTATTCAATTCAACGGGAAGATCAGAACAACTATATATCCTGTAAATAAAAAATTACTTCTATTTATTCATGACCTTGTTGTGGTTATATCCCTAAAAAAGCAAGCCATAATTTCAATGTGTCCTTTGTACCTGTTGGCTTCCGTAAACGATCCATCCTTGTGGTGCCGTGCTAAGCCGATAAAAGCTGCTCACAATGAGATTTCAGGTTCACTGTCTGCAGCATTGCTGTCATTCTGTCAGAGTTGCATCTGGACTCACTGGATTCCAACCCTGGCCTTCCCTCTATAAAGTACAGCAGCTTAGCGCCCATTAACTGATATGCACACACTCGCGCTGCACATGCGGCTGATGTAAATCCTGCAGGGGCTCACATGTTGCAGTGTGTGACTCTGACTCATTTTCCACCGGCCACATCACCTTTTTCCTGAGCTTTGCAAGTGCAGGTGAGGATTACCGCCTCCAAAGCGATGACTGGCAGCTCCTCTTCCTGTTTTAATACCTCACTGCCCCTCCGGCTGTATAGATACAACCACCACCACACACACTCATTTGCTTATAGTGAAAATGTTACAATCCGTCATTGCATTAGTTGGCACGTGTGAGCGTTGCAGATTCTCCATTGTTCCACTACCTGGAAAAGGGTCTTCTGCTGGATTTAAGAGATCACCGTTTACGTCAATAAAACGTGAGCCATTTTGGCAAAAAAAGAACATCTGTGAATTCTACCATTCAGCTATAGTGATTGATGCATGGAGTAGCTGCCGTTGGATTTATGGCGTTGACATCGTAGCTCTCTGGAAATCCCAGAATACCTCGACAGCCTATTGTAGTGTTGCTGTTTAGAAGTAAGTGACTCAGTGGTGCTGCTCGCCATCTGTCAGTTCAAGTCATTTTTGAGCTTCTCCACCAGCTGCCCGCTGCCCTGTTTTGGTGCGAGTGAGTGTTCACACACACAGGCGGTGGATCCTCCCGACTGAGCCGAATGCCACTCTGTGCCACTTTGTGCCGCAGGCTGGACTGGAGTCAGGCTTTTAGTGCAGATATGAACAGTAGTACTAATCTGTATGTTTTGATGCATGCAAAAATAACAAACAACAAAGTGTGTGGTCAGAAAAAATACTTTTTGCTCATATCAAAGGTGCGAATGTAAAAGTCATATAGTTGTCTTTTAGGTTGAAGTTTTAACAACAAATAATGCAGACTTTATAATATGTCTATCTTTTTAATGCATTGCACAACTTTAAGGTATTTTCCTATACATGTTTGCCTGTTTTCCCACTTTTCATTCATTGTGGTTTGAAAAAACTTTCATGATTTGTGAAATTACAATCAAAATAGTGAGGTAAGGCATTAATCATTTTAATCTGACTTACCTTGTGACAATGTTTCTTTCTGCATGTGATGTTCACTGTAACACAATATATTCTGCAATACATCATATACTTATTTATATATATGTATATATATATATGAGAGAGAGAGAGAGAGAGGTATAGATATATACAGTATATATATATATATATACATACAAACACAGACCAATGGATGTTTGGATATGATTAAAAATATATGTCTGGAAGCTTATCAATGTTTGCTAAAGGGGATATTTGAGTCCATGTTCCACTTTAAGTGGCAGCTCAAGTCTGCAAAGACTGTTAAAGAGCAACAAGTATCAAGTTGCAGCATCACAACTCAGAAAAACAGTTTATCCCTCGCATTCATTTCCTCTCCCTACTGTCACTGTTTAATGAAGCAACAACCAAACGGCCCAAAGTAATATTGATATTTCTTTTATTGATTGTTTATGCGGCGCGGAGGAGGCTGCAGTCACGAGGAAGGTTCAAAGTAAACATTAATAACCCAACTCAAAGGGAGTCATATCATCCCAATTATTCCTCAACATAACTGCTTTGAACGGTTGATTGTCTAATTGGAGCAAACTGGAGGAGGTATGATGAAGAAGCTTGCAGGTGGAGCGATGGCACATAGGGATGGAATAATGTTTGGTACAGAGGTGTCTGTGATCCAGGTTTTTCTCACTCTCCCGCTGATTGTTTTATAAACTATGACTATTTCATGTGAAGCCTGGCAGGTGGAAAAACATCCATCCCAAAAAATCTACATACGTACATGTATAAATATATTGGCACGGTGTGAAACTATGCAGTTCTCAAATATTTGCTTGTCCCTGCTGTCTTATATGAAACTATGATTAGTTGAAGATGAGAGGCAATCAAAAGGCATTCAGCATTTGTTGCCAAAGACTTTCAGAGGATACAAAATGCTGGATCTGATTTCAAAGCCTCAAAAGTCTACAGTGAGATGGATAATATACACACTGGCAGTTGTTGTTGGTGTGGTGGGAGGGGGCCGGGATGCTCATCTCTCTGTCACAGAATATAAATCTGCGCCCGAATACCCCCCCGCCCTCGCTCAGGGCTATATGTCACCAGCGACGCTGCGTTTAAGAACACCAGAACAAAGAGAAAAGAGGAGCCACAGGCGATTGCAGCATCCAGGTATGTTTTAGCAACGTAACGCTTTCACTCTGGTGGATGGGAAGTGATTCACTTACGTTCTGATGATAATGATTCTCTGTGGATTACATGCAACTGTGTCCTTTTAGAATGGAGATCCAGCTGAATGTGTTTCTGGGGTCAATAACGGGCCAAAGAGACGGGGGACTAACTAAATCTAGTCTTAGAGTGGACTAAATCTATCCACTCGTAACCCATTCCAACTTATACAGAGCAAAAATTAATTGCAAACACACATATAATTTAATTATGCGCACGAAATATAAAACGTTTTTGTTTTGGGGTAATCCAGATAACTAAAAAGTTAAAAGTCTTGTTAAGTTAAGTTTTTGTTGTTAAGTGAGCTTAAAATGACAGATAGTAAAGCTGTATGTATGTGCGAAATATTGCAGACAATCAACTGTTTTACAACTATTTGTGGCGAAACAGAAAAGACATGTGGGCCTATGGCTTTAGGGGGTCCTTCCACACACCAACGTTCTTACTTTCATAGAGATCAGTAACCAGAAAATCTTGGGCTTATTCAATTAACATTCTTCATAAAAACACTTTTTGCACATTTACTTGCCTCCTAATAATCATTTGAAAAAAATACATACATATTTCTTATAGTGCTTTTGTTTTTTACTATTTTTTTCTATTTCAGACCTGTATGTGAAAACCTAGTTGAAAAATAAACCATATTATGATTTAGGAAATCCAACATGTCCGACAGAAGCATCACGAAAGAAAAGAAGGAGGAGGATGATGAACAAGAGGCTAAACTGCTGGTGGAGCAGAGTCCCACAGATGGAGGTAGTGTTGGATGCAATGTGAATATCTGTGCTCTGCATCACTCGTCTGGGCGTCTGTGCTGCAGAGAAACACATGCAAACAGATGGATTTGTTCTAATGAACAGTCCCATAAATCGGCAGCATTATTCTCTCCTCTGCAGCGTTAACAGACCAGAACGCGATGGCACGAGAGGCTTTGGACAGGAGGAACATCTGGGAGCCGAGTGTCTACTACGCGCTGGGCAGAGAGACTTTTTTAATCGCTGGTCACGACATCAGCATCCGTGAATCCATGGATACGTACGGCGCTCTGATCTGGCCGGGGGTACGCGTCCCGTGCACTTTCTCTCGACTCCTCTGCTGAGGCAAACGTGGTGACGAGAGTTTGTTTTGTAGGCCGTGGCTTTGAGCCGGTTCTTGGAGAACAACCAGCAACAAGTGAGCATGATGGACAAGGCGGTGCTGGAGATCGGGGCCGGGACCGGCTTGCTCTCCACGGTGGCCGGGCTGCTCGGTGAGTCTAAGTGCAGTTTACACAGCGCGTCAAACATTAAACATTCACCGGTACATCTTGACACTGAAATAATAACAGGACACATCAGACTAAAACTAATTATTTATTAAATTAGTGATTTTAGGACATTTTTGTAGAACTTGTTTTTAATGTATCATAGAAAAACATGTGCTGTGTTCAAACAGTGGCACTGTTTGAATGTGGTATTAAATTGTTACTGCATTAATATACGCTGCATATCTTCTGGTTAACTGCTCATACGTCACATTTTTACATTGGTGTTGGTGGAACTCGAGGACACCGGCGGGTCACCAAAACACTGCTTCATTGTCTGAGGAACATGAATATCCACCCACAACAATTTCTTTGCGTCACAAGTACGCCAGCGGGCTGTAGCTGTGAAGCTTTTCCTGTGATTGTCAGACTGACCTCGTGACCCTTTGGTCCGTCTTTCAATCATCCTTATACATAACAAACAGAAGCAGCATTTTATCAGTAAGAGTGACTGCTTCACCCGCCACAACACAGCCGGATTCTACGACAACCTCACGGTGGTGCTGGAGGAAGAGTTGGGGGGATGGAATGTTGATGGAATTCATGCTCAGAGTCAAAAACTAAACACGGAGAAGCAGCGTTCAGTTTTTCTGCTCCACATATCTGGAAAAATCTCCAGGAAAGCTGCAGGTCTGCAGAGTCCCTCAGCTCCTTAAAATCCTGATTAAAGATTTTTTTTTTTGCTGCTACTTTTAATTGACCATTTCTGCAATTTGGAAGACATTCTTAAATTGCAAAAATTTCTTCTATTTTTAGTTTTTACGGCTGTTTTTCGTTTACGTATCACTCCATGTTGTAAACTGTTTGTAAATCTCTTTGTGTTTGGATGTTTTTAATGTTTTTATGTGAATTACCTTGTTGTTGCCTTACCTTGCTCAATCCGCCACAATGGACCAGTCAGCAAAAAAAAAACGTTTTTCCTTAGTCTGTATTTCAACCGCTATTTTCTTTCGCACTCTTTCCCAGGTGCCTGGGTGACAGCGACCGACCTGCCAGACATCCTGCCCAATCTGACTTTCAACCTTCTGCGGAACACCAAGGGCCGGTCCCGCTACGCCCCTCAGGTGGCCGCCCTCACCTGGGGCCAGGACCTGGGGCGAGACTTTCCTTACCCGTCCTTCCGCTACGACTACGTGCTGGCAGCAGATGTGGTCTACCCCCACGGCTGCCTCCAACAGCTGCTGGAAACCATGCGGCACTTTTGCCGAGCGGGCAGCCGAACCACGCTGCTGTGGGCCAACAAGGTGCGCTTCCAGTCGGACTTGAGGTTCACAGAGTGTTTTAGGAGAAGTTTCAACAGCACGCTGGTCCTTGAGCTCCCACAGCAGGAGGTGAGGATCTACAAGGCCACAGCCAAGGAGTGATGGATGGGCTTCAGAAGGGGGGGGGGGGTGCTTTGATTCGAAAGGCTTTGTGTTCAAGTTTTAAAAGGGGAAAATGCAGCAGGTTTTCCTCACTGATTTTATATGTTCTAGAGAAAAAAATTTGATTTGTCCCATGCAGAGAAGTGTTGATCTAGTGAATAATAAACATTTGAAAGCAATAGAGAGCCTGAGAGGCTTATTATTCTGACAGTCCAGAGCCAGCAGCTACTGCAGCACTGCACTGTGAAGGAACAGTCTGATGTTCATTCTATGTACTCACTTCCTTATTGACAGTTAGTTGACATAAATAGACAGCGTCATAAAGAATGCAGGAGTGTTTGACCCTCAATATTTTGTGGGGGACGGCAACCAGAGCCCCCTAATCTTGAAATGCAAATCTACATCCAAACAGCAGACTGAAATGAAGCTCAGATTTTAATTTGAACAAGCTCTTTTATTTGCCAGCACCTTTTCATACAGTTGATTTCTGATTCATTCAACAATGTTTTTTTTTTTAAAGTAAAATGTTTTGTTGTAAACAAAATCTGAGTTGACTCATGACAACAGGACCAAAATAACCTATCTGCTGTGCTTTTTTGTCAGCAATTATGAAACATCTGACAATGCAGCTTTTGGTATTTTAACAGCAGAAGTTCATTAAGCTGCTGATAGTAAAAACTAAGGAGCATAAACTCATAAAGAAAAAAGCTCTTTCTATTAAATGGCATACACTCTACAGAAGCACATGTCCGTCTGTATGTGTGCTTTACGTATTTTCAAGGTGTTTCAATGACTATGATATGCAGCAGGTTGATGACTTTGGCTGCTCGAGGATCGACTCCCTGCGGAGATCGTTTGGGACGCCGCCGCGAGGACCCCAGATGTTGAGCTCTCCATAAATGCCCGTTTCGATCATCTCCTCCTGCCAGGGAATCGCAATGTTGCCCGAGGAAAACTCATCAAAAATGGTCTTGTCGGAGTCGTCCAATCCGACTCCCTTCACTGAGGAGAAAGCCCCGACATCATCCAGGCTCTTGGCGTACACCACTTTAGGGTCGGGGACGAACGGAGGAGGCACAATACCTGGAGGGGCGAGAAACAATGCAAATGTTTAACACAAGCCTCAACACGAAACCAACGTGTAGAACAAAAAACAACACGGTACCTGCATTCAGTTTCCTCCAGTTGATGTCCCTGAAAAATGGGTGAGCTCTGATCTCATCACAGCATCCGTTCTTAAAACTCATCCTCTTATCAACCTCTTTGGCCAGCAGCCCGTCACAGAGCGCCTGCGCGTGCTCACTGAAATTATCCGGATAGGTAACGACCCTGGTGAGCATGCGCTCTTTCATCTCGTCGCGCTCAACCTAAACGAGAGACCAACGCTCTGAGTGTCAATCCTCTCACTTAGTCCACAAAGTTGGCCATTTTGCCCGCGACTGGTGCAATGGTGAAACGTGACTGACCTTCTCCCCCCGGTTTCTGAACGGGTTCTTGGCAGCCATGAACTCAAACAGCGTCACTCCCAGAGTGAAGTAGTCGACTGAAAAGTCGTACTTCTCTCCTTTCAGCATCTCTGGAGCCATGTAGCCTGCAAGAGACAAAGCCGGACCATTGGGCGGCGGTTTATGTCGGGTACATTCACGGAGAAATCACGGCTCTCAATAGGACGCCGTCGGTACAGATGAGACCCACCTGGAGTCCCAGCATATCCTTTGGTCAGTGTTTTGCCTTCTTTCAGCTCCACGGCAAGACCCAGGTCAGAGATGCGCACATTCCCTGGTTGGACAACACAAAAATATCTTAATTAGTTCATATTCATACACGGAGGAGGGTTTTCTTGTGTATTGTTGAAATCAAAATGCCTTACCGTCGTTATCTAGGAGCACATTTTCGGGTTTGAGATCCCTGTAGATGATTCTTTTCTGGTTGAGGTGCTCCAAGCCTTGGATGATCTGAGCGATGTAAAAACAGGCTCTTGTCTCCTCAAAGCCCGGGTTGTTCTCATCCACCAGGTAGATGTGGTACCTTCAGGGAACAGAGAGCAGGTGAGATTGGGCTCCGTCCTAAAGGTATATCATCGGCATTATGTCGCGCTGTTCTCATTTGGCAAACACTAGTCTGCACACATTCAAATGGGATTTTAAAGGGATTTATTTGAATGAAGACAACCTGATGTGACTTTAAGGGACGACACAGGGTTATTTTCGTCATGTTTTTGTAAAGCTCAACTTTGCATATAAACCGCAGTTCAGTGCATCTTTAAAAGATGTTACTGAACCTTTATTTCATGACTGTCAGTGAGAAACAAACTAATGTCCCCGTAGTTAGAGACCATTGCTCGGGGATGAATAGTGTTTGAGGACTGTATTCCCAGCATCAAAACATCTTTCTCACATCAGTCTTTTGTCAAGAGACGTCAGAGATATTGAAAAGGTTTTGTAAAAAAAACAAAAAGTTCTGTTTGTCAAATAAGAAAAAGTGTGTGAAATTACTTGAGATCTCCTCCATTCATGATGGTCATGACCAGACAAAGTTCCTCCTTTGTCTGGAAGGCGTACGCCAATGACACAATGAAGCGACTGTGAACCTTCTCAAGAATCCTCTTCTCCACCGTCGCTCCCTACAGGGAGACATTAGAAAATTCCTTTTTTTTTTTACGACAATGGTATATTGACAATTTAAAACAAAAAAAGTTAAACTGAAGACTTTTCTTCTGTGGAGTTGAAGACAAACATGCCAATTGAAAAAGAGGTTAAAGTACATTTAAAAATGACCTTAGACAAGTCAAGGGCAAGAAGTAACTGTGCCAAGAAGTTCCATTTAGAAGAGCTTTTCACTAAAGCTCCCAGTAATCACTCTATCCTGGTCTCAGCATTTAATACTGCAGGATAAAGCCAAACGAGGCAGGGACAACGATGATTAATACCATCCAGCGCAGCGCCTTTTCTCTACAGCAGGACGCCAGCAAAATGCTTTTATTAAACAAATCGCTGCTTGCATTGCAGTCAAGTGCTTTCCTGACTTGCAAATGGGAGGAAATGCTACAGAACCGTTCCCACTTTGTGGCACATTATGGAAAAGCTGAGGGTGGATTTATTATTGAGATGTAATTTTTCTTTTTTATTGATATTAGTATTTGTAAATGCATCAACATACAAGAGACTAAAAAATTGCATTTCCAAATTATTAATGGTTTCATTCTGATGTTTGGGCAAAGTTGATGAGTATAAATGTTGTCCTTGTTTTAGAACTGAAGAAAAAGACCAACACTATAGTCATTAAAATATAAACATACTTCCCCAAGGATCCCCAATTGGATTTAATTGAATATGAGCAAGAGGGACGCTGGTTCTCTCACCTCATAGCCTTTCCTCTTCTTCAGCCTCTTCTTGTTGAGTTTCTTACAGGCGTACAACTTTCCCGTGGCTTTCATCTGACAGGCAGACACCTCCCCAAAGCCACCTTTCCCCAGCACACGGAAGTCTAGGAACCAGTCCGCGTCCATGGGCTGCATCTCCAGCCACTTCCACTGCAGATACCTTTTCAGAAACAAGCTCTCCAGGAAGGTGGCGTAGGGCGCCTCCCGCAGAAAGTCCAGCGTTGAGGCCATCGCCGCAGCAAACAAATCGTCGCCCGCAGCTCCCTGGCTTTCCTTCACCTTAGCTACGATGTCCTCTGACAGGAACGAGCAGTAGTGTTTGGCGGCGGGGTCCATGTAGCGCTCGACGATCTTTGAGGCCTTCTTTGCTCTGTCAGAGTCCTCCGCCAGGTCGTATCCCTCGATGTCCTTCCACAAGCGGCAAGCCCCGTGGTGCTCCGCGTTCGAATCCAGGAATTCCTTAAAGAGGCGTTTGCCTATAGGCTGTTCCACGCAGACGGTGTCAAAGGCCAAATCCAGGGTATCCCGCAGGTGCTCGCACACGGTGATGTGGGGCAGTTTGAGGCGAGAGTGGTACTTCTTATCCCGGGCTGCTGCGGTGCTGGTGCCATCGATGCTTCCACGAGCATTGATGTAAGCAGAGTTAGCTACCACTGTGGTCAGTCCTCCAATATCCATGCTGAGGGCCGGTGACTGTTAGGCAACGCAAAGGGGAGACATTACAAAAAGAGCAAACTGATGTAGCAGCTGCTTACTGATGGGAAAGAGGTAAAAGAATGAAGCGAAAGTGAGAAAAAGATGTGCACAGATCACAGAGCAGTGGGAGAGGCAGCATGAGAGCGAAATGGGAACTTGAGACTTATCTCAACTAGATCCCAGCACACAGAGTACTGCATCACCCTCATTTGCGTACACACACACACACACACACACACACACACACACACACACACACCTGAGTCAACACCTTTTGGTAATCCATTAACACCCTAATGCCCCAGACAAAGTGTGCAAGCACATGATGCAACAGAACAACACAAGAAGGGGGCATTCGAGTCCACTGACGGAGCGGACGCTAAACGCAAAGCGACCATGTTGGTGATTAACTCGGAAACCCACAGAGCCAAAGTCAAAATACAGTGGAATGTCGATCAGTGCAAAGGACGCGTCAGTATGTACAGCAGAGAGGAGCATTACTGGGCCCTACAGTGATGGTGATTTCGTGGGGAGTAAATAGTTGCATGGAATTGCATTGCATAACCACATTGCTAAATAAATGTCATTGCAATTTTCAGTACCGAGTAGATTTCAGTCCGGTGGTGTCGCAACAGCGCGAAGTGCAGTCACAAAACTACACCGGCGTGTATTTGGGCAGAGTTAAAAAACACAGGACAGTGTAGAAAGAAAAGTGGCCATTGTTACTGAATACAAAGCAAAAATTATTTGTTACATTTTAAGAGATTAACCAGTGATGAGTAACTTATTACATTGAGTAAAAGTTCAAAGTTTAAACTCTACTACAGCAGAAACTGTAAAAAAGTACTTTCATTATTAAGTGTTGATACGTCTGTGGAGAGATCGCATTGAACAGCATCAAACTGCCAAAATGCAATTACTTTACACCTGAAACTTGCAGATTGTAGTTGCGATCAAAATCGATCAGAGCGGTTGGAGCAAGGTCGGCCCCGGGTGGAACCACAGCTGTACGGTGTGGGTTGCAGTAAAGGCTCCTCCGGCCCGACCGGCCACAAATAGAACAGCTGGAGGACAAACACTGCAGCCCTCGAGTTCAGCGGAACTTTTGAGGGGTTAAACAAGAGCATCTTGCGCTGAATACAACAGACCTTTCACAACTTCCTCCCCCCCTGCCCATCTTCATTCCGTCCACAGGCAGAAAGGTTCATCTGACACACAGTGCTCCAAACCTCTTCTGTGGCTGGTCCAGCTGAAGTTCTTGCCACGATGGCTGACACTCATTGAAGGCCACGTGCCAGCGTCACGGCTGGTATCAAAGGGAGTCCTTATCTTTACAGGATGGAATCACTGCTTTGTGCCAAAGCCGCAGATTAGCAGGGAGACGTCGAGAAGACGAAATATGGGGTTCAGGAGGACACCCGCTTGTTTTGACCATCTCAGACTAATATCTGTGTCAGCTGAGTTTGACCCAAAGAACTACGCCCCCCTCACCCTCCTCATCATTTACACTGAAACTGCTTTAGGACGGTTTTGTGCAGACCAGAATGAGAACATTCAATGCACATATGCATCCATGTTCAAAGATGAAAATACCTGCTTGACGTCTGCTGCTTCAGGCTCTGACTCAATAAACAGGCGTCAGAAACTGAACAAAGCCTTCAAATCGTCCCCGCGGCACGTTCTCCATTTTGGCCCTCACCGATTCTCCATGTCAAAAACATTTGGGCTCCGCTTTTTTTTTTTTTTTAAAGGACACAGACGGCGAGTGCCCCTGTAACTCCGTCGTTATATGGAAATTAAAAGCCGCTGGTATCATGAGAGTTCAGGAGCACATAATCAATAGTTCTCACCTCACAGCTGTCCGCTTGAGAGTCTAACATGCAGCCGTCCTCTGAGAAGCCAACGCCTCCCAAAACCCGTCAACCGCACACTCAAGTCTGGGAACTAGTCTTCAGCCATTGGCTCTTTGTTAAAAGAACCACGTGTCTAGAATCAGTTGAGGGTCTTATAAACAGTCATTTTCAGTTTAAAAAAAAGGCAGAACAAATATCTGAGGAATAGAGCCCACAAATTATAGATACAAAATTATTAAAACAATCTATATTTTAATTTGCAAACTTATATTAGATTACAGAAAAGGTTTTTGGAAGAGTCAGTACATGTGTTGCTAAGTTTTAAAAGGGAGATCTTTGAAGGGAATACATAAAGACCTATGCAACCACACATTTTGTTACATCAATAATTGTGTACGTTCTATCTTTACCACTGGCCTCTAAAGGATACTATAAGCTACAATCGTCGTAGGATTCATATACGTAATTCACAAACAAAGCTTATTTACCTATTAGGAGCCTGGGTTGAAAAAAGTCTTTACCTTGCTGGTGCCATCATTTTGTAAACACTACCAAGGCGTTGACAGGGCGGTGATGGAGAACTCCAGAATACAAAAAAAAATAAAATAAAAAAATACTAGCAAACAAGATCAGGAAAGAAGCTGCCTACAGAACAGAAGGAAGCCGACCCAACACAATGGAGGTTAAGAAACTAACAAATTATTGCCGGGAACACAAAACAAAAAAAGTATCAACACTTCTGATGGAGTCCCATCCTGGGATGCCATGGCAACTGTATTAGTCATTCACAATCCGCGTGTTGCATGAACACACAGGACACTTTGGCCATCTCAGAACACTTTGATCATCGACATACGCAAATGCAAAGTAGTAGGGATAACTTTTCAAACGGGTACGGTATACATTCTCCAACAGCAGGTTTTACAGAGGTTAAGTAAGTGGGATGGCTTATTGAGAAGTGGGTTAAACATACAAAGGACTTCGGCGTGGGGGGCCGGGCCACAGACTATAGTCCCTTGGACGACACCTGCCCGAAGGCCGCCTTGCAGGGTCGGTAACAAAAAAGACGGTCGCAACGTACACCTCTGTTCTTTCAATATTCATCTACACCCCTGAGAAAGCCAGACAGAAATACGGGCATGAGAAACGGGGGGGTGGGAGGGTCGAAGGAGCACAAACACAAAAGGGGTCTAAATGCCCCGCGGTGACGGTGGTTTGAAGGACTGTGCTTGTTGGGAGTGGCGAGGCGCAGGCGGGTTAGTCTTCGTCGTCGTTCTCGTCGTACTCGTCCTCATCGTCCTCGTCCCCCATGTAAGACACTGGGGTCTCCACGCGGGACCCGCTGTAGTGAGAGTCATTCGAGCTGGAGGCCATGGTACCGTCGGTGCAGCCGTCACTACGGGCAGAGCGGAACTGAATTTGAATCTTTTTTTTGTGATCGTGGAGGGAAAGGGGGGAGAGATCAGACCTTGAAGGGGGAGGGGGGGGTAACGGGGAGGACTTCTCACCTGCTTGCAGGGTAACGGGTTCCATTTGCGGAGGAACCTCCAGTGATGTAGACGTTACTGATCGGACCCTTTGCCATCTCTGGGGAAATGCAAATTACATGGACATTAGATTATTGAATTATCACTCACATCTGCAAACGTTGTTTAATTAAGTACTTTTTTCAAACAACTTATGTAACATTTTCACACTGTACTCTGTGGGTAATGCTGGAGGCAAAAGGACGAATGAATCCACAAAACTACAATAATATAAATCTGCTTTGTCCATCGTAGGCAGAGACCAAGCTTCTAGTCCCATTTGGTTCAAATATAACAAATTTAAGTCTAGATGAAAGTGAAAGCAAACTGACCCACCAGAGGATATTATGATTGCAGATATGTGGTTTGGCACAATGTCGAAAAGTTAAAACTAATTACTTAATTCAGCCTCTGATTATAACATCTGGTCAAAACAATGTTATTGAAATTAAAAATAAATAAAATAATAACAGAAGCCTTTCACCTGCAGATAGCCGCCTATTTTGGCCATTCTTTTTGATTTGCAAGAGGTTTTAATGTGAAGCGGAGAAATGGATGCGCCTGGTTTACATCAACAGTAGCCAACAAACGATGGACGGATGGGTCACTCTGGGGACTGTGGCACTGACCTATAACATAGGGCTCCAGAGCTTTGGGCACCAGGCTGCGTGCAACCTTCAGATCCTCTGGAGAGCACTTCCCCACCTCCAAACCACAAGCCATGCCCATACGCTTCAGCACCTCGATGTCATCGTGGATCTCGAACATGCTGTCGAAATTGAACAAATACTCGAACCTGCGGACGAGAGGGGGTAAGGACAGAAGACATAAGAAGGGTCGAGCAGGATTGTGGCCATCTTGCAACTGAAAAGCCACAATTAGGGTTCCCGCCTCAGCTCTCCTCTAGAGCCAACGATTGTTGCGTATTAGGTATACAGAATCTGTGAGGGGGAAACTCTGGAGATATAGAAGGAGAAAAAAAAAAGGGATTTCAGAGCAAAATTTTATTTTGACCCAGCATTTTCCCCCCCCTCTTTTGTCCTTTTGTTTCTTCAACCTCTTCAAATGTGCTCGTGGCACATTTTCCTCAATGATAAATGAAAATGTTCTTAGTTCATTCATAAAACGTTGGATTTGAAAAGCTCTTCTGCGTTTTAAGAGGAAAGGAGAAACGCGGTGGGCTCGCTGTAGTTCTTTGATTCCAAAGTAATAGGGACATTCGCATATCGTCCATATGCAAACCTGTACCCTTGTCTTTTCCTCCTAAATTAGCTTTAGTCATCTTTGCAGCCCGATGAAAGGTCTCACGCTCGCTCAGCTGCTAAACAACAACATGCTCAACTGCCACATTCCCGAGAAACAGCATCCGTTTATCAACCTCATCACGAAACACAAACAGGCTCAAGATTCAGGAAAAAACAATGTTCTTTTGCTCTCAATTTGAAAGAACACGAGTCTTGAACTTGAACTTTCTATAGTAGCACGATCACGTACTTGTCATTGGAGATGCTGCAGTCGATGACCGTTTTCTTGCTGGTGTTGACGATAATGAAGGGGAGGTGGATGATGGAGTTGGGAGGTGGAGGTCTGTTTGCTTGCTGCTCCGTCTGTCTGTTCCGCTGAACCAGGTTCTTAAAAGCTATTTGCTGGAAGATGTGACAGAAAGATACAAATTTTCATCTGCAGTCCTGCTGTAAATGTCTCAAACAGAGCAGCTGACTTTGTAGCTCAGCACGTTTGTCGCTGATAGTTGATGCTGTGCATTTATCATTATCCCAAACTAATGCCACACGCCAGCTTTGATTCTCACTGCACAAAAATAATGTTCACTATTGAGCGACGCCGTCAGAGAGGTATTCGCTACACGTTTACCATTAATGGGATAGTTTGCTGTGGTGTTGAAGAAGGCAGCATCACAGTGAGAGGTGTTGATATTTTTCTCCTTCCTACTTCAATAAAATAGGATATTTCAATCCCCCCCAATGAAGTCGGTGCATTCCCACCTGCAGTATGAGCTCCTGAAGTTGCGATTGTTTCTGCTTAATTCTTTCCAGCCGCCTTTGTCTCTCCACCTGCAGTTAAAAGAAGGAAAAACAACGAGGATCATAAGACGGAAGGCGAGGCGTCCTTTAGATGAGCTGTAGTGAGAATAGTCTCGTGTTTGGTACCTCTAGGTTTTGGCACTCCTGCGCCGAGTTTGTGGGAAGGCCAATCCATTTGATTTCCTTCTTTTCTTTCGAGATTATGTTCATGGCCATAAGCACATTGAGTGCATCGTACACACGCCGCCGAATGTTCTTCTGGTCATACACATGCTAAAATGGATGGAAAAACAACATAAAAAATATTAACACCATTTTGAGATTGTAACAATCATCAAAAAATATAAAGAATTTCAATGAAAGTCAAGCAGTGCACTTAATGACTGTTTCCAATCCATTTCTAAATCACTCTGAAAGGATGCTACGCCGCTGCAGCACTCACTGCGTCATTGGGCGACATGTGGCTGTCCGCAGAGCTGAATTCTGCAACCAGTTCATCTGCCACTTCATTGTAGGTGGTTACTCCTTTCTTCTGCACCTTCTCACATACTTTCATGGAGAAATGCCTCAGGCCCTTCCCGTTCTTTTCCCCTTTCTTACCCCGTTTTCTGCAGAGAGAAAAGATACCCAATTCAATTTTCACATAAAACACAATGATGAACATCTTTACATTTTCTCCCTCGATATCAGATTCAATTAAAAACTTAAACATTTATTTCCCACATCGATCCAAAATGACGTTGAATGCTTTTAAAACCTAACTCTTTATTTGAAAACTTACCCTGATGACCAGGGAGAGGCGTCTGATGGTTGACTCTGAGTGAGGAACTGCGAACTGGGCGTATGTGGACTGTTTACCAAAATGGTATTAGATACAGTAGGCCTCTGTGGGGTTCCTATCACCTACAGGGGATAAATAAGGGGAAGACAATATTAACGCATAGTGATTATCAACTTATAGGCCATTGGAGATGTGAACTGAGGATTTTGCTTGACGTCTGGAACACTGATGTGCAGTTAGAGGTAGTTGTCCCTTGCTCCCCTTAAGTCTACCACTATTTGTTATTTCTTGGTTGACATTATGCGACAGGTTATTGTCCATGACTCAATACACACTTTTTATGTTGAGCGCTACAGCCACTATTTGTTGCTACAAGAAGAAGAGGCACAAGGACCCGGGTGAAATACTCCTTCACTCAGGTGATATCTAAGCTGATTTTCGTTACATATACATTCCACGAATATAATGGGATGATGAGTGTAATCCTGCTGACTGCAGAGTTGATAAGCTTAGGCTCAACTGCCTTCTACCTGCTGCCCGGTCACCTCACTGTGATAATGGGGGGGGGGGGGCTTACACAACAGCAAGACACAGCAAAGACTTCCAGCAAGACAAATCTATACATATATGCATCCGCGGGACACTGACACTTCAAAAAGCCCAACATTATTCTTATTGTATTGAGAAGTTCTAAGCGTGGTAGAGAAAGCCCAGAAGTCTGATTATACATTATATTGTGTGGTAGTTGTGTGTGGAGCATCACTCACCATGTGTGGCATATGTGCAGCAATGTTTACGTTGGACGGCCCAAGAGTTTTGGGTAGAAGCTGCTTGGCCACGGGGACAGCTGTAGGCTGGACAGTTACCAAAGAGAGGACACCTAATAGGGGACATGAGGAGAGCAGTAATTAGAGGAGCTCTTGATCGATACTGCATTGCCCCCTGTTGTCCAATAACGAGCACGTGGGCCTAAATGTTAAGAAACGTTCTTCCAGTTGTGGGACATGCAATCAATGAAACTAAACAGTAACATCTGCTTGTTGGATACATCCAATCTGGAATAAATCCCAATGGACAATATAGCATCCCTTTGCCATATTTGCAAAAGTAACTTATTAAAACGATGCATACCTTTGCTAGGGCTCAGATTCTGATCGATGAAAACCTTCAGCTCTCCGTTTGTTTCTATCAGACCAACCTGCAAAGGAAAGGGACTTAATGCGGTGATGTATAACAACATTAAAGCCATTGCATGAATCCAGAGGAGGAAACATACGGTTGTGGCATATAAACTACAAATTAAAAATAGTTACTTACATCTTTAGCCATGATCCCAAAGGACCGGAGGAGTTGAGCTTCAGGTTAAAAAAAGAAAGTATTCCTCTTTTTGACACTTTTCAGACCCCTGAGGACAGAAAGCAAACAAACTCATAATATGTTCCCATAATGTTTCCATATTATTCCAGAGCGTTTGATTCATTTAATTTGTTTTTGTATAAGTGAACTAAAGTTCACGTTGAGGCCCATTTGGACTGCAGCACACTGTACAAAGCTACAGCTCCACCATTAGCTCGTGTCCCCCGGTATTGTTCCCACGGGGAGAAATTGACGGGAAAATGTCAATATTTCCGAACCATCTCAATCGCATAAACCTCTGTCGTAAATGTTTGGATGCACCGTGTGCGCGCAGAAGCACAATAGACCACCCAATGATGCCCACAACTTTTACTGCGCTAAGTGTGCCCAAGGCCTACTTTAGGTACCGAGCACGTCCGGAGGAGAGGCATCGTCCAACTTCTGCTACAGGTCACGCAGCCGATGCTAACTTTAGCACACCGGCGCACAACTAATAATGTGACCGAAGCAAAAGCGCCTCGTGTTTACAGATGTTTAAAAAGGTCACATGCGGTACAATCATCATTCATTCGGTACAAAAGATAGCAACGAACGAGCCCCCCTCCTCCCCTGAATGCTGCTAACGTTAGCTAGCAGCTAGCGTTGGGATCAGCTCGCTGGCGTTAGCTAGCTAGTTAGCTCGTGCACGCTTTGAAAGGATTGACACAAAATTGAGCGATTGTTGGGTCTTGTGCTGCGGATCGCAGACAGAGTTGAGTGTGGGTTTACGTCTAAGAGACGTGTAGGCATTTCGCATGGTGGGTGAGGTTAATATGACGATCCTGTGCACTTACGAGTGCACTCTCCTGCTTCTTCGGCGGCTGTTGTTGTTGGCATTTCAGAATGGAGGAAGAGGAGGTCTAAATCCCACCAAACAGGAAACAAAACTAAGCGCCGTTCAACTACTTTTTGATAATTCTGAGACTAATTCCGCCGAAAGATAAATGTATTGGTGCAAAGTGTTTAAGCATATGCTTCATTTTCTTCAACTTTCAGTGTGTCGGGGGGATCCGGGTAGTAATTGCCCGACGCGTCGAGCATTGGAGCTGTATTAAAAAGTGATCATTTACAGTTAATACAGACAGACGAGCCAGCGAAAGAAAAATAAAACATAATGTCAACACTTCATCAGAGGCGAGATGTGTTTGATTACAAATGTAATGAAACATTTGAGCCTAGACCCCCCCATAAAAAAGATACTGCCAAAATGTTTGATGTATCGGTTATTTTCTGTCGATTAGATTAGTAATCAATGTGTTATCGCGGATTATTGACACTCTTGGGTCTCCAGTAGTCAGATACTGCCGGCTGCCTTTTAGAGACAAACAATACACTTGTGCAGAAGTTTATTCAGACAGATTATTTATTTATTCTGATAATAATAAACGTATAAACCTTTCTCCCTAACTAACGTTATGCTGATGTACATCTCACTGAATACAACACCGGGTTAAGATGGATACTGAGCGAACATACTGGTGTAAACACACGCATTGTATCGGTTTGTTTTCGTTTCGTTTTGATGAAATGTACCCTTTGGTCACAGAGGACCAGAGTCTGGTGAGCAGATGGACCACAATCAACAGTTTAACTAACCGCAGACCTGCCGGTGACCCCGCCGCCGTTTGCCTCATTCACACCGACGTTAACTTCGCAACTTGTCAGAGGATATGTTACGTGAACGGATGGAGTTTGGGTGGGGGACGACTAGTATTGTGATAATTAATAGCAATGGCCGCGGAGTGTTTTAGCAGCAAGCTAACCGGCGATCTTCCATTTCTGAAAGCCAGGAGCGCCGGTGCTTTGTTAGCCAACTGTCGATCCTCAAGCGCGCAGCTAGCTAGCTAGCTAACCCACAGCTGTCAGCGACAACACTGACAGAATTAGCTGCTGTTTTACTACGTTGGCTTTGTGTCGGCTGGCAATATACATTTGAGACTTAGCCCCCCATTAAAGGTAAAACGGACGTAAAACATCGACAGCGAGCCACAGGTGTATAAACGCGGCTTACCGGTGCACTTCCCAAGTTAGCAGGTCGCCTGTTAGCCTCCGCTATGCTCGCGCCGCTAGCCTCGCTACAGCAGCGCGTCTCACAATCTGATCTTGGCGGTGTCTCGATTTAGCGAAGTCTGATTGGACGGCACCGATGAGACGAAAGCACGCGAGTCGGTGTGGTTCATGCCCACAACTCTCGTCCCATGGATGCCAGATGGCGTCAAACGCACGTGTAGCGCCCCCTGCTGGACAGGAGGGTGAGGGTGCGTTTGACGTCCTGTGCTCCTCTCCAACACCATGAAGCTGCCTATTCAAGACGTTTTGGCGATCTGGGAGAAGAAATGTAAGAAACACATTCACGTGGAAGCACTCAGAACATAACAGTCTATTACCTAACTGTGTCTCAGATTCATCAATCCGCCCTAAATTATTATTATAATATGATCCCCGAACAAACTGGTAATCAACCACCCACTTCCTAACTGACATATTCTGCTTTAATTAATTAATTTACAAGTTTTTAATACCTTGTAAATGTATTGTAATTACCACTTAATTGATAGTAAACAATTGTAAATTTGTTCAGACATTTGTCTCCCATAGTCTCTCTATTGCTTTGTGTTATCGGACCTCTTCTCTCTCACATCAGCATGGAGCTCAAAACAACTAATTCATCATTTTTTTGTGAGAAACTATGATATTCTTTGTGAGGAACTATAATATGGAAGGATATCATAATGGAAGGATATTGAATTGCTATCTAGAGTTGTTTTCTACAATTTGAGTGTAGACTAAATATTTTGTTACATAATTATAAGAAGTATTTTAGAATTAATACAATTGCTTGAGTACGATGATCGTAATACCCATGAATATGTTTTACAACTGGTATGAATAGCAAGACTTTTCCAAATCCGCCTGCTTATTCATGTTGTTTCACCGTAAAACCACAAAAAAAGAAAGACTGACATGCAAAGATACTTTATCAGTTTTCTATACACCCTTCACATTTGTTGAAGGGTGTATTCATTTTCACACGAGATAAAAACTCACACTCCACCCAGTAGACTATTTCTTCTCATGTTATATGCAGTACTACTAAATACTAAATTAAAACGTGTCTTTGGGTGTCAGTAGTCAGAGTGTGTAGGAGCACGGGGTGAAGGGTGGGGTTCAGATACATTTTTAAAGTGTTTTTAGGGAGTAGTCCTGTGGTGCACAGTGTGGCCTACAAAAGCAGTGTAAACTACCTCACTTGCACTTCCTCTCTCCCCCGACAAGACAAGACAAGCGCGAGGATTCATTTGGGCAAATGACAACCACAAAAGGGTAAATAACAGCACTTGCACAGTTACTGTAAAAGCCCCGCGTTTCCTTCCAAACGCCACAGACGACCAGAAACCCACGAAAAGCTGCTCGACCTACTTCCGCGCAGCCGCAGAATGAGCGACAGTCGGGCTGCCGAACTGGTCAAACAGCGGGTGTGAAAATGGTAGGTAACCAAAATAAACACGAACCCGGCCGCGGTGCCGCGGTGCCGTCCACGCGTGCGTGCTCGCGGCGTTAAGCGACGCGCCGTGTCGCGTTTCGCGAAGCCTTCAGCGACTAGTTACCGGCGCTCGCTGCCGTCACAGGGAAGGTCAGTGGGTGTTTTGTGGAGCAGCTAGCTAGCTACTCGTCCTCCCCTTTTACTGGCAGGCTGGTAAACTTCGGCTGTGATCGGGTGCAGCGGTTGGACCCCGAAGACAGAGACACACACACACACGCGGGGTCGTTTGACTTAAATCCCGGCGACAGTCCGTTCCCGGTGATAGTTTCCCCCCCTGGATGTCAGCGTTGCTAACTCGGCTAGCATTAGCCGGCATAAGTTACCAGCTGGTGGAATGTGTCCATGCTAAGCTGTGGTTGCCCTCCTGCTCCGCGTGCACGGCGGTCGGGACGGTCACGGCCCTTGGACCCGGTGCCTGCTCTTAATACCAGAACTCTGCGCAGGCAGCAGCAGCAGCAGCAGCTGGATGCACTCGCAGTGTTGCTCTCCGGTTTACAGGAAACGCTTCTCTTCGGTGTTGTGCAAGTGGCCATATTATAGTGCAGCCGGCGTGGGGGGCACGGTGGCTCGTGCACAGTGTGCAGGGACTCGATCACCATCAGGCTGGTGGATCGTTGGGTAAATAGTCAAAGGTGCTCATGGCAGTTCACCAGAGCCCCGAGCAGAGGACTTTACTCGTGTTTGGTTTTGTCCAAAACAAACAGTCCAAAAACTCAGATATTCATTTGAATGTCAAAGAGGAAATGACCAAATCCTAATGAAATGCTTAATCAATTATCAATTTGTTGTCAATCAGCTACAGTTGTGAAACCAGAAATTGTCTTGAATTAGGTTAAAGTATGATCATAACTTAATGGTTAGACTGTTCATCACCGGCCTTTAAAAGTTGCATTCCAGTTAAATGGCACTTTATTCTGAGTTTAAATTCTTAACTCGCAAAAATATTTTCAATAAAAGTGTCTCTACTGTGAAATATTGGTGTATACATTATTCTTACAGCATTGCGAAATTAGATTTATCTTCTTCTTTTTTTTCTTCTTTTTTAAATGAACGCACCAGACTTGTTGCAGCTCATGGTCTGGGTGCTGGCATCCCGCTTCCCTACTCATGTTACAGCTATGACTCTAGTTATCTGAGCCCCCCCCTCCTGGGTACAGCATGTGCTCTGAGAATCCACAACATCCCCCTTCAGAAAAGCCCCTGTTGGATAGGACAGAATCCCCAGCGCCATGTCCCGTAGCTTGATATACGAGTGTTCCACGAGTGTCTCGCGGTCGTCGCCTGGATGCCTGTGGATGTGTGCGTGTCGCTGTGTGTCCTCCTCTGTGTTTCGCTCTGTGTTTGCGCGCTGTTGTCCGTGTTCCCCGGTCTGATCGCGCCGGTGTCTGACAGCCCCTGTCCTGTACTTATGCAGCACAAGCTAAAGTCTTCGCAGAGGGACAAGGTACGGCAGTTCATGTCCTTCACGCAGGCTGGGGAGAAGACGGCCGTGTACTGCCTCACGCAGAATGATTGGAAACTAGAAGTGGCCACAGACAACTACTTTCAGAACCCAGATCTCTACTGCAAGGAATCCATGAAAACGTCGGTGGACCGAAAAAAGCTGGAGCAGCTGTACAATCGCTACAAAGGTAGGCGGGACTCCTGTGCAGTGACGTGACATGTTTACTAGAATAGAGTTGCTTTTCCCGTTATTTCCCCCCTCGATAGATCCCCAGGATGAAAACAAGATCGGCATTGACGGGATCCAACAGTTTTGTGACGACCTCTCACTGGACCCGGCCAGTATCAGCGTGCTTGTCGTCGCGTGGAAGTTTCGTGCTGCCACTCAGTGCGAGTTCACCAAGAAGGAGTTTCTGGATGGAATGACCGAGCTGGGGTGAGTGGTTACAACATCGGCGCCGGGCACACAGGAAAATAAGCACTTTGCCCCCGAAGTATCTTTGCACGGCGGTTCGCTCCGTGTGGCTGCAGGGAGGGAAGGTTGTCTATTTATAGAGCCTCTCCACCACAGGTTGAGTATTCTGTGTCTTCGTGGAATGACTCCGTGGAAGAGCTGCTGTGTTTTGACTGTTGAAGTTCACAAGTCAAAGTGCATGAAGGAAAAAACACGTGACTTTTTGTGTTTCTTCCATTTGTCTGTGTATTTATTGCTTGTGTTGTGTAAACGATGTAGGTGTGACAGCCCCGAAAAACTGAAGGCCCTCTTGCCACGGTTGGAGCAGGAGCTCAAAGATAGTGGGAAGTTCAAGGACTTCTACCAGTTCACCTTTAACTTTGCCAAAAATCCTGGCCAGAAGGGTCTAGGTAAGAAGAGTAACAACAACAACAACAACACAGCTCGCTGAGTGCTGTCACTGAATTGCAATCACTTTGAATGAAGTGTTGTGCCTCCTGTCCGCGTGCAGACCTGGAGATGGCCGTAGCCTACTGGAACCTGGTTCTGTCGGGAAGGTTTAAGTTCCTCGATCTTTGGAACAGATTCCTTTTGGTGAGTCACGGTGAAATGAGGATCTGTGTCCCCGCAAACACGGATCTTATCAAGCAGATCGGCTTGTGCAGAAATGCAATGTTCTCCGTTGGTTAAATCAGCATTTTTGAAGGCATATAATACTAACTGGCTTCGTTGTTCTTTACAGAAAGAAAAAGAATGTTCTGTATAGTTGAGGATAGAGGAAATTAGGAAATTAAAGAAAAGGAAAATATGTAAATTTGAAAAATTGCGTTGCAGCATCACATGAGTGCACACGCATTGTGTTTGTCCTCTAGAACCAGAACCAGGGATTTACACTGCGGCGTGTGTGTACGGGGTTTACAGAGTTAAGGGGGGAAAATTAACACCAGCTGAATAAAAACATATTGATTTATATTGACCAGCACTTGTCCGTTACAGGAACATCATAAACGATCCATCCCAAAGGACACATGGAACCTATTGTTGGACTTTGGGAGCATGATTGCGGACGATATGGACAACTATGATGAGGAAGGTGAGTTTTGGATGACAAAGTTGCTCAACATTTGGCATTGAGCCGTTTGTCTTCTCTGTTGTGCTGCGAATATGAGCGTTTTTATTGAAACCGATGTGACACTGACAATATCCCGTTGTTTGTCTTTCTCAGGCGCGTGGCCGGTCCTTATAGATGATTTTGTGGAATTCGCCCGACCAATTGTAACAGGATCAAAACGTAAAACTCTCTAAATCCAATCCCGACTGGAGAGCCAGAACCTCGTTTCTTTTACAGTGACTTCATAGTTTTTTTTTTTTTTTTTCAAGACTTGTACAAAAAACAACAAAAAAAAACATTGCAGACTTTAAAGAGAAAACGGAAGCACTTTAACACCTTCCAGCGAGCGGACTGAACACTATGAGAAGTGGAGCAGCCGTGTTCTTTGAGGGGTCGTACGGACGCCGCCGGTCTCACCGACGTCTCTGCGGTTCTCCGCGTCCCGGACGTCCCTCTGCTCGGCTCCAGGAGGAGCGCCACGCGTCAGTGGGGGAGGGGGTTCATCGGCTGTTTGGACTCTAAAGGGACTGAAGAAGCAAAAACTGTGTTTTAAGACTCTCCCTCGTCAGCTTTGTTTTGTCACGTGAAGTTTAGGGGCAAAGGTGCAAAGCTTGTCTTACTCTTAACTTCAGGACCGAGTGCTCACTACACCAGCACCAACAGAACTACAGTTTTTACTGTACATACTGTATCTATTGGGACAGTTTACAAAGAGAGCTATACGAAGAATAATATAAATACGTTCAATTTATAAAGGCAGAAGGTGGTTATTTTATGTACAGTAAATGCTAAGATCCCCTATCGGGACGCCTCAACATAGTGGATGATATGCTGTCGGTTTAATTGTTAGATGGATCTGTCAAGTCATGGAATTGTGAGCTTCTCATTGAAAGCATGTTGAGCGCTTTTTACGTCCCCTCGGGCTGGTTTCACACATTCATTTTCACTAAAGTGAAGGCAAGGCTTTGATTTGGAAGGAAGTGATGTCGGTTGGTGATATTCATTTGTCAGAATAATCCGCGGGGAGTCGGCCCCCGAATCCTTCGAGGGGCCGAGTCCACAGCACCAAAAAAAAAAAACCCATTTCTTTCTAACTGTTAAGGAAGAGTATTTTGTCCCTTTTCTGATTCTGCAGCATTTAAATTGAATTCAAAGTGAAGAAAGAGACTTCCCCGTAGCATCGCATGATACATATCTGTATGTTACAGCGGCACAAAGCCTTAAGTTCAGAAGCCAGGAAACTAAAGAGAGAACAACCGGTCGAAAAAGTAAGCCTTAAGGATAAATATCTGTCTGTCCAATATTTATATTTCATACGCGCCCATCTGTCCAGTAGTGAAAGTTAGAATATATTGTTAATACATCATGTAAGTAGCCGAAGTATATTGTTCATTACAGAAAGATGGAATAAAGCATGAGTTTTCCCATAATCATTCACACAAATAGTTCATTTGTTGATCAGTAGCTGCTCACACACGCAAGGGTTTGAAAAGCAGTTATGGTAAACACAGCGTGAAAAAACGTGTGTTAAAGAAAGCTTTAATATTTTTTTTCTCCCTCTTTTTTTCAGATTTTCCCTCCATGTTGTTAATTGTTAATAATAAAGTTAATTTAACAAGATGTCTTCAGTACTTGCATGTGGTATTTGTACATTTGATGTTAAGGCTTTTAACAACAAACCCCATGAATTCCATATTGTTTGTTCTGTTTTGTTTCTGTTGCAACTTTACACTGTAATATGTCGGAGGTATATTGTGTATAATGAGGTGATGAAGACGTCTCTGGCATCAGACTGGTAGTGTAAAGTTTTAACATCCTCGCTGTACTTCCTAATACGCGGCAGGTCAGGTGATATTGAATCTACGTGCTGAGCCGTCTTCTGCAAAGGACTTCCAACTTCCAGCCAGCGTGAAATTGTGTTTCGCAAAAGTGGTTTTAAGGAGACGAGGAACTGAGAGCCTGCTCACGAACCACAACATTCTGCTCCAATAAGATGACGGCCTTTGTTTCCGTAGTTTGCTTTAATAGCTGACCATCAACGTAAAGGCATAACGGAGGCACCAGTGAGAATGACGGGAACAGCGGCAGAGCTGCTACTTGATTATATATATATATATTTTTTTTTCTTGTGTCTTTCCTAAGGACCCGTCACTTGCAATAGAAGCCAGTGAGGCAGTTTCCTTTTGAATGTCCAGTGTGAACATTTACAGGAAGCTGAGCCTGTTACAGTGCACATACTGTCAATGACAAACCAATGTAGACACGTCGTTTATGGAAACCAGCATGTCCTCATTATCCTCTCGAGTAACAATCTCACAGTGAGTTTATATTTTACTGTTTGAACCGTTTTTGGGGGCGGAATAGCTGATTTCCGGCCACTCGTGAGCAGCATTGATATTAAATATTCCTCACAGTGTGGAGACACTTCAAATACCATTTAGGTCTTTTCAGATGCAACTGAAACTGCTGAACAATTGGTATTTCTAAAGGCGGGATTTCAAGGGAGGGGGAACGGGTTTGTGCTCTGTTCCTGAAAAGGGAACAATACTTCACCATCAACACTTTATTTTCGGTAAATCATGGGTAGATCATCATATGTAAAAGTGACACAAGTAACCATGACCTTTTCTCTTCCTCCAATTGTTTTGCATGCAAATGAAGCCCATACCTGTGGATCTCACCTGGGTGTTGCTCTAACTAGCCCCTCCTCTCGCAGTAAGCTGAGACATTCGAGACTCAGACTGCTTTGTTATTTACCTTTGCAGCAGCCGGATCTAATCCAAGGAAAAGAAATGGAATAAGCTCCTGTGTGCCGCTTGTTAAATATCCTCGGCGGACTTCTACCTGCAGCGGAAGGCACAATGGAAATGAAAGGAACCGCTTCTCAACCTCTTACATGTAATAACGGCAGTGAAAGGTGAGCTTGTGAGCTTGCTGGTGATGTCGCATTCACTGTGACTTCATCACTTTCTGTTGGGTATCGTTGTTAAATGTTTGTTCTTTATTTATCTTCTTTATTATTATCAGCTTATTTTCATCAACTCTTTGCATTTGTAAGTTTTGTTTTATTCAAACATGTAACGCATTTATTTTTTAGAGGTCAAATACAAAGTAAAATATCCTAGCTGCGCATTACTTTGTGGAAAATATACTTCTGAGTTTATTCTGTTGAGCCTGAATGTTCCTCCAAGCCACCAATCTCACCTGAGAGTAATTTAAAACGGAGTAACCATCCAGCCACTTGATCTCCACACAGCAGAAACCCAACCTCTTGGAGGCTGTTGTAATGTCTGTCATCAGGGGATAGGAGCAAAGGGAAAGGGGGGGAAGAGTGACCCCAGATGTCAGCCGCCGCTTCACACTCGTGAACTTAGTGCACGGCGGCCGCACGGTGCTGACCTGTGTGGATCTGCCTCCTCAGGATCGACCCCTACGGCTTCGAGAGACCTCACGACTTTGAATCCTACCAGGAGATGATGAACGAGTACGTAGCCGTCCTCGACCGCCGCTCGATGAGATGGTCCAAGCTCCTTCAGGAGAAACCACACGTGGAGAAGAACCTGACAGGTATCAGGCAACAGACGAACAATTGCTCTCTGGTGCCTCCGCGGTGGTCATGTGGCTTTAATTACAACATCTTTTTTGCAAGTGAAACGCTACGTGCGTAAGGGCGTCCCCAATGAGCACCGGGCCAGGATTTGGATGGCAGCCAGCGGTGCACAGGAGCGCCTGGAGAGCAAACCGGGTCATTACCAGTCTCTGCTGGCCATGGAGCACGACACCAAGCTGAAGGAAACCATCCGTACAGGTGCACGCTAAAGGCATTTTGTCAACAAGTCAAAGTAAAGAGGATTTAATTCCATTCAGCTGCGTTAGTTTCAGGCTATTGGTATGTGGTGAATGCGACAGAGGCATCACCAATGTCAGTTAGAAGCACACAAAGAGTCTGGATGCCGTGAAGAAGGGTGCTCATCCCGTCTCCCCGGTCCCCACCACCCCAGACATGCACAGGACCTTTCCTGACAACGTCCTCTTCCAAAGCAGAGCAGAGCCCAGCCTGCAGGGGGCTTTGTACAATGTGCTGCTGGCCTACGGACACCACAACACGGAAGTGGGATACTGTCAGGTGAACAAATCCATTTCTCCTCCCCACTGTTAACATAGCATCTGTTTGCCCAAAGAACAGGACTGGCTGGTCTCTTATTATCAATTCATACACATGGGAAGAGTTTTCTCTAAATGGTTTGTTTGCTTGAGCAATATTCACTTTGTTTCCTGGACAGAAAACCCAATAAGGCACATTTTGCACCATCTTTAGGTCAAATAAAGGCAGAGGATGTTTACTAATGGTAAAGAATTAAAAGAGTACATTTACTTTATGCTTTCCCAGACATGCAAGAATGTCATCACAACTATATTGACGATATATTAGTGAGACATCCTTCACTAACTTTTTCAAATATGTTGTTGGATGTATCCGGTTCTGTCACGTGTTTGCACACACATGTCAGAATGAGCTACAGTAGTGAATGCCAGCAGGCTGTTCTGTTCATGTCAGGGCATGAACTTCATCGCGGGCTACCTCATGATCATCACCAAAGATGAAGAGAAGTCCTTCTGGCTCATGGACGCGTTGTTGGGCAGAATGCTCCCAGGTACCGTTTCTTTTTCTACCCACAGGCATTATTTGGCCCGGGAGTGGTTCGGTGCACTCATTTAACCCACCTGCAACAAAGGTTTGCACACGTTCCTCTTTATGAGGGGAAGAAAGACCAGATCATGTCACTGCTCGACCCCCTTTCATTCAAATGTGTTCTTCGTCATTTTATTATGCTGTAAAGGGATCCTCTTGTTACTTGTTTAAACCAATAACTGTATTTTTTTGTGGTGCACTTGCAGCAGGGTTTGGTCACTGATGTCTTGAATAAATATCAGGGTAGTTGAGGCAACGTATTTGTAATGACTGACACCTTCTGGACAAACGTAATATGCAACATTTAGATTTGATCTGAGAAACAGAAAGAAAGGGCCAGCGCACAACAAGCGATCACTACTGCACCCAGGAAGTATTGAACAAAGAAAATAAAAGCCTCATCTACTTGGTGGATATTGCAGACTTCTACAGCCCGGCCATGATGGGCCTGAAGACTGACCAGGAGGTTCTCGGGGAGCTGGTGAAGGCCAAAGCCCCCGCAGTGGGACAGCTCATGGCCCAGTATCCCGGCATATGGACACTCGTGGTGTCCCGCTGGTTCATCTGCCTCTACATCGACATTCTCCCAATTGAGGTATGGAAGCGTTCTCTTTAACGCTGGAGACAAATGAGGAGTCCGTGGTGATGTTTTACAGGCGTCTGTGCACCGTTTCTCCTTTCTTGCAGACGGTTTTGCGAATTTGGGATTGCCTTTTCTACGAGGGCTCCAAGGTTCTTTTCCGCGCTGCGCTGACTCTCATCATTCACCACCAGCCAGAGATCCTCCGAGCTCGCTCATTGACCGACGTGTGCGAGTGCTTTAAACAAATCACCTGCGGCGCTTTCACCCTGGACTGCCACACCTTCATGCAGGTGCGGCGCGAAAGGAAAGCAAACTTAGTAGGTGGTGAAACCACGAGAAAAGCCAGATACCTCAAAATGTACATCCAAATATTTACAGTGTACTATTCATACATGTATTCATTAATTTAGGAACATTTAAAAATATATATTTTCGTTTTTTTAAATCATCAGACGCTGGAAATAGTGGGGAATTCTTCCGTGTTGCATCTTTGACAGATTGCACAGAGAATAGATTATAGTATTAGAATAATTAGAAAAATAAGTGCCATGTGAGGGATTTGATCCACTTCTGGAATGCAAAATCCTTGTTTGCAGAGAGTGTTATTCGTGGATAAGGTGAAGTTGAAGCTTATTCGGTCGGCCTTCTAGCTGCGTAAACGTCTTAAGAGGGAAATAATCCTGAACCTTCATCAATTTGGTGAAATTCTCTCAAACTCTGTTCACAGAAAATCTTCACAGAACCTGGGAGCTTGTCGACGGCGACCATTGATAAACTCAGAGAGAAATGTAGACACAGAATACTGGAGGAAGAATCCGGAAGGCCGTAAAGTGTTGGATTCAGCACCTCCCCCCTCCATGTAACAACTGTACTATGATGACAGTTGATCCACCACCAGATGCACTACTGGGGGCTTCTTGTGTTGCTTGTGTTGAGATCTCACACTAAACAGAATGTCAGCTGCTATAAAAACATTCATCAAACCTGATACTTATCTATTTAAAACTGCCACTGATTTTAGGACATGCACTATAGAAGTATTATTTTTGCAGTAGTTTGGGAGGGAAACAATTGCTTTGAAATTCCGTTTTATATTTATTTTAATGGAGAAAGGGAAATATATCTCAGTTAACCTGTTCAAACTACACAAACCTGTTAATCTCTCTAATCTTTTCCCTGATCTAGCTTACCGCAAAACTGCCTCTGCCAAATAAAGGGAAAGAAAAAAGGGTCATTTCAATGTTCCATTTTTGGTGCCTGGGGCCGATCGTAGCAACCAACACCATGTGTTTACCAAACACCGCGGGACGTCTTTCCTCCACACTGCGAATACAGACGGACACACTGAGGAGCAGAGATGTGATGAAACTGGACAGTAACACTAAAGAGAATTTAATAATCAGTCATTCACACCTGCAGGATGTAAATCCCCTTACATGAAAAAAGGGCTCTAAACTATTCATGCATTTGCAGGATTCAACAGCACTATTATTCTAGAATAGTGCATTGACTCTTTTATTAAGTCCAAACAAACCAGAAACCAGTTTGACAACCGCTGAACAACGGCCAAAATGAATCAAATAGTGTTCATACACGTTTATTGACCTCTCCTTTAGAAAACGGCTCAAACAAATCAATTAAAACCCAATTAAATCACTACATGGACATTTAGATCACGGTGGATAAAAACATAACCAAGATAACAAACATCTGCACTTTCTCCCACATCAAACAATGCACATGCGTGGTAGTAACAGTATATGAGGGCTACGGGAGACACACAGACGGTGTCCCAGGCAGTGAGCAGGTACCTCCATGGTATTTACTTTAATCCCATCTATGTTACAGCTGGGAAGGCACTGAATAACACAGAACACATGTCCCTGGACACTTTAGTCCTTAGAAGACAATATTTGAGATAACTTTAGTGCAACTTCTTCCACTAAAGAAAAAAAAACAAAAACACGGTATGAATCATATTTAGGGGAAAGGAAACAAAAACTAGACAACCAGTGGATTTAAAAACGTCCAGCGTGTTATTACACCTACAGGATGTCGTGAACGTTCTCATCCACCCGAGAGAACGGAGTGTATTTTAGTTTGTTTGAGGGAAACTCCTGTTTGGTGCAAACATTGTAACAGACTGTAAACCATCATTCCTCAAATAGTGTCACATTTTGGGAAAATCTGTGCCTTGAATTTGGCCATAAACAATTATCTTACAAAGTACCCCTATAAAATCAGTTAGGTACCCTGAAGAGGGAAATAAGGGACATATTTCACACCCATTCCAGTGAACAAAATAAATTCCTAAATGCATTTTAACTTTGACTCCTTGCATGTCCTTTTTAAGATTAGATCATTGTGATTTTAGTAGGTTAACATAAAATCTGCAAGCTAGGGCTGAAAAGAAACCTCAGATCTTTCCTGTATGAAGTGGATTAACTTAGTCAAAAATATTCCCTTTATAATAACAAACCTCATTTGGGGAAAGACCACAAAAAAAGGGTCTTCAAAGCAGATGAACAACAAGAAAAGCTACAGTAGCTTTTCCATCAAAGTCACACAATCCCTCAAAGTTCCTTTCACAGAAATCATAAATAGTAGAATACAATTTGAGAACTCTTATTGATCAACATCCACGCTCAGCTTCACGTAGTACCGGTAGTTCCCCCCCCCCCCCCCAATTCATCTCAATCTCCAAACAAAGCCCCCTTTTCTTTCCAAAAATGAGCGCCCCAGTTCAGAAAAAAAAGGCTTATCAACCTCAAAGTGACAATGACTAGTGTTACTCATGAGGGCAAATAACAGCACACGCAGATGCAAGGAGAGGCGGGCGGGGAAGGGGAGGGGGGGGTTTAGTAGTCTAATGAAACAGTGGTTAATCTTAAGAGTCGGCAGCTGCGCGCTCTGGTCTCTGGGGACATGAGACCTCAGATGGTCTGGTAGCCGGCGTGGCTCCGCTTCCTCCCGATGAGGTACGCCAGGAGCACGATGAGGACCAGGCCGGCAAGAGCTGCGCCCACTACGATGGGGATCAACACGTTGTCTTCATCCAACTGGCATTCCTCCGCTGAGAGAGAGCGAGAGAGAGAGGGGGGGGGGCCTTAAAAGCAGAAAAAGCAAGTTCTATTGAACCGTGCGGCGGACGGGGCGGAGGGCCTACCTGCTCCAAACTGATCTCCGCTGAGACCGAACGGCTGCACCTGCGGCTGGAAGGTGTTGATGGAGAAATTCTGGGCCACAGTCAGAGTCTGCTCCTCGTGGCACATGTACGAGAACCCAAAGGTGCCCCGCAGCGAGTCCAGACTGCGGTTGGTGGCTGAGAAGCGCTCTACAGCGGGAGCACGGGGAGGCACTCGTTACGGGAGAGGGAGCAGTGACGGGACTAACGAAACGTGACGCATTCAACGGATACAGAGCGGCTGGTTTTCTACTGAAGGAAAGGTCTCTGTGTTAAAGTAAAACATTAAGTAGCACCTAGTCAAAATAGTTCCTTCCCCGTCTAAATTAAAAGTAGTTTACAACACAGAATCACTGCGTCTTTGTACATGTGACACGAAACCGCAAAAATCCAGATGAAATTACAAACAACTGAGTTGGATCACGTGCTTATTTAACCAGATAAAAGTAGTTGCCATAGGAACTGGTGGGTTTAATGGACTCACCTTTCATGTCTGGCAAGTCTGCTGACAGAGACACTTCACTCAGGTGGTACTTCTTGGACGTGGCATTCTGGAGAGAAGACAGTGAGACCGACAGAAGTCAGTTATGTTGCAGTAAAGGGAGTTTAACGCAAGCTCCATCTGGCGCCTAGTGGCTACTTCATGAAGTACAAGGGGTTTAGTGCACATGGTTGTGAGGGGGGGGCCCATTGTCCACCTTTCCTGGCTTAAGGCTGGCGCATGCTTCTGCGTCGTTAAGTAACGTGTTTTGGTCAAAGACGACCTAGAAACTCACGTCTTTGTATGTGGAAGTTGTTTGTTGGTTTATTTATTTATCATAGACTTTATTGCCCCGTACATCGCCACTGTTGCTTTTAATCGCAGACGCATTTGTCCCGTATTTTCCTCCACAACATTGTGCACCTCTCGACCGGCAAACCGGCGTTTGCGGCGATCTCCCTCCGTGAATCCAACCCGCTTCTACAACCCGCCGATGGCGGCGTGTATAAGCGGTCATATTTATGGATTTCTTCCATCAAAGGTTCTTCAATCTGCTCCGTTCTCTCATAAACATTCTTCGTTTTAATAATGGCGGTATCGGGCTATGAAAGCGGAAATGTGAGACTCCGTAAAGGACGTAGTTAGCGGACCAATCGCAGCCTGGTGCGCTGCGGGAGGCTTGCGTCGCTTGCGTTGACAGCGACGCAAGCCTAGAAAAATGGGCAAGGGGGGCTTGCGTCTGCGTCGCTCTGAAAGCGCAGAAGCATAAACTAGGCTTAAGATTGACAAGTCCGAGGAGCATGAAGCGCGGAGACACAAAATAAGCAGGCAACAAATACCCTCAGTGACTTACCAGCGTGAAGATAAAGGTGAGGTTGATCTTCTCTGCCTCCGACGAGAGCAGCAGGGAGGCCCTGTCCGACTCACATGACCCGGAGGCCTTTGTCACATTGGGCCGAAGGTTCAGAACCTCCTGCACCGTCTGTAGAACAGACGTTAACATTTAGCATTGCAAACTTGTTAATGCGTCTGTATATTTAGCTCCCACGGAATTCAGACATCTGCGCGGTGGGTTATATTTAGGCACCTTATTTTGTGAGTTGAAGGTGACGTTGAGCTGGAGACCCATGGACGCCAGTAAACAGGCAGTACCGTTGCTACTGGCGACCACGTAGTTTCCTTTCTCAGGCCTGCCGGGGTCTTTGTGCGGGGCGGCAGTGGTTTGGGCTGTTGTCGGAGGGGCCACTGTAGCCAAACCCTGGTGCAGCACAGCAGCTGCAAGAAGCGTATGTTGAGAGTCTAGACGAGGATCACTGAGATGTACATTAAATAAATAGGATTTCAACCAACAGTAATAAATAAAACACTTCTGAATTGAAGTTAAAGGCTTAGGTTTTTTCAATCTGCATGATGGGCTCATTTTGATTACAGGATTTCACTATAAGTGAGTAAAGACCCCGATTGGAGTTCAACCTTAAGATTTTCCTTTCCATTTTTATCTGAAAATGCCTATTTTCTCTTGGTCTTGTTAAATTAGGCTGGGACAAGCCTAATCGGTATTCAGACCCTTGACTAGTTAACATACGTTTAAAAATACACACGCAAGTCATGTCATATTCGATACCAGGCTCGCAGTGACATCTAAAAACAAATAATTAATTTGGATCTCGAAGAAAAACTTGTTTTTAAAAAGAGTATTTTAAATGGTTGATAAAGGAGAAGTAACTCTGTGGTGTGATTATCAAACACAAGGAGGAAGTGGATTGAACCGTAGAGCCCCATGCTTTAAGTAGTACGTACCACAATAAGCCAAACCCTATATGGTTTATTATAGTAATAAAGAACAGGGCTGGAAATCAATCTTTCTGTCGATAAAACGCCAGAAACTAGTGAGACGGACGTGCACGAGGAGGGGAATTCCTTTAATAGGCCACGTCCAAACGACGGCTAAAACCATCTCAAATAACAAAAACATTGCAAATTGAAGTTATGCGGATTATTTGTCTGTCCACTTGTTAAACAACTCGTTGTCCCAACTTCTATCAAGTCAGAACATTTGCCACAAATATCCAGTGACGTTGCAGCAGCATAATGCAATATAATATGGAATACTTCTGGCTGTATCCGTGCAGAACAATGTGTGGAGAGTTTGAGAATAGAAAGAACAATAACTTAACGTTACATTTCCGTGAAGTCGTTACAGATTAAATGCCCATGAAGCAGAGGAGCCGGTGGCTAACTGAAGCTCTCCCCGGCGCTGCGGCGCTGGTTGGGGGCAGTTCATCTGTGACCTTCGGTAACGGTACAGTTTTGCTCGCTGTGTAATTGTTAATAAAAGAAAGTAAACACGATGGATAATCACCTAAAATCAACTGCAACGTCACTCCCAGGAACCATGGCTGCACACCGCCGATCTGCGTCATGTTCCTCGGGTTCGTCTCTGGCTGCTCGTCGGGGAGAATCACAGCAACACAAGAGTTAGCTAACGCTAGCTTAGCGGCTAGTCGGGCTAACGTTACCTCAACAACAACAAGCAAAAAAAGAGAAACAAAACTCAAGCGCACGGATTCGTTAGGATGATGAGGCGCAAATCCCAGAAAAAACCCACTAATAAACTTCTTATATTGGCATACTGGCAGCTTTAAGGTCAGTTTAGTTCCTCTTTTTTACACTTTATGACCAACGCTTTAGCAAAGAAGTCTAACATCAGGGTCATGTGACTTTAAGACACACCCAGGGAGTCACGTGTTCAACAGCAGACACACGCCCTGCTCATTTAAACATTTATTTAGTTATTCAAGTTTAAACACAACACACTGACATGACTTTATGTTTGTCATGGACTGTCTTAAGACTACAATTTTGAGACACAATACTTGTGTACTTTACTCAAACATCTTGTTTAACATCAGATTCGAATTCAATAATAACCTTTCAGACGATGATTTCCATTAACAACACATCAGACCGCTAACTCTAACGTCAACACAATACAAAACATTGTAAAATTATAAATCAGTGGCCCCTAACATTTTTATCTTGCTATCAATAATCTCGTTGTCACGTTTCAGATGTTTAGCAGCTCCGCCAAAAACCCTCAAATTTTAGCCAATTGATTAAGGACTGTAACGGTACGCTACAATTATATAATATTATACAAAAGAGCAACAATTCCAGTCCAGAAAATGAAAATGGATTTCTGTAGGAAAACATTGCTTTCATTTATTAAGTCACCTGTTAATCAGAAACAGATTCACTAGAGAACAGGACTGTTGGACTGTAGCCTAAATGCAAAGAAATATAAACTAGGTCATCCATGACACTCATGTATCAGTCTAATCCTTCTAATAATATCACATATGATTAAATATTAGTCACACGTTCAACATTTCAAGCATGACTAACAATACCTTTTATAAGTTATTTTAAGTATTGTGTTTTAATTTGAATTGAAGGTGCAGCGGAGGATTTAGCTGAATCCAGCCACGATGTAAAGGATTGCAACCAAGTGAAACTACTGAAGATTGTCTTATGATTTTAGTGACACGCCCCAAATTTTGCCACTGTGGCCTACATGAGGTCTGAGGTGTCAATCAAGGGGTCTCGGGTCGGGCTTGATAAAGCACACTGATCTGCTCCGGAGTCAGATGCAAACAGCTTATTCACAGACGGTGTCCAGAAGCTTCAATGTGGGCGTGTAATGAAAGGCCTCAGGAGTCAGGACTCAGTCACAAGCCCCTGAACATTTTACGTCTAAATGTAAAAATAAAGTCAACTTCCTGAATTTTCAACTGCTTTTGCTTTCATCGCTGCTTGTTCCATCGTCTCTGTCAGTGTCACAGATCAGTGCGATTATGCAACTGAAGACTGACGCAACTTTGTGGAAAGGTCTCATTTCTGTAACCTCTTCCTTTACACAGACACACACTGACATTTGCGTATAATGGGGGTCAACTTATCTCAAATGACCTTTTGAACACAGTTACTTAAACGGGCCGTAACCAGATGCAAATGTCAAAATCAATCCCCCTGCAGTCAGCGGACGGACTCTTTATATTTTTCTAGTTGTTCACCGACGGGCGCATTTTGTACTTAACAATCTCTATTATCTGATTTCTACTCTGATAGCTTCCGGTTTAGTCTTCCTGCCACATTTCTAAATACAGCCCTGTGACGTATACTGCTTTTTAAAATGTTATTCTTCCCTACAATTACCTTGAAAAGCGGATGCAATGCAGTATAAGAAGAAAGAATAAAGGAACACAATTCATCATCACAAGTCAGATTGTTCTCTAATATATAACCTCTATTAAATCTAATTTTCAGAAATTGTGAGTTGACTGTACATGTGAACTAGTTTTGTAGTTTTAGCACAACTAGTATTTCAAGGGGTTTGAACTTGACGTGGGGGCTGACGGATGTTCAGCACTTTGAAGGTCCCACAGCCGACGTCTCAGTCCATTGACAGTTCAGCCACTTCCTCTGATCACAGAGAGTAAGAGTGAAGCAACCAGAGGCAACAAAGAGAGACAGAACGAAAGAGAAGCACAGAACAGAACACAGAGACAGACATGGGCGCGATGAGGACAGGTGTGTTGGTGCTGTTTGGGCTCCTGGTGCCCGTTGCCTCAACTGGTAAGACGCTTTCTTGACTTTGTGATTGAGTTTGGGCTGAAATGTTTGTCTATGGGCTGAAGGACGCCGAAATAACCGGGCCGGCGTCGGAAAACAGCAGCGGGTTTAATAGACTGATGGTGAATCAGTTTATGGCTGAACCCGACTGCGTCTTAATATTCAACATCTGTAATAAAAATCTCTGTAAGGCCTTTTCTGCTCGGATAACTGGCAGTAAACGTAGCTGTTTAAGGTTTTGTAATGAGAGAGTGATGACGTTTTCCATTTAATGTCACAGAATAGTGACATGGAACACTGGGAGTAAAATGATACTCAATCATGCAGCAAACATATTACTAAACATTATGTTCATTGCTCTTTAATTCCACATACTGAAGGAGCTTTTTTATTCCTCCCACTCTTTTCAAAAGCTTCTTCCTAAATCACATGTTGCAAAAAATAAATGCAAAACTGTCAGAACAAAGTACCCCAAAAATGCACTGCATTTATTTCCTTTGGGCTTAACTTAAGAAGTTTTCATGAGTAGAAGTTTGTGTGTATTTGATGTTTTCCACGTTGTCCCTTTTATGCAGTATAAACTCGGGTTGAGCAAAAATATGTATTCAAAATGATTAAAAAACACTTTTAAGTCTTGTCAAGTATTTCGATCAGAATCATCATGATGAAAGAAAGCGAGTGTGAATAAATAATCTCCCTGCAGACACTTTACTGAGTGTGAAAACACTGAAGGTGAATTCCGGCTGTTGGTTCTCTGTGAGGATTAAACATCGACAGTCGCTCAGCAGAAGAACTCACTCTTTGTTAAGCAGTGTTTCTGCCATGAACACGTTGATACACATGCTTCACTGCTTGCACACGCTAACAACCGTGTGCTATTTTAACTCAAATAGCTCTGTTTGCTTTATTATGAAAAAGTCCAAATACATGCTTAGTAACAAACAATCACTAGATAATTATCAGTGTTAGTGTTAAGGATAAGTGTGATCAATTATGTTTAATAATATTCGAAAGAAAAATCATCTCATTATTTAACGTAGCGACTGAATTTCCTCTTGTTGCAGCTCTTTGTTTTCCTCAAATGACACAGTGACGTTTTATTTGTTATTTTTCTACTTTTTTCTACTATATATATATATTATTTACATTAAAATCCAAAATACAATTGTGTGTCTTTGCTCGGTGTAAAGTTAACAAAATCCCCCACAAAATTGTTTAATTCATCTGACCAGTCGGTTTGCTCACAATAAACATTTGCTCAAAACTTGTACAAAGTTTTAAACTTTAAACTTCTATAGCTGCTTTAGAATGTAACAACATTCTAAAGCAGCTATGGAAGTTTAAAATCTGACGACAATGTCATAGCGTCAATTAAACAGTTAAATTTAAAGTTTTTGAAACACGGCTGCTCTTTCCGACCGCAAAGCGAGATAAACAATTCTCACTAAAGCCACAGAGCAGCCCGCCGAAGTGAGAGGAAGACATTCGCTCTACCGACATGCAGATATGTAGTTTCTTATTTCCTGTTTCAGGGGGTCTCACTGAATTCTCTGCTCCAATACAATGTACAGGTATATACAATACATATAAATATATAGCTAGATACAGATATGTATATCTACACATATATAGATATAAATAGCATATTTCTAAATAAATGCAATGGGCTTCTTTAATGAATGTGCAAAGCTGTTCATGTACTACATACATGTACCATGAACTTAAAAACTAACAAAAGTGCATTTCACAACATGTACAATGTCATTTTCTACTGGGACACTTCAATAAAACAAAGTCACCATTAACATTACCAAGGTGTGCACATGGATATGTGCACGTTACAGTATATACTCCAAGGCATTAGTGTATCATGTTCATTCCACTGGTCCCTTTCTTTCACACTGCACACGTCACTTTTCACTCGTCACTTTTGTCGCTTTCTGTTCAATGGTGCACTTTATGTTTTCATATTTAAATATTTGTAACTTTAACTTTATTCCTTTATTTTAAACTAACCCATAGCCTTATACTACTAACCCATAACATGCACTGTTGTCTTGTCGTCCATTGTCGTACTGTCTGCTGTTATGCACCAACCACCAAGTCAAATCCCTTGTATGTCTGACATATTATGGCAATAAATGTTTCCCGATTCCTGATATTAGCTCTTAATACAATGCCATTCATTTGATATTATCAACTCACTTTACCACTCCGGCTGCTTTTGAGCTGCAGTAATGGGAACCTTCCTGCTGAAGATAATTCTATAGTCCTAACTGATATAACCTGTCAAATATGGATCTGTTAGCCAGAGCAAATATGTAGATTCTATAGCTCACAATATGGAAATACTGAAGCCTTGCAGATAAGTAATAAAATATAAATGTTGGGCCTTTTCTGTCCATCAGAGACTTTATTCACCGATCCGGTCATCTGCTACTTCCTGGACTCGATACTGGTGGTTTACTGCCTCGTGGCCACGGCGCTCTTCTTCAGAGAAAAGGTGAGCTCCACCATACGATCATCTGTCAGCCAGTTACCAGCTAGTCAACTCAGTTTTAACCGATTACGCTTGAATAACTTAAAAACTAGTTTCCCATATGTAAGTCATCAACTAGTAGAGCAAAATGTCCGTTTCAATGTCTCACAGGACATCTTCAAATGTTTGGTTCTGTCTCAGAAGTCTCATTGGAAGGCGTTTGTTTTTTACATTGATGTTTAATCAATGATTCAAACAATTAAAGAAGTCTGCATGGTGCAGCCCTGATCTTTAAAACATTAATTTTTTTTTGTTCTTTATAAAAGTTCAACCTTTTCTTGGTCTCGTTGTAGTTTATCTACCCCCGATACGTCGAAGGATCTGTGAGTATCCATGTTTTCCATCTCTCCACTGCTTATTGATTTATTTAGACTGATTCTATTCACGAGTTCAGGTGTGTATGTGCTGAACATGTGCATTTTCCCTTTCTTTCTGGTGTACCTGACTAAACAGGGAGATAACGCCATATACCAGGTAAAGAGAACCATCAAGGCGTTTGATGACCAGACAATGTTTAACTCAGCTGCTCTGATGGGAAATATCACTTTACAATGTTACGTTTCCTCTACAGGAGCTTCAGAGAACAGAAGATATCGATACTTACCAGGAGATTCAACAATCAAAAGGAAAAGTAAGCGGGAATTTTAAAGGTCACATTCTCGCCTGTTCTGGTGCCAAAGCATCCACTCGTTTTATTGTATTTGATCTTTTCCAGAAAAAAAAGAAAAAGAAGGCTCAGGTAAGACTGTTTACTCACTCACATGGTCTCACAGCCAAAATGAAAGGAAACATTTGAGGCAAAAGGAAGTTTGTTAGTTGCAAATGTTCAAATGTTTTGATCTACATTCTAAGCAAAAGTTCCTGAATGCTTATTTATTCGCACAATCATTCTGCAAAGAGAAAAAATACTAATCTCAAACAATTCAAATTAGAACTCCCACGGGGGCCGTTGTCCCTGCAGACACGTTCACTTTTCATAAACTCACAGCTCATAACATTAACGGCAGTTGTTAGTTTTATTATTTACACCTGATTTTGTGTCCTCGGTGAAAAGCCTGTTAAAGGGGGATTATACCTCGATTGAATAGTTATAGCTTGATTTTAACATTAACAAGTTAAGGGCTAGATAAATATATACATATTAATCATCTATAATAAATAAGTGAATGTCCACTAATCCAGTCACCAAGGAGTTAGAATGTTTATCCAGATGCTCTGATTCTCTTCGATATTGATTAGTGGAATTGCGCAATATGATCACATTTCATCTAACTCTCTGATTTGAAATGAGTTTTTTGATTTTGGTCATGTCGACTCCTCCGGGGTCAAATGTACGCCAAGTTTTATTACAAACAAAATATACCAAAATATCGCTGGTTATTAATGACTAGAAACTAATAATATTCTGCAGTGTTTCATGTTGGAAGATCTTAAACTGAGTATCTCTCCTCCAGTCGGCCCAAGCGGAGTCCGCGATGCCCGAAGGCGCCGCTGCACCTCCTCTGTCTCCCCACTGACGTCCTGCAGGGTTCAGACAGCATCGAGCATTTCATCAGGGACATTTAGCTGAATTAGTGATCCTATTAGGGGAAGTATTTTAAAGACCAAATAATTAGCAACATATCAAGTAAAAATTACAAACCTGCTTCAAATCAAGACTTTCAAAAAAGTCATTTGACGCTTTAGATAAAAAAAAATTCTGCTATTTTCTCTTAAATAATTACTGTAGTGTCAAGACCGTAAACTCTGCAATCCAGATATCTTACAGCCACACTAGCAAGTATGGGGCTGCACGCTAATGCTAACTTTGCATGCAATGTGTATCAAGCATGTGGTTCTACGTGTTGCTTTGGCTTGTTAGCATGCGGATACTGACTGATTGGATCAAACATGACAGAACGGTTTCAGAAGCCCGATGTTACTTTAGTTATGGCGTCACTGACTCACTGAGAGCAGCTTGTAGCTACAACATGTGGATTCCAGCTGCTTGATTTGTCCAACTGAACGGCATTAAAATTGAAATCAAAACACTTGGAAAATGTTTTAATGATGTTTACAACAAAAGAGAACTGTACAGTTACAGTAAAATGTTATTTTAATATGTGTATAAAAACAAAACCAACAAAAATACAGCAGACAAATGCATCAAAATCTACTATGTATCCTGATTCACATACTTAAAACCCCTACACAACCTTTCAGGTGTTCGCCGCCGTGACTGGAGGCAGTTTAGTTTGGTTTCATTTTCCTTGTCGTCATTTTGGAGCAGTGTGTCTCAGTGATTTGTCCACGATGGAAAGCAGGATTCCTTTACGTTAAGACTCCTGGAGAGACAATTACTAGAAGACGGCAGAATAAGAAAATGGGAGAATAAATTGGGGACACATTCCTTTAGATGAGCCCATGCTTTCCACGCGAGTAGTAAATGTTTTACAGAATGCAGTTCTTGAGATACACAGACAAAATATTTACATGGTTGGAGTTTCCTTTTTTTTCTCATTTTTCCTTGTTGAAAGCTATGGTCACTTAGGCTGTGAACTGATAATCACACACATGACAAATCCCAAAACATACAAAAATACTATATCTTTAACCTACCAAGAGTAAGACAGTTCTGCAATTAGTTCCATGCTGTGACAGAAAAAAGATTACAACAAACAAACGAGAAACAGACGCTTTTCCACGCAAGTTCTTCCCGGAAATATACCAAAATATACATCTAGCTTTGGAATTACTGAGGCTAGGACTAGAGCCAGTGCTGGGTTTGTCTCCTAATACACATGCTGCAGGGTTGAGGGAGAGAGAACAGAGAAAGACACAGGACAGAGAGATCTCTTTGGTATCTGCAATATTTGGATTTTTGCTTTGGGATCGCGCTTGTGAGGTCCTGCAACCTCACCTGGAGTAAAGCATCACACAAAGTGTCACTGAAGCCCGTCGGCCAGAGGTCTTAGCCGGAGGGACACAGTCCATGCAGAGTGAAGGACCGTGATGCATAGTGTCACAGCTGAGAGGAGTCCGTAGTGAAGAGACAACGTCAAAAGGGAGGATGGGGGGGCGGGGTGGGGGGACACAGCAGTGAGAGTCAAAAAAGGGCCGCAGGATGTGTATTCCTGGAGACAACAGGGTCAATGTTCTGGACTATACAGTGTACAGATGACGAGGAAGAGACGGACACACTTGAGCAAGGCGGGAACAGGATTCACGCCACAGTCCTTGAGAGAGAGCGATAGAGGCGGGGGGGGGGTGGCGATGGGGCGGCACCATAGCAACAGCGCTCGAGAAAACACGGGAGTCCCGAGCATGTACAGTGTGCACAGGGTTATCCCTCAGTGGGTATTTACAAACATGGCCCAGCTAACCACCACATTGGTGTGTGTCTTTCGGAGAAGCCCGCTCAGTCTCTTGTCCCCCCCGCCCCCTTTTTCATTAGTCCCCGCCCACAGGCACTGAAACCGCCCAGTGTTTCCGGGGGGAATACACATTCGCATGCAATGAAAGCAAACTCTTTACAGACGAATCGAGGACACGGTTGAGAGCGTGCACCCGGAGAGGGGGGGGGGGGGGTGTAGACGGGCATCGCTCGTATACAATCAAGTTAAGAGTCTTTGGTTATGTTGGTACCACAGGAAAGCGAGAGCGCGCCGTCGTGTGGGAAGGCATGTACATACCTGTACTTGTTCAGAGGGAGAAATAAAAATAATAAAACGACAAAACAGGATTGTCAAACTTAAAGTGTTCAAACGTGGAGGGGTCGTCTATTCATATGACAAAAAAGTGACAGTAAAAGAATACAATATACTCAAATAAACCTAAATCTCAAGTTACAACAATTCATTTCCATCCGATGCCGACAAATACATCAGTGTGCAGCAAAAAGAAAAAAACACCAAATTGTGAAAGAAAAACCATTCAGGAGTACTGATATGGGATCTGTCCCCCCCGTGTGGTGGCCTTTCACAAAGTACAGGTATGAACGGGCTTCTCCGCCGACACAAGTTTCTTTATTTACGTTTCTTTTATATATTTTTTTATATATTTTTAATTTATTTTGTTAGTAGATTAAAGCGTGTTTCACTCAGTCTCGAGTTATAAATGAGGTATACAGATTCCTTTGCCTAAACCGGTGCTCCACACTTCCTTTTGTCAACCTTAAAAACCAGCCAGCGCGGCAGGTCGACAAACTTCAACATCCACGAGAGCCTCGAGAAATCTCTGGACTGCGCAGTGAAACCGAAGCGCGCGAGAAGCCATCGGCAGAAACGACGTCACTTGACAGTTAAGATCATTAGTAGAGATTAAACCGTCCAACTGTGATCTGGAAACTGGACTTTGAACCATAAACGGGGTTTGCTTTAGGCTTTAGTTAATCAGTATCGCCCCCCCCCTCTCCTCCTCTTCTCTGGACAAAAAGTACTCTGAGGTCTCTCCATGCTTTTAAAATCACTATCGGACACCGATGGAAATGCACCATAAGGGTTTGCAGACTCCCCTCCTTATTTACTCTCTCTCACACACACACACACACACACACACACACACACACACACACACACACACACACACACACACACACACACACATTATAAGAATTATTAGTAAAGCTTTTCTCACATGTATCCTCAACCTCTTGAGTCACACCTAAAAACATCGGTAGCAACATAATCATCCCACGCTCTTAAAATGCCCAAAGTACACCGTTTTGTTACAGTAAAAACAATGCACCAGGTGAGCTCACCGCGCGCTCGCTCTCACACACACACACACACACAAAACAATGCTACAATGCTCATGTCTTCTACGTAACAATAAGGCATAAATGATAATGTTAATCTTTGTCAAACTAAGAAAGCCAGTGATCTTGCCCTCTCGCACTATACAAAACAATTAAGGCATAAAGTAATATAAAAAATATTTTAAATGATTGTTAAAGACAGCACAACAAATCAAGTCCACGACAACAACAAAAAAAGAATCTATTTAAAGACTAAGATCAGATGCTTCAGAGTCAGGAGCTTCCTGTTGAAAAGCCCTCGCAGGGGTCAGCAACGCACCACTGAGGCGCCGTCTCAAGGTTTATTCTCAATTTTTGGTCGTCAGGTTTTTGTGAATAAAAAATAAAGATTCCTACGATAGTAAAAATGAAAGATTGAGGGGAGTTTTTTTCCCCCTCTTTTTCGAGTAAGCATGATAAACACTACATTCAGTCTTGATAACATACTGGTTCAAATATAAAATATGAATATCTTACACGGGTATATATATATATTTATATGTATAGAATTAGGAAAAGATCGTTTCTCTAATTCAGATAAATATTTCAGTAACATCCTGCAGTGCCGATGGCCACTGGTTTATCCTGTTCAACTCTTTAGCAACTACAAACAGCACTGGAACAGGACCGGGTCCTCTAGGAGCCCAACGGGGCCCCGAGGACGGCAGCCAGACACCCGCCTAGCTGCAAAGAGAAAGGCTTTTACTTTGGCAGAAGGATCTCAAAATAATAATTAAACCTGGAAATACCCCAGAAATAGTAGTACTAGAAAATAGCAGTAGTAGGTTGTCCTTTTATGTGTGGTTTATCAGTATAAAGCTTGACTGGGGAGCCAGACAATGATTACACATGATTCTACATGGTTCTATGTTCTATGTTTAAGTGCTGCTGAGGTATATTCAGTTAAAATAATTCAACAACAGAAAAGAAGTACACTAAAGGATAACATGGACAGATTACACTGCTTACGCTCTCGGTGAGATTATCACGATGGTAATTTTTGGGGGGTTTTTGGACGTAGCACAGCAAGGCTACGTTGCGCGTGTAGTTTGGTCGACTTTGGTTGATTAGTCCTCGGGCGGATTTAGGGAGCGGGATAGATTTCTTTTTCTCACAGCATGCTGGCTCAGAATGGCGGCCCTGGGAGGAGGGGGGGTATCTGGTTATCTGATGTTCCAATTCATACGTTTCTATAGACTGGAGGTCTGAACCACAAAGCCTGATTTCACTCGGTGTGGTCATAAAGCTATAAGGGAGCACGCTCCTCTGCAACAGGACTTTCAGCAGCAAGTTGTTAAAGCTAAAGTTTCTGTGATCCTCATCCGGCAGCAACAAATCAGGGATATCCGGCAACGACGGAGGTGGGAGAAGGGAAAATAATTTATCAGCAGAGTGGGGAATAGAGATCGCGTGAATGTCAACTTGCGTGCTCGGACAGGTACAGAAACTACTGAGGAAAACCACTTTGGTTTAAGCTGTTGTTTTATGGCTGAATATTGGTATAAACCTCAAAAAACAAAACCCTTCCGTGAACGCTTCACAAAAGTCCAAAACTGCTACCAAAATAGATTAAGAAAGGAAAACAAAACCACCAAATGGCCGGGCGATAACAAAGATCAGGCGGTATGGTGAGGGCCCGTTGATAAAAATAAAATAAACTTTTTCATGCCCCAACCCACCAATCACCCTCTTTCTGGTCAGTTGTGCTGCCAATTCAAAAGTTGAGCGATGAGACACTTCGTCAAATAATAAAAAAAAAGGTCATCTTTGGAAAATAATCATCAAGATATTGCATTTCTATATTCTGTTGACAATGAAGAGAGATTTTGTACTCATAAATATATTGACTACACTAACCTACACCGACTACACACAGCAATTATTTGAACAAATATTTTTGGTATATCTTAAAGTACGTAAGCCAGTCGAGTGACTGCAGAAAAACAAAAAGACAGAATTTCATTCCTCCCAAGACAGGCAGACTGCAGCTCATCAATCCAGTTTTTTGGTACAGATACTGTGCACAAGTAGATACGACGGTACTACTATCAAAGAAACAAAAAAAACAAACGCACAATACAATAAACCCCACCAAGCCAATGCCACCATACACCCACCCCCACCCTCCCCGACTAGTCCTCCCCGAAAACAGGCCGGTCAGCCTTGTGGATCATGCAACTACCCAACTCTCGGCGTCTGCCTGAGCTGTAGACGACACATGCAGACTTCTCCAACCCCGACTCCAAACTAAAGGTACAGACCTCCGAACAGACGTCCATCCACAACACCATCGCTCTGAAGACCGCTGTGTACAAAAGCAACTCTGCCACCGCAGCAAAGCGTAAAACTCAGTGTTTCCAGAAGGACAGACTCGGAGGGACACGCCTCGTCCCTCCGACCCTTAAAGCAGTGATAACCTTTATATCGGCCACTTATTACTTGTTTTTAAAGCCTTATAACCACGATTAAAAATTGATAGTTAAATCTTAACTCATCAGATTTACAAAGTTCTGAAAATGTTAAAAAAAGACAAAAAGAAATAAAAAGTTTCTGTCTACATAACTTTGATATGATTTACATCATGGCTGTCTAAAAAAAAGAGTGAATCAAAGATTGGGTGACACAAATCCCCATTAGTGATGATGAATATAGTGAAATTAGTAGTAAATTGTTCAGTTTGAATGTTAAAAAGAGGAAAATCGCAACGTTTTTGGTTAGAAGTATTTCAGATAAATTTCTGACCTGGAAATTGGAGGACATATATTATGTGTGTGTGTGTAATATATATATATATATATATATATATATATATTTATTTATTACACACACACACAAAATGTGAACAGTTTGATGGTGCCGAGGATGTATATATTTTTTCCTGGACAGTTCTCAAGGTCCATGAGGAGCCGCAGGTCAACAAGTGTCCATCTGGCTACTGTTGGTGGGAAAAAAACATCCAAGAATCATGAAAAGGAAACAAAATGTATAAAATAAAAAAAAAAAAAAAAATTCAACCTCAACCTCATTTGAGGTCATTTTCTTTTTGGTGGCAGCAAAAGGATTAAATAATGATAGATACAGTGGAAAGAATGTTGGGTGGTTAGTGAGGCGCAGAGCCGAGACCCAACAGCCTCCCTGCGAGGTGTGAGAGTAGTGCACGGCGCGGGAAACAGGGCGTCGACCCGGGACGCAGCCCGACGGGCTTCACTGGGCCTTGGAGGCAGTGGTGATGGTCGAGGCCTGCACCGGCACAGCGGCCGCGCTGGCTTGATGGTGAGCATCAGATGTGACCTGCAGCCCCCCCGGCCCGGCCGACACCAGGCTGAGGGGGGAGCTAGTGAGCAGCGACAGGTTCTGGGGGGACAAGAAGATCGGCGTGCCGGTAGAGGTGTTGGCGAACAGCAGGTTGCCGTCCAGGGAAGTGATGCCACTCGAGGCCAGAGCTGTGGAGAGAGAGGGGGGGGGGGGGTGTTATTGGTCTAAAAACTATTATCACTCACTCACTCTCGTCTTTTTTGTTTCTGTAAAGACAAAGCACCCAAAAAACATTTGAGCGTTTCTGCTTCAAAACTGTTATCACATTAAAAAGGTGGGGATCCCCACCTCCACACAAAGCCTTCTGGGACTCCATTGAGTGTACATAGTAAGGAAAGGTGAGTAGAGGAATAATTGAATATACGTACATTGATACACACCTTGGATGGTAGCCAGGGTGCTGTTGCTCATGAGGGCAGGACTCAGCCCGCCCCCAAGGCCTCCGGTCAGACTGAGCAGGGCCCCCCTGGACACAAGGACAAGTTCATTTAAATCAATAGAGAAGACATCGGACACCGAGAGTCAAACCCACAGTAGCAGTAATCAGAGGCCTAATCAACATGACCTCTACTGACCCCGGAGAGAACTGGGAGGATGCCATCAGTCCCGAGTTGAGCCCGGCAGCAGCAGCCATAGCAGCAAAGCTGCCGGGTAACTGTGCGCCCTGCAGCGCCGCCGACAGCCCCGACGCCGACACCATCACTTGACCAGTCCCCAAAGTGGTGGCTATGGATGTCGGGACCTGGTTGAGGATGGTTTGTACCTTGCTCTCCGAGTTACCGGACTGAATGGTCGTCGGCGAGGGACTTAGAGACGGAGAGCTGGCGGTAGTGAATATCGGCGCCGCGGAAATGACGGACGCTGTGTTCGTGCCTTTGAGGCAGTGCGGGGAGAAAAACGCAACGTCGGCATTCATTTGTGTCATTTTGTTTGACTCGACAATCTGTTTTCCTGGAGGCAAACACATCTGTACACACCTGTGAACGACAAACTGGAGACGCTGGTGCTGGTGAGAGGCATCACTGAGTTTACAGTCAGAGTGGTGGGTGTGTTGATAGTTGGACTGCTCACAAGGCTTGCTGTGCTGGCCACCTGCGCAACAGAGAGTGAGGACTGAATGAGCTCTGCTGTCACGCTGCAATAAACTACAGCCACAAACAAACAAAGGGTATCTTCTGGCAATGGAGGCGGTTCCAGAGAACAATGATCACCATGCACGTGTCATAGTAACCCTACACATAACAGACTGCCGGATCTTCTGGAATGAAACAGACACTAAAACATTCTAGAAGACAGTCCTTGGGAAAAACAATTGAATGTGTCCATCCTTACTAAAGGGCTACTGGGGGTGAAGAGGGTTTTGATGGGGGTGCAGCCTCCTCCTCCGCTGCTGGGAGGGTTGATCCTCTTCTCTTTCTGACGGCGATTGCAGAACCAGACCCGAATCACCTCCTTCTCCATGTTGAGCTGGTCGGCGATCATGGTGATCTCTTCAGAGGTAGGTTTTTGGTTCTGCTTGAAGAGGGCAAAAAAGCCAGAGATGCCCTGTGAGCACTGAGGGGCCTATTGACTGTACATCTGCTACTTGTTTAACACGGAATGGTAAAGCGCCAACTAACTTTCCCAGCACAGATCAATATTTATGAGTTCACGAAAATGTGCTTCTAACCTCCAGAAAGCTCTTTTCTAAGGCCACTCGGATGTTGGTCTCAATACTGGTCCTCTTCTTTCGTCGGCGGTTGATCCCCTCGATGCCCATGCCCGGGGAGCCCAGGGCACTGGGGCTGGACAGGGACTGGTCCGATGTCAGGGTCTCTGCACAAACAGCACCGACACAAAAGGAAGGGAGGAGAGGTAAAGGCAAGGCACTGCAAGGGATCCCTGTGCAGGCAATCACAGCATTCCCGCTGTTTTCAGGTGGGTTCAGGGACAAACCTGCATCGTTGAGCCACTTCTCCAGCAATGGCTTCAGTTTGCACATGTTCTTAAAGCTCAGGTTCAAGGCCTCGAAGCGAGAGATGGTGGTTTGGCTAAAGTCGTTTCCGTACAGCTTCCCCATGGCCAGGCCAACATCGCCCTGGTGAGGAGGGAAACACACAACAAAAAGAAAGGTTTTAGAAAGGCCACTGAACTTAACCAGGACTTAACTTTTGTTCTATACATGAATTTGATTGTGAAAAAATATCCAGAGGGGGAAAAAAACAGAAATTGCGAGGATGGTCAACCTATTTTACACACACCTGTGTGAAGCCCAGTTTGATGCGCCTCTGTTTGAAGAGCTTGGCAAACTGTTCCAGTTCCTCCAGGTCGCTGGGCTCCTCCATAGTGGGCGTGTCCAACCGCTTGGGTGTCGTCTGAGTGTGGGACAGGGACTGGATGGGTGTGGATGCTGTTGTGCGGGTTGGAGTGGCAGGCTGCAGCAAAATATAGAATGGAACCGTTATCGGGCTGAGGAACAGTTTGGAAACGTAAGAAAATACACGTGGCATTAAGGAAACTGCACCAAACAAATATATGAAGGTTGGCTTTGTGATGTGATTATATTCAAATACCTGGATTACTGTGGGCAACGTGTGAGCAACGCCGGCATTACTGAAACACATTCTCTCAGAGTTTGCTTGCATCATTACCAACCTGAGTTGCAAGGGTGAGGCTTTGTTGAGTCGGCAGGAGGTTAGCTTGGCTTTGAGGTAGATTTAGAAGACTCTGGGCTTGCAATATGCCTAAAGAGTGAAAAGCATGACAGTTAAGAAAAAAAATATATATATAAATAAAAAACAATACAATATTCAACAGACATCTCTTATCTTAGTTCTGCATGCAAATCAAAGCGGGCGGGTGTTTGGCTCACTCTGTTGGGCCTGTGTTGGCTGTGAGATGATGAATTGAGTAGGCTGCTGTAGTGTGGCGATGGGGTGGCCGGGCTGCAGCAGGACGAACTGAGGCAGACTGAGATTCTGCGGCTGTAGCTGCTGAAAGAAAGTCAACAGTTATGAGTAGGAGAAATGAGCCGTTTATCATGGTGCCCTACTTATTGTTGTGGAGAAAAGAACAATCCTCTCCATTCTCTACAGTCATCAACTTAAAGCAAATATCTCGGCAAGAGTCAATTACAGAGCTAGCACGGTTCTTTGAGATTGCTTTTTCTTGTCTCAAACCAGACGCGATATATTTGTATTTCATTATGGTTTCCATATAATCCACATTTCAGTCCAAGAAACAAGAAATGTTTTCAAGAAGATATTCAGAAGCCGACTCAAGAAATAAGGAAAAATAATTCTTCTCTATAAATTACATATACAATTAGTCCTGTATGGCTTGGAAAATGACTAAGGTTTTGTCTTGTGTCTTTAATCGCATATAACAGTGTAAAACGTATGAATAGAGCAATTTTGAATCTAATTCCATGATGACCTTCTGTGGCACTGATGGAATGGGTCTTCCATGTGAGCCTTTCAGGACTGCGAGTGTGGTCCCAAATATACATTAAGGATTTGCAGAAAGACACCCGCAGCAGATTGGAGCTTACAGAGGCGATCTGAATGGGCTGCGACAGGGGCAGCTGGCTGATGGGTGTGGCTGCGGTGGCCGAGATGTTGGCCCCGGTGGTGCTGTTCTGCTGGTTGGCCGAATGCTGCACGGCTGCAGCCAGGAACTGAGCTTGGGCCTGCTGGATCAACATCTGCTGCGCTGGGGTCAGGGTCAACTGAGGGAGAGAGGCCAGGTCAGAGAGGGTGAGGGCACAAAGGAGGATCAGAGGATTCAAGTAGCCCGTGAGGAAATCAGTGTTATGATACAACACGAATGGGATGAGTTAGTGTTGTCACAACACTTTATTGGCTTTGATAGATGTGAAAGGTTAAGTTTTTATCTTAGAGATGACTCTAAAACCACAATGGGATATTGAAGAAATCTGTGTTGCGTAAACGACCTGTGACACTTTTACACACCGGTCTTGACATGATTGCTGAGAATCTCTAGTCTCCACTAAGTGCAATAAAATGGGTTATTTATTTATCACTCACTTCAACATCAGGGGGATTTACATTGTTTGATGCCGTTGCCAGCAGTTGTTTAAATAGCTGCTCCGGTTTACAGTCATGAACTAGAATGTCCTTAACAGTCAGACACTGAAGTTACTTCACCATCATGCTGTTATCTAAAACTATGACTTGTTATAAAAAGGTATCAAAGTCGCACTAAAACCATTGTTGTCGTGGCAACACCAACATGAGCCCAGACAGGCAATTGGGGAGAACATTCATGCAGCTAGGCAAAGGCACGATGGCAGAGGAGCTTATCGATGTCCCATTGAAACTCAAATCCACATGCACGGTAAACATTCAAACACATTCAAAGTGGCCGGCCTTCTAGACCGCAGCATGCCGCCACCTCCCCACCCCCAGGAGACCATGGATGGATATGGAATGCGTCGTGTGGTAGGCCTTTCCAGGCTACGTCCAAAACGACCCCCTCGGCGAATTTGGATATACCCCACTGATCGCTGGTGAGCTGATAAGCAGGCAGACACAGGCACAGGATCGGGGCGAGCAGCCATTTTATCACCCAATCTTTCAGTGACAGGTGGACAACGTGGTGGTGGTGGCCCAGATGCATGGCCGCGACCACATTTGAAGCGCAACGGGTCACTTACTCCTGCAATCTGTCCCCCGGCCAACATTAGCTGGGTTTGAGGCAATACGCTCTGCTGGATGGAGGTCGGAAGAGCGCTCGAGTCTTCAGACTTAGACTAGTGGAGGTGAAGCAAAAAGGGAGGCTTACCATAAAAAAATAGCAAGAAGATCTTAAATGTTTTCGTTGACAGCAATTTGAATGGATGAGTAATTCAGACCAAAAAGGAGCAGTCTGGATAAAACACCAAATAATACAATGAGGCGTGAAATCCCTGCTACCTGAGTGGCTTTCTGAGAATGAGCCTCTGGTCTTTGAGCAGGGAGAGGAATAGAAATTACAAAAACCAAGTGAGAAGGAGTTTTTAAATGTGCTGCAGCCTTCAGAGACAAGGAAAGCCAGTGGAAGAGTTGAGATGCTAATTAAAATAACGGTTATGCAGTGCATGTAAATTCTGCATAGATTTGCATATTCTCTGCCATCTGTTTCCGAGCAACCGCAGAGCAGCTAATTAGCATACAGGGTTGATTAATCCGCCGTGTTGCCAGGCGACACACGGAGAGCCTGGCTCATTTAAATTAACTCCTTTTGCTTGTGCATATGTGGGTGCGGATCAGCACACCTCTGTTCAAACTTCCGACCTAATTTCATTGTAATTCTACAATTAACATGTGTGGTCACACCCAAAACATTATCTGTGAGACTGCCGCCGCTGAAACGAGACGACAAAAAGTCACCGGTGTTTGAGTATGGGATCACGCGCGTTGTGCGTTACCTGTTGGAGGATGGCTTGTGCGTGTGCATTAGTGATTGCACTTGTGGTCGGCACCGTCTGCCTCTGAAAGTCAAACCCATTGATTTGGATTCCTGCGGATGGAAACACAGTTAATGAAACGTGCTGTCAGAGGAACAGAGGACATTTTTCTCATTGTGGTTTTAATTGGCAACATAATTTACGCTCTTGTTATTTCAACACGGCCCACAGTGAACATGTGGCGGCATGCTTGAGCGGAACATGCCGCTGTCAGGTGGAAGGAAAACATTGTTTTAACAGTGACAGCAGCTGTGACGGTAAACCAAAGTTGTTACACATCTGCATGCATTTGGTTGGCGAATTTAAATGACGACACTGATAATGACAGGTGTTAATGTTGCATAAATTCACCCTCTCGCAGTGGTGATTCAAAGATGAACACTCAGTCTTCCATGTTCACCTTGAGTTTGTTCGTTGGTTGGTACACAAACTCACTGAAGCAACACTGAGTAGAATCAGTGTGATGTTCAATGGACACAAGTGAGGACAACTCTGCATTTGATAAAGAGAACTGCAAGGAATTTGGAACGCTGCCATGTCTTTCTTTTTTACCAGCCAATAATGCAGGGGTCAACACAGGACGGATTTTTTTTCCTGATTTGCACTTTGCAGACATTTTCATTTTTGCAGGCAATTTGAAACCTGTTGAATGAGGAGGTTGAATTGAAAATCCTGATCTGCGTCCCGTTAAAGAGAAAGAAAAAGCTGGAGGTCACTCACCGGTGTTCCCGTCACCACTTTCCATTGCACATTTAGTAGTTCCTGACTGATTATTCACTTTAGCATCTGGAAGAGCCAGACAGAGACAGATAGTGAGACAAAGTCACACAGACCGCCGGTGAAAACATCACAATCCTGCCTCTGTGAGTTGACTCTCATGAGGAGGGCAGCCCATAATTGCATGACATTCCGACTCCGCAGTTACATTTCTGTCACATTCACCATTCAAAGTGGCAAAGATTAATGAACACAAATCACAGACACATACTGGCTGCATTCACAGCGAGAACGACATGACGACGGTAACATTAACGCTATACAACACGCGTAACGTTCAACGCGGAGGGAGCCTTCCGCAACTTTCGACGTGCCACCCGAGGGGACCAAATCCGCCGCGACCTCAACAAACTCACCCGCGGCTGTGTTTTCCAGCATGGCTGCAGAGACTAGCCTGGAAAACTGCCTCGACCGGGCAAACCCACCGGCGGGGCGTCCGGCGCTCTGTTCCTCCTCCCACTCTTCACCCTCCACTGGTCAGCGGCGAGCGGAGTTCAGTGCAAGCAGAGCGACACACAGACACAGCGGCACTGTCCGCCACACGGTCCACTGACCAACACTGGGACACGCACACTGGGGAAGCCAACAGGGTTTAGGCAAACAGCGCTCTCTCTCTGCCTGTCTGTACTCTTTACTTTCTTTATAGCTCTGCTGCCCCTCTCCCTTTTACAGTGCCTACTTTGCAATCCCTCCCCCCACCCCCACCGTCTCTCGCTCTCTCTCCCTCTGTCTCTCTCTCTCTCGTGCCAAGATTGTCTGTACTTCTGGAAAAGTTCAACCTCTTTCTGGAATGAAACAAACGACAAGTGCAGCTGGCGGGCTCCTCCAACCGCCGCCCCCCCCCCTCCCCACATCTCCAACTCTATAATGAAGCATAATCAGTATTCAGCTGATTAAAGCCGTATGCAAATTTGCCCCTACCTCGTTAGCAATGCAAGGCTTTGAAGTCCTGCGAGCGGCGCATTTCACACTGGGCTCTGAAAGCTTTCTGCATAATTTAAATCCCTATAAATATTTATCAGCTCATTAGCATATTAATTGGATGGCTTTTGGAGGACGATAAAAAACAGGGGAATAAGGACGACACACAGGCGGGGGGGAAAAAGTGCTCAAACTAGCACTTGGCTCAGAACAGGGAGGGGAGGCAGCAGCACAAGACCAATTATTGTGCAAAAGCACGGCTAAAAAGTAATTAGCTAAGAGCAGGTGAAGGGCGGAAGGTATCCCAGAATGCAACGTGAGGCCTGTCGGCAATGGTCTGCACATGTTAGCAAGCCGGTCCGGATTAATAGGACGTCTCAGACTGCTCGTTCGAAGTATCTTCGGGAGTCATGGAGACCGGGCCTACTTGCTAAAAAGAAGGGAGGGGGTGGGGGTGGTCTGGGCTATGAGTGGGAGGGGGGGCGCTCAATCGGAAATAAATAACTTCAAATTAATCCACCACAAGCCCGTCATTACTGCTAGACCCCCTGTGGCTAAGGCATTCCTCAGCGAGCGACTACAGAGGGTGGGCGGCGGGCTGTTGCCCTCCATGTTTATGAAGTGTTCGGGGATTAGCATATTTAGATTAGCTTTACATTCCATTAGTATTTCATTTCGGGGGCCCTTTTAAAATTCTTTTCCACCATGCTCCGAGAGTTACCGCAGCAGGGGAACAGCCGTGCTGCGGCGCCGCGCCGGCGTCCAGTGAATCAGAAGGACCGGGGCGGCGCTGCTGATCCAAAGCAAGAACAACAACACAATAAAGCTCTCAACTTGTTCACTTCTCTCGTTACCCGACGGAAGGCATTTACACCCATGCTGACCAGATCAAACGGTGCCGAGAGGGCCCGCTAGCGTCAACACAGAACGTGCTGAAGAACAAACAGACCGTTATCAGCGCGGCACAACGGGAGGGCAAGTGTTCCGTCGTCAAGCAACGCCAGCAGCGCTGTGTAAACAGCAGCGTGCTTGAATGAAGCCCAACTACACACCTGAACCAGTGGTGGTTGCTGGTATTTTCCAGGTGCGTTCAAGCGCTCCTTCATCAACACTGCTAATGTTCAGAGTGTGGTCGTTGGAAATTATTAGAAACTGGATGGAAGTATTGCGGAAACACCTCTGGCTATTTTCTAAAGCTACAGGGGCATTTTAATAAGTTGATTGTTATGATAATAATAATGATTGAAAAGACTGGAACCAGTGGGTATTAAAGCTAGAAAAAGTACATAAAGTAGTTGCCGATTCATTTTTTGTTCATCATGTACTTGGTCAAACATATGCAATTGATTAAATAAACGACATGATGTGACATACTTTCATGCTAGACCTAATAATCCTTGTTGATCGGGGTTGGTTTGTGTGTTCTTTCAGTTGGCAAAGCAGGAACTAGATGTTCCAACCATTTTCTCATTTTTTTGCTACTACTGCTAAGCTGACACAAATTAGTGTTGCTGGAGAGTTATGAACGTGTATTAGGTTTTACTAGCCAACGACAAATCAATTATCAGAAGAAAGAAAAGACCAGCCATACACCGATTTAACGTCTTATTTAACCAATTGATTAAATATTAAGTATCCTTTGGGGGGAGATTTCTGTTAAGGCAATGGCCTTTTATTTTGATTAAACAAAAAGTCCACAAATTCAAAAATAAAGCAGACAAATCCTCACTACAAACTGAAATGTGTTACGTATTCTCTAGTTCAGCTACCTGCAGAAGGAAATAACCGTCTGAGCATTAAACAAACACTACATTACTAAGACGCTTACTATTGATCTCCTCATACAACACAGCATTTGGTTAAGGTCCAAACTAATGTTTAACAAGATGGTCACTTAAGATCAATAGACATGCCCCGTCTGTGTTGGATCTCCAAGGGGTCCATCTTTCTGACCTTTTCAACAATCACATCCCAAAAACAAATTTTAAAAAAAGGAGACAAAAGCAGTAATCAGCCGTGCACTGCAACACATGTAGAGTTACTTGGTTGATTCGTTTGCAAAACGCTGTTGTGGAACAATGCATTACACAAATATCCTGCAAAGAATTTTAAATAGATATCTCATTAGCACCGGGACAGGGGACAGGCAGGCAGAATACTGCAGAGCCGCTAATATGAGTGGGGAGATTCAACATGAGACAGGGCTAAACTTAATTAGTACGTCCACTCTCTCCTCTGCTACGTGCAGTCATCTTAAAAACACAGACTGCATCGAGACTGTCGGGGGAGAATTCGTTGAGGTGCATATTGTCTCAAGAACAGAGACCACTTCTCCTTAGAAAGGACAGGAGCACTCCGACAGGTTTGGACAGACTGGATGGTCACCAGATAAACAACAACCTTCAGCCTTCTGGTTAAATCAGAATCAACATAAATACCCAAACTGTTGTAACGTTGCTGTACATATTCTTATTAAACCAACACATGACAACACATCGTACAAACGGCTGCAAGAGGATGAACAAAATAGGGTGCGCTGTAATTTGATGAGGGGTAATGCAGCTAACACCACTGTAAGCTACAGCGCTATCTCATGGGTGGTCATTAGCCAAATGTCTGTAGGCCAGCTGGAAAATTCAACCTAACTAAATTAAAGTGAAGGTTCTAGGGAGTGGAGAGTCGGAGTATTCAACTCCTTGAGAACCGCACACGCAGAGGTTAGCTCTGATGCACTGCTACGGTCTGTTGATGCAGGCAGTTTCAATCCAGATAGATGGTGTTTTTTCATTTATGTAGCAGATACGACCAATAACTGCTGGTTTCAAGTGCTGTGTACTTAAAACTCTGAGTAACATAAAATGTCTGGGCAAATGTTTATTAGGGATCTTCCTCATGGAGAGTCCTAGGGGACAGAAGGACAAATGATAAAGACATCCTCCACGCATAAGCCCCTCTGGTTTACGGCTTGTGAAGGCCTCCATTATGTGGATTATGTCATCATTCATCCCCACTTGTAACTATTTCCACTGAAAAAAAGGGGTTTTCAAACGTGTGCCCCTTACCAAACGTATAGCCTGATACAACCCAACAATTCAGTATGTGGTCGTTTGTGCTAAAAAAATCCTCTTTTTACAGATAATGTCTGATCCCCAGACAGATGTCTGCTCTACGTTGCTAAATTCCTAAAAGAACATTTCAGTTCAGATCACTAGACACAAGTGGTCATCTGTGTTAAGCACAGCTCGGATTAGTTGTGATACTTTCCTCCACAGTGAAAAAGCTCAACTGACTGCAGCCTTCGTGGAGGCCTTCCCAGTACTTTGAGATGGCATGTCCTGAATGTATTACTGCGAACGATGCATTATTCATAACAACTGTGTTTACAGTAATGAATATTCATGATGGAACTACAAGGCTGGAATGAGAGTGGAACTGAAAAACTGATTAAATGAGAAAAGTAACCTAAGTGTGAGGACAGAATTATATCTCGACTCTTCGTAAAAGAAGCCTAGTTTAATTTGTTATATATATTTATTTAGGTAAGAGAGCTTATTTCCAGACAGTGGACATACTTTATTTCACAATATGCCAACACACTCGTTTTTCTTGGCTTGGGGAAATCATTTAGTCTACTGTCTTTCTTGGAGACATATTGTCGTCTGTAATGTAATTCTATCATTACCGTGGGCAAAGTTACCCTGTGATACTCAGACAAATGAACCGGGGGTATCCATATAGTGGCTTTGTATCACGGTTAATACAATGCAAATAAACAGTGGGGCCCAAGACATCGGGGTGACTTTATTGTTAAAAATAAAACAAGAAAAGAAACACTGCAAACTAATTGAATTCAATATTCTGTTCTCACAAAAATAACTGTCAGAAAGATAAGCCATATTCTTAGAACAAAACAAAAGTAAGCACACCCATCTATCCATGTACTCTCGTGTTGGGGACACATTTTGCATTGTATTTTCTGTAAAGGCAACCTGATCTGTGAAGTAAAAACATAGTATATATGTGTAGTATGTAATGAAGTATAACGCAACTCAGTCTCCTTTTTTTTTTTTAAATAGCACACTGAACTTCGCAGAGCTAAAGGGGAGGGGGGGAAGTGCCATCAAGCTGTGTCTTGCCCGGCCCGGAGCCGAGGGGGTGAATGGTAAGAATGCCCTGCCTGTTATTATTGTGGCTTTCCGGAAGTGGGCCTCACCACCCCTCCCCGGGCCTGCGGGGGGATTCACAGGTAAATCTTTGTATTCAGCCCAAAACTCCTGCAACAACGACAGCCTGTACGGACTCACACCAAGTTCCCCCCCCAAAACAGCTCAGTCAATTTAAAAGTTGTAAGAATAAATTAAATATTCTAATGAGAGAGACGAACAGTTGAGACTCCCACTTCAAAAAAAGGCAGCCAGTTACAGCTTCAAGACACTGAACCGATCAGCATGTACACGTTTATATTCCTTAACTCCATTAAAAAGAGGGTGTAACGTTACGTTAAAGTTGGCGTGTGACCGACAGGAGCCAGTTATGGAGGTATGGAGTTAGCCGGTTAGCCAGCCGCTGCACGCGCGGACAGTACGCGTTTTTTTTTTAAATTTTATTTAGTTGTTTTCTCCACCAACGCATCGTTCAGTATTTACACACCAACTGTCATGTTGACATGCAGTTGTTGCGTCTGGTGAGCTCCAGCTGAACTCCGCACTCGGGTCGAGTCGGGCCCGCACGAACGACACAACAGGCTGCTGCCGAGGCTCCGCTGCGCCGAGCACAAAAGGCTGAGGGGGGGAACGCCGAGGTGACACCGCGTATCTAACGAAAACACAGGTTGCCTTCAGTCTGTTCGCGTTCCCTCTAAATACAATTAAGGTTTTTTTTTTAAACACACATAAAAAAAAAGAAAAAGAAAAAAACAGAGCGCATCCACTTCCCCGGTTGGGCAAAAATGAATATGCAAACCTCCTCCAAAAGCTTCGGCGTGTGCATCAACACAAAGCCAGAGCGCTAGCAGCGGAGCTAACGCTAGCCTGCTAGCATCCCCATTTCAGTCAGATCGCCTTAGCGAAATGTCTAAATGTGTCATGTACGAAACCGGGCTCGCGTCGGCGATTACTAATAAAATATGCTAAGTTGTATTTGTCGGCGGAGGTATGAATATGTAGCGGCGTACAGCCGTCTAATCGCACAAAGGGGGGGGGAGAGGCATGTTTCCAATAGCTGGTTTCCTCCTCTGTCAAATTACAGTTGGCTAGCTGTGTGTGAACTGCAACATGGCTGAACACCTCCTCGCCCGAGAGCTCAACGTGCGTCTTATCTGCACTCCGTTCGTCGCACATCGCGAGTAAGACAGTTTGAATATGAATATGTAAAATGCTGTAATCATTACCTGGTCCTGAACTCTCATCTTGACTCGCTGCTCCTCCGTCCGCCATTTTGAATATTTAACCCAAAACCCCAGCCCTGAGCCTCGCAGCGCCACGCGCACGCACGCATGTACATACATGCACACGCGCACACTTTGGTGCACGGGAAAACACCGACTCACCTTTGTTTTTGGTAGCAACATGTTGCGTGCCCTTGGAAAGATGTTTTACTTATATTTAAAAACAATTTATTTTAAAGAAATGTTTTTGACATAAATGTTGTGCACTGAAAAAAAGTTGTGGTTTTGTTTTTTTTACGTTGGTGCGTTGATATTTTTTCAGACGTAGGTACTCCCAGTGAGCCTGCATAGTAAGGAAAATATGCTTGGTGCGTGGTGCTCGACGACCATATGAGTCAAGAAACCAATTAATATAATTTTACATCCTTCCTGAAAAGAAAAACAATTGTCAGTTGACCGTGCTCTGACCAGAGACGGAATATTTCACTTCTCTAATATGAAGGGATGGAAAGTGGGGACATGTTTCCTTTTATCCTAGCCACTTCCTACATTTTGTTCATTAATCTGCATCGCGTATACCAAGGAAAAGCCATTGCATTGCATCCTCTTCCCCATTCACTTTTCAAGAATTCATTTTTACACTCAAATTATCATGCGGTTTGATCATATCTATGAATGGTTTTAAACCTACATTTGAATGATCTATAAAAAATAAATAATGTTTTATGGAACTAAAATGATTTGTTTGGGCATTGCAGTGATGTTTAACTGTAAGTACAGTAACTAAACAAATAAAATAATAATCATACTGACATTCTATGTTAGCATCTTCTTACAACCAGTGTGTTACAAACCACTACAACTTCTTATTGATCAAACAGGATAAACAGTGTTTATGTCCCTATCGTTAGGGCATCTAATGTATTGTGCAGACATCTCAGTGACCATCAAGTTTGCAAAGAGTTTCTGTAAAAGTCATTTTTACAAGTTAATGCAATACAGAATTTAAAATCAACTTTCATTTCAGCTGCACAACCATGCAAAAACAACACAACATGCAAAAACAACATAACAAAAACAAGCGATCTTTAATAGTTCACCCAAAACACCGTAAGGCTTGATTACCAACCGGTTAACAGGGCAGGTCCACCTTCACTGCATGCAGCTTGATTCTTGGTAATTTGATTAATAGCACATTTGCACCAGAAATGATCTTTAATATCACTACCCAACAATGTAGCACTATCTTGTGATGGTGCCTCGTGTTAAAAATGTACTTTAAAACCCGTATTTTCTCATGGAAATTTATCTCACGTTGCATGTATTCATGAATACAAAACCCCCATAAAGCAACAAACGGGAAACCTGTTGCCAGTTAGTATAGTATATAGTATTAGTGCATTTATTGATAAATAGTGAGGTAATTATGTATAGACTACTGTACGTGATGAGCAGCTACAGGGTACCTATCCAACACACAGGAGGTTAATAGGGTCACAACGGATATTGTTTGTGGTTGCATTTTAATCGGGCTGTGCTCCACTTGGGAAAGACTGCTTATTAATTGGCATTGCAAGCACCTGGAACAGAAGATAAATAGGTACAACCATTTTACATAAACCAGCATATAAAACTAGGAACATTACTTACATCCTTTTCATAAAATTCACAAAAGCATTCATTACGTCTTATATTTATTGAAAAAGAAAGTACATTTATTCAAGTACTCTACTTAAGTACATTTTTTATTCAGTAACTGCACATTAGTATTTAAATGTCATGCTTAGACCCCACTCCAAATAAGAGAGAGACACTTTACTTGTTACTCTGTAACTGTATTTATCCAACAGCTACTAGCTAGTAGTTCAAAGTAAGATTTGACATTTTTAAGAGCTGGTAAACCAAAGCCCATAAATGAAGATCAAACGATTGAATGGCAACTTTTTGGGCTGCAAATTGCAGGCAGAAAACAGTGTTTAGTTGGGTCTCCTCTTAACGTAATTTAGTTTAAAAACCTGTTTGAGACCCATATTCAATAACTCACAAAATCTGATTATTATTTATAGATTATACAAAAGTAAAAGGACGCTGTTGATGAGTACTTTTCACTTTTCTAAATGATTTTATTTTACTGAACAAGCAGTTTCACTTGTAATGTATTGGTACTTCACTTATACAAAGCATCAGAATATTTCTTTCATCTCTGTATTAAATGGTACTACTGTACTTTAAATGGTATTACTTCAGTTTGAAGATCATTGTAGAGATGTAAGATCTTTGGCCTGGTTGTGTCATCATACATTTGTAGGTCAGGGATTACCTTTTTGTATTGAACATCCCTGTCGGTGCAATACTGCGGCCTGCAGGTCAAACCGAGTAAAACCGCAGGTGTGTGGAGCAACTGACTGTGATCAGTTCAATTATTTATTTCCATTTTGTTAAATCATTTTTTGTACACTGTTGTTAACATTCCTTTGACGTGTCTCTCTGTGTATGCTGTATGAATTAAATCCCATATCTTCTGTCTCTGTAACATTATAACATTAGAATTTAAGTCATTTTAGTAGCCTTTTAAGGGCAGGTTTAATCGAGGGGATAGCAGGTCAACGATTGGTTCTCTGGTGACATGTGACCTATAGCTGTTTTATTACCTGGAAATGCTTCCTTCTCCATATCTGGGAGTTCACCGTGAAGGTCAGGCGGAGTCTTGCTCTTGGACTGAGACCGCTAATTTCAGATTTTGTACTCACCGGACACTTTCATCCTCGTTCAGCAATGATCGCAAAGAGGCAGTTTGAATGGCGAAAGCTATTTCTGATCGTCACAGGTAGGTTTAATGCGTATATTCTTTCTCTTTTTCCTATGAACCACTACCACACCTCAATTATATTATGACCTGGGTTAATCATTAATCCAATGCCTTGCTGCTCTTCAGGAAGAAGGATTGTGTTGAACCTAAAAGAAACCAAACCATTTATTAAATCTACTTTAAAGAGAAACAAAAAATACAAAATAAACTTATATAAATGGGGATATGACATTTCATATTTATTTTGTTCCAGTACTTCCCTGCTGCAGGAGTTTGCAGGTTTCGATTCCAAAGAAAGAATACGAGGTTGCAAGGGGAGGTGATATTACTTTGACCTGTTCCTTCATCCCGGCCAGACCCGTCACCAAATCTTTCGTCCTCACATGGGAAGGTTTCCCCAAGAAAGAAGGCGACCCCATGGTGAGAGGTTTGACTATATACACTATATGTGCAGTTCTAACATCTTCTAAATACAGCTCTATTTGGGAACTCTGTTCATTTTACATAGAAAGACCACTCAACTTGTCCTTTGGAGATGTATTTAGCATGTGAACACAGTTGTATAATGTTTTTATCTCAGTTTGTGCGCAATCATGACAGAAAGCAAGAATGGGATCATGGGGTGTGAAAGACGTGGGTGTTTACTTAACAGGGAGTGTCTACATTTCAGCGGCAAATGGGAAGTGTAGGTTTCGCAAATGGCCACTAAACTGTAATAAACAGAATCCCAATAGTAACATATTCATTTATTTTGATATTATTGTGTTTATTATGATGTATTGACATTCTTAGAGAGCTACCCTCACAGAGACAACTGCTAAACCAGGGACTTAAAGAAATAGTTATATAGACTTTATTTATATCAAGATTGTGAATTGTCGACCTTTTTAAAATGGACAATGATTCGATGTGGCAAAACACCGTTTACATACGGAGCCGTACTGTTCTGTCACTACACCTGGTTCTGGGTAAGTTCTCGTCATAGTGCTAGCGTTTATGGTGGTCATGACCTTTGTTCTATGAGTAAGTCAAGATTGCATCTGGCTGCACATTTTAGTCTTTATAAGATGCAGAATGTATACTACAGTTTTCATTCAGCAAAACAGCTTAACACACCATTTTGTAATTTGATAATAAAACATAATACACTAAGATGAAGTATTGTTGTGAAAACCAAAAGGGAAACTGAATAATGCAGATTTAGTACAATGTTAAAGTCTTCCTGAATCAACAATCTGGCTACCGCTTTACATGGAAATAGAAGTTAGAAGTTATTATTAGAAAAATTTTATAAGGAAATAAAAATAGAAAATCTAATAATTTGTTCAAAAAGGCTTTGTTTATTTATATATTTTAATGCTAATGCCAATTATCTGATTTAATGTCTAATCTCTTTGTATATATATTTTACATTGAAAATTTTGGGGTACCATATTGTATGGCATACGATCCTTTAACATGATGTAATGAAATGTCAAAATGTGGCATCTCATTCATGATATTTTTAAGATGCTGATGAATATCAAGTAATGAGTTATTACCATATTGTATTGTTGTATTATAGTGATCAGATAGTGTTATAAAATATCTCTGTGTTCATCTCTCTAGCTCACCGTGGCAACCTACTTTATCAACAACCCAGTTGACATTGCACCTAATTATGAAGGCCGAGCCACTGTGGAGGTGAACATCAACACACAACAGAGCACACTGCACCTGACAAACGTGAACGCACTGGACAGCCGCATCTACCAATGCAGCGTCATGATCCTAAACGATGGCGAGGGAACAACATCTGCCACCACGTCCCTTATGGTCCTGGGTGAGAATTAACCACTAACCTGTTGAAAGTCAGTTTATCTGACAGCTCTGTCAGCCCTTCTGTCTAACGTCTCGTTTACAATTGCATTTATATTTGGTCTTCATGAATATGTCATGTCTATTCTGTTAGCAAAGTTCTGCGGGGTGATTCTTTTGACCAAATTCGTTGTTCTCTTCCAGTGCCTCCTTCTAAGCCGATCTGCAAGATTGAGGGAGAAGCAGTGTTCTTTCAGGACATTACTCTCACTTGCAGGTCTGAGGAGGGATCACCTACGCCCCTGTATAAATGGAACAGCTACAGTGTCCAAAGCATTCCCAGAGCATTTCCACCAAAAGCAACTGAAAGTATGTCTGAACCATGTTTCAACCATCCGAGTGTTAATTTGAAGAATGCATCTTTGAGAGGCTGCTGGAGCATTCCCCTCATTGATGTGAGTGGAAACAATGCCCCATCACCAATGGTTTGGCCTAATTTCTGTCATTACTTTGCAGAGGATGGAGCTCTATCCCTCTTCAATATTTCAACTGACACATCTGGGTTCTACACTTGCACGTCGACAAATCGGATCGGTTCCAGCAGCTGCAACTTAACTTTAGCTGTGACGCCCGGTGAGTGTTTTAACACGATCCACCTTGCAATCTTTGCCCAGGCTCTAAGTGTAAAAGCTATTTGTCTTTGGTCCTTTGTCTGCAGGCAGTATGAATGTTGGGTCCACTGCAGCTATAGTTGGGGGAGTCCTCGCAGGTGTGGTGATACTGGGGATTGTAATCTACTGTTGCTGCTGCAAGAAAAAGGGCAAAGAGGAACAATATGCTGAAGGGTATGTGTGATATAGCTCGTGTGTTGCTGGCACTCTATACCACATAATGTAATAATACTGATTGATACTTAGACCTAACCATGTTGTCTACCCCTTTTTGCCTTAGTGACCCTGGTGAAACTGCTTATTATGACAGAGATGGTTCTGAAGCTGGAGAGCCATACCGGGATGACAAGTCAAACAGCATGACGAAGCAGGCCAACCAGCATGAGGACAAAGACATCGTTCCTCAAAACAACTACGTCGTTAATAGAGTGGTACACAAGTCGGAGGACGATGAACACAGTGATGTTGACTCTCGACGTAACCAAGACGACCAGCGTGATCACCACCGTGGAAGTCGTGATAACCTTGATGATGAACGTTACGGTGGCAGTCGTGATAGACTTGATGATAAACGTAACCATGGCAGCGGAAGCCGCGATCGCCTTGACGAACAACGCAATCGGTACGGAGGGAGTAGGGATCGCCTCGAGGATCAACACGAATCTTACCGAGGCAGTCGGGATCGCCTCGACGATCAACACGAATCTTACCGAGGCAGTCGGGATCGCCTCGACGATCAACGCGATGCTTACCGAGGCAGTCGGGATCGCCTCGACGATCAACGCGATGCTTACCGAGGCAGTCGGGATCGACTTGACGATCAACGCAATCGTTACGGAGGGAGTAGGGATCGCCTCGACGATCAACACGAATCTTACCGAGGCAGTCGGGATCGACTCGACAATCAACGCGATGCTTACTAAGGCAGTCGGGATCGACTCAACGATCAACGCGATGCTTACCAAGGCGGTCGGGATCGACTCGACGAGAGGTGCGACCGGTCTGGCGGAAGCCGCGATCGTCTCAATTACATCGATGATTAAAACAAAAGCCGGTATGAATGACCTTGTGTTACTGAATGTCTACACACCTTGAAAACACATTTTTTTTAATGCACAAAAAATATTTTACTGAAACACGACGCGATCATACTGGGTGTTAGGGAAGGTCACAGACGACATAGTAGAATCTGTGGCGTTGTTCAAAATGTTAAGCGGGCTACGTCATTAGCTGCCAACAATGAAGATGCAAATGTCCCTTGCTAAGAAGCCAGCGCGAGCAGTAGCCCTGTGAGCACACTTGCTGTACCTAATGGTAAGAAAACGTGTTGCATTGTGCCGCGCCATCTCACAGAGACAAAGCTAAATTTATTTACACATTCTCGCAAATGTTATGAATTGGCTTCTAAAAAAAAATCCCCAGGGAAACAGTCTAAATTAAAAGTGTCTCTAATATAAGCCGCCCCAATACAAAAGTAGCATTTTCTTTTCTACTCCTCGTTTGAGAATATTCAGTTGGGTGACGCTAAGCCTTGTGACATTGGGACAACTGTCTTCTAGTTGTCGATGTTTTGTGGCTGAGCTAACTGGACCACCAGTCCCGTTGATTCAGCAGAATTCTTTTCTTTAAAAAAAAGTTTTACAGTAATTAATCCAGGTTTGACCGGGTGTTTAGAAGGAGGTCAGCCAACTAAATGCGATTCAAACAAATCAACCTGGTACCTTCTGACCCTGTGACACCTGTTGCATTGGACTAACATTTGATTATACCTGACCTGTTTGTTTTACCTGTGTGAATAGACTGGTAACTTCTTTTGGTGAGTGTTAGTGTGGTTGCTATAGTTACCAGGAGTTCCCAAATTGAAATGTAATGGTGTTTAAGATGATGATGATTAATAGTTTAGATACCTGTAAGAAAATTTACTATTTAGGGTTTTGACATGGATACCCAAGGTCTTTAGATAAAATGTTTACTAATAGTGTCGTCACACGCTTTGTGTGCTTTGTATTTTTGTTAAAGTGAGTCAATGAATGTAAATTGGTCATTGAACATCAATCATTAACATAAATATATTGTGATTGTTCTTTTTGTTCTTATTGTGATTGTTCTTTTTTTAATCAGACTAAAGTGCATCAGCTGTGCTGTAAAGTTAGATTTACACCTTTTTTTAAACGGTTCAATATGTGTGGAAAACGTGCCGGTTAATGACTTTTTTATTGTGTGATTTTTATGTGGAACTTTTCCTTGTTTCATTTTTTTTGTCCGATAGATGATTCCCCATAATGTAAAATTCCTTCTTGTTTTATATGATGAAAAACTAATTCAATAAACAAATAAATAAATAAACGGTGGTCAAACGTTGCCCTTTCCGTGCAGTGAAATTCCTCATAACTCGCAGCCAAGAGTGACCGGATTTACTCATGGAGGAGCCCCCCTCCCTCCTCCACCTTCCTCCCCCACCTCCCTGCGCCACCTCCACACCGCGAAACCTCTCGACCCTCCCCGGAAAAGCCCCCGGCACCACAGCCGCTGCGGAAAATCCACAGATACAAAAACTAAAGACAGAAGTTTACTAATATTGCCGTGATCGTGCGAGGTACCGGGCGCGCGGTGTTTGGACCCACCTATAAAGTGGTACAGTCCCGTTACGCGCAGCCCGTGCGCCCCGTTCACTGCCGCAGATAGCGGACAACCAGAGGGACCAACATGCGGACAAAGTGCACTTTACCATAAAACGGACTGTAGAATGAACTTTTACCGAGCGGCTCCTTTGCTGGCAGCATTGGGTAAGTTTCCTCCACGTTACTATGTATTCTTCATCTGTACGACGGCAGCGCAACAGGTTGTTGCTCCTGTAAATGCATCGCTGACTGCAGACGCGATACTCGCTAAAGTACTTATGTTGCGGTTTTGACGTCTATCTTTTTTGACGGCGAAGTCAGCCAGAGGAATGCGAGAGACTTGGCATCGTGTTTAAACAATTTAGTAAAAAGTTATGTGGTTTATGTGACGACCCTCGGTCATAATGGTGGGATTAATAGCGCCTTGCAGACCTAATACACATAAGGAATAATAGTGGCCTCTGGGCTTGTCATTTGTCTCTTACGGTTTGTTATTGGACATTTTATGCTGTTTTATGGTAGCTGTATTTTACATTTTAAAAGAGCTCCAAGGATTACTTGATAAATCGACCGATAACATTATTATTCGGATAATTCATTCGTCACTTTAATTCACAGGAAAAACATGTTGAATATATCCTGGTCTCACGTTGTCTAATGCTTTGATGCTTTGTCATTTATGATAGTAAACTATGTGTTGTCTGTTGATGAAATAGAACAAGCAACCACAGACATCTTGGGGCGCAGGAAAGAAAAAATATCCCTGTCAGAGACAAATCAAATGTACAAGAGTCTGACATATAATTACCGTGAAACAAGCCATCAGTTTCAGCCCAATACTGTATTTATTTTGCCTTTAAAACTGTATGTAGGTCCCACAGAGTGCACATAAGGTCTCGTGAAGGCTGGACATGAACATGTGAATCTGCACACAGCACCTTGACAAATATACTCTCTTCACTTGCCACAAACCTTATGCGTGTTGCTGTTAAATTGCTTTGGAATTCTTCCCCAAACATGGAGACTATATTCAGTTTTATCATTGTTTCTTTGTTGGCCCTAATGTCTCAATGTGAAGGAATGTACGACGCAGAAAAAGCAGGAAATGTGACAGCTCTGGGGAGGAAAGGTCCGTCCGTGTTCAGGAAACACGCAGCGCCCAGCGGCAGAGCTTTGACCTGGAGTTAGTTTGTCACAACATACTATAAGGGAGGTCTAATACCGAAACAAGGCCTTTAGTTCGTATGCAGGTGGACGAGGTGACTGTCTGCAGGCTCTGTAACCTGTTCATTAACCTACAGTGAGTCACACCCGGTGATAAACCTCATGAAAACAATCATTTGCACCACATCCTCTCAGCTCAGGCTGACGGCATTCATGAGTAACGGTTTGGTTTGAATCTCTAGCACTTAATTGGTGTGTTCACGCCCCAGCTGGAGGAGGCCTGATGCTCTCATTGGTTGGGAGTGTATGCCCCCCCCCCTCCCTCGACTCCTCAAGTGGGACAGAAAAGAGGGGAGCAGCCCTAACAAAGGCCTGGGCCATGAAAAAGGGAAACAAAGGGAGGACCAGAGCCTGTTGGAGGAGCACTGTAGCTCGGTCACCCCTCCTCTTGTACTTTTATCCTGTATAAAAATCATCTGGCTCGATCTCTGCACTTATAATATGCAGACAATGTCCAGATAATGAGGGTGCTCATCTGACCAGACTCAGTTTATTATTAAAATCACCTGGCTTACTTTTAGTAAGTCTGTGAAACATTAGCATACTAGCTTGAAACATGAGCGGATCCGACATACATATTGATTGTTACGTCTTCTTTTTTTAAACCTAGTTTTTAGTCTTTTTCAAATTAGATATGACAACCATTGTCTGGTTCCGGCCTTCTTGAAATGTGATGAGCCGAGTCAAACGAACCAGTCAAATTCCATGTGCGCGTACTTTTAGATAATACTGTTGCACCACTAAACACGACATCTGACGAAGTCACCGTGGGCATTTTTCTGCGATTAATCGGAAATACATTTTAGCTGCATTCCAAAGGTTGCAAGTCTTGGGTTCATGTTCAAATGAACCTAGAAAAAGCGTCCATTTTAGATGGAAGACGAGAACCGACCTGAGGAGAGTCGGGCTGGTGGACTTGTTTGGTTTAGATTTCCTGTCTTTCTGGGGAATGTTTAGAGGGAGTTCCTGCCCCACCTCGAGCTAATACGACTCGCAGAAAGCACCCAGGAGACTCCGACCTCTCCATCCCCTCCCTCTCTGTGTTGACAACCCCCTGCCTCTCCAAAGGCTCCCCAGCCCCCCACGCTCACTGGAATTTAACCTTCCTGACCCCGGTACCGAGCAGCGGAGCCTAATCTCTGTTCCTGTCTTTACTCCTGTTTTAATATGAAGCTAAATGTCTCCCAGGTGCAGTGAATCACGCAGCCGAAGAAGAAGCGCAGCTGTTTGTCTTTGTCAAGATGTCCTCTGCATCCTCTTCCTGTCTTTTTATTCTTGTTCGCGTTTACTCTCAAATGTAGTTTAGTCCAGGAGTCCTGCCACAATTTGCTCCCCTCATTCATATCTATGAGGGTAGACTGAATATTACTATAGAGCACAAGTGAATACAAGTATTTAAATTTAAAGCAAAAATGCCCCCAAAAACCTCCACTTCCAGCCTTTATATTGTGAAGATGTTCTGCTCTTTCCGACCTTATTTGATAATATCTTTAGGTTTTGAATTGTTATTTAGACACCTTTAAGCTTTACTGGTACCTGGACTATTAATTGACTAATTAAGAATTGGCCTTTCTAGAATGGGCTCTTAAAAAAGCAACTCAACATTGCACTAGTTCAATCAAAACCTCTTAAAACCAGTTTCAACCAAAGTAAAAATCCTTTTCATCTATTAAGCAGAAACATGATTTCAGCTTCTCAAACGTTAGGATCTGTAATGTGCATCATTGTAAACTGAAGAGGGTTTTGCACTGTTGGATGGACATTTGGATTATTTGGACATAAAGGAAATTCCATTTTTGATAAAAGTCCATATAATTGATTATTCCAAATTATAATACAGCAATAAATGTGTGGTGATAGTTCTCCTCTATAGTTCATACTGGGGGCGACGCTCCTCTCTGGGTTATGTTATGAGTGAATAAACTCTGTGAAGGTCCCTGGTATTGATTACTCTGGGTCAAATAGGCGAACCTGATATTTCTCAATGCTGAGAAATGCTGTGTTTGAACTTGCACAACTAAGTACACACATTTAAACAATATTTGTACCACATTCTAAATAGTCAAATCCCGTCTCTTGCAGACAGAACCTCTATATTTAGGCCTATTCTTCTCCGACAACAGAACTTATTCCCATTTCCTTCCTTTCTCCTCTTGCCAGTGTGCGTGTGCGATGGCGTGCACGTCACAGTGCGGGAGAAGCAGAGGTTTGCGATGCTCTTCCAGTCCGTGGTCCTCCCTTGTCAGTACCAAACGGCCTCCACCCAGAACCCGGTGGTGCAGTGGTGGTACAAGTCCTACTGCCGAGACCGCACACGAGAGTCCTTCACCCTGCCCGAGAGTCTGGGCGTCCAAGCCTCTGAGCTGGGCGCGGCGTCCCACCTGGAGTGCTCCGACAGCGGCCGCACGGTCCGGGTCGTGGCCTCGGCGCAGGGAGCCTCCATGACGCTGGCTGAGCACTACAAAGGACGAGACATCGCCATCGTCAACAGTAACGTCATCGCTCTTCTCTTAAAAGTTATGAATTAAGGAAAAGGAGTTGCTGCAGATAACCGATAACTGCTCTCGGGACTCAGCGCTGACTGTGTGTTGTGTTTCCTGTTCTGTAAATATACCTCTTTTGTCTCTGTCTCACAATAGAGTACACACACACACACACACACACACACACACACACACACACACACACACACACAACCATGACCTCCTGTTCTCACTCCTATTCAAGTATGACTCGTTGTAAAACCTCAGGCCTTATCAAGGCAAAACACCCGTCTCCTATCCAGATGTGTCAATGGGACACACCAACATCTAACAATGCCGGCTGTCCTCGTTTAACACAGTAAAAAGGATAAAGGTTCACCCACATGAGGAATCAATGCATGCCGATAATCACTTCATTTATACGTTTAATTGAATCTTCATTGTTTATCACAGAAATACCATTATGTTTGTTTTGGCTTCACAATATTTTTGCAGATGATAACATTTAACAATAAGAAGCTTAAATATATGTAAATGTGCTGTAAAGTTAAAATCTGCATTCAAACCTCAACACTTTTGTCACTGACAAAAAAGAGTTCATCAACCAGTATTGAAGAAAGTACAAATCTGTTTTGTAATTTGTATTCTAGCATTACTATTTGATCCATCATTTCTTTGTTAAATCAAAGGCAGTTCTCTTTTTGGTTCTATCTTTTCAAGATTTGAGACACTTAGCTTCTCGTCAAAAAATAAAAAGAATGAGGTAGAAAAACCTGTTAATACTTCTTAAATACTGTACCTTTTGATAAATGTACTAAAACTAAAGGTATTGTAGAGGTGCCAGTATGTTGAAACACAACCCATCAGTCATACATCACTTCAAACGTGCCAATGTGCTCCCAGAGGCTGTTTAACAATGTCACCATAGTGTGATTGTTGTTAATGTTAATCAATCTGATTCAAAACCACCGCTATTAAACACTGACGTGCTTGGTGAACATGACCTGACCTTTCTTCTTGCAGCACATCTAACCTTGTTTCTGGTCCCTGTGCAGAAGCAGACCTGCGCATCGGGGAGCTGCAGTGGGGGGACAGTGGAGTTTACTTCTGTAAAGTCGTCATTGCTGATGATCTGGAGGGAAAGAACGAGGCCCAGCTGGAGTTACTGGTGCTCGGTAAAACTACTCTTTATTTACACTCAAAACACAGAAAGACGCAGAGAAGTCTGACCACGGTCGACTTTTCTATTAAGCTCAGTGATGTTTTGTTCCACATGTTGCTAAAAGTTTTAGCAATCGTCTCGCTGTTGCTCTTTCTTTCCAAAGTGTTTTTACAACAGTTTCCATGGATACGGCCAGATGGCGTTTTCCTCTTCACACGGTTCAGGCTAAAGGGTTGACGTGGAATTTAATTTGGAGATGCTCAAGTAAAGTATTTCAAACGTGTGCTCAAGTACCGTACACGGTAACAGAGGTGGAGAGTCGGTTAAAGCTGCAAGTTAAAGCTGCTCGGCTGTTTGTGTGTGATCATATTCATTTGTATTCAGTTGGTAATAAATGAACAGCTAACCTTTTGTTTCTAAAAGTCAGAGATTCAACCTCTTCTGTCAATAAAAATGCTCAAAGTCGCCTGTCCACAGTCCTCCAGAGAAAAACTGTAAAGGCCATTGTTGCCAAAGCCACTCCTTAAGCTGTTACCATGGCGATGGGATTTTACCGAGGAGACTGGAACATGTCGAGTGTTGCTGCTGGTGTCAACATGAGAGATGCAGAAAAGAGTTTGCCCCCTTTGACGTAGGCTAACCCTGATGCTTCTTGTAGTATTAGTCCTCCTCCACTGAACCTAATCCGATTATAATCAGCTCACAGGAGAGAGGGGAAGTTAAACATGTGACAGTAACAAGACCATACCGGCTTTTAGTTTCACCGCGTTGCAAAGAGAACAATGGAAATAGAAAGTGTGCAAAATCCCCACTGTGTCCGATTAGCATGTCATTATGTATTCAGATCTCACACTAAATTATATACACCAAAATGTATGGCAATAGTTTGCCTATTGGGGAATTTTAAATTTAAATAATCTTCAAATAACTTCCCGAAAATCTACGACTTAACTTTACGCTTGTAATTTTGTACGCCGTAAACAGGCCAGTGCTTATGCTAAGCTAAGCTAACCCGTTGCTGGTTCCAGCTCCGAGTTTACCGCACAGACATGTCAGTCACCAAACTCGATAAGCAACAGGTTGTGTTTGGGGCGCCGTTTGTAAAATGTTGCACTTTCTAAAATGCTGCTCAGTTTTGGTACATTTAGCATAATCATATTGAAAAAAAGCACGACAATATTCAAATTTTTCAAACATTTCCTCTCACGTCCTACTCTTTTCTTTTAGATTGATTTTTTTCCTCTACTCTACTCTTTTTCCACAAATGTTCTCTTCATGTGCTCCTCCATTACTCCTTCCTGCATCTCTCGCTGCCTCACAAGCTTCCAGGGCTGCACAGCTCCTCTGCTCTCTCAGGTTACTCAGTGTTACTGAGCTCATGGTATGCAGATGAACGTGCCAGGGAACCAAGATTACTTTTTTTTATCAGCTGGAAAGGTTACACTATTCCCCCCCCCCTCCTAGTAGCAGTCTACTCAGCACTCTCTGGAGCCAGTGGGTGTTTAGTCAGACAGTCTTTAATTATAGTCTTTGGACACCTCGCGATGTAGACGTATTGAAAACATGAACACCTGCAGCTGTGTCTCGGGCTCAGCCCACCTGTCGCAGACCCGTTGGTGTTACTCTGTTTTACACTTTTCTAACTGCCTCGAGTTTTTCCCTTTTTTTGACCTGTTTATCTTGTATGCAAAGCACAAAGAGACGGAGATTGTGTCACATCGGGACAAATTGCGTGACCTCTTTTGACGGGATTCCATGCTAGTTTGTCGTCCCAGAATGTGCCCCAGTTTCTAAAAAACCCTCTTTGTCCTCACACACTGACTCTCAGGGGACCTCTTTCTGTGTGTGTGTGTGTGTGTGTGTGTGTGTGTGTGTGTGTGTGTGTGTGTGTGTGTGTGTGTGTGAGACTGTATGCATGTTGTATTCGTATATATTAATATGTGTAATCCGCTAGAGAGGAACATGCGCGCTGTGGACTTCGATACAGAAATAAAGCACTGCTGGCCTCCTGCTAAAATTACTAAAGTGCATTTTGAACTCTGAACTCTGACTGACATGACTTATGTTAATGCTCACACGTTAATATTTGAATTTAAATACTACTAAGCATCCTTTTGTATGAGCATAAACTCTGGGCACCAAAACAATATCAGTGTGGTCAATGTGATGAAAAGACTACAGCCATGCTATCTGCGCTACGAGGCTGCGGAGCTAAACTCTAATGTCAACATGCTAACATGCTCACAAGAAGTCAACGTGATGCTTCTTTAGCATAAAGAATGTTTAACCATTAATCTTCTGGCAGGCATGAATGTGTGTACCAAATTCCATAGCATTACATTCACTGTTTTTGAGACATTTGACATTTGTCCCCAAAAGTCGGATAATGACCAAAGTCAGTGGGCCTCACTAAACGTCATGCTAATATATCCAAAGTATTAGGATAGTTCAGTCTGGATCAAAGTAGCAGACCACAACCTTTATCATCCCAAGAGCCACGCTAGCAAACAAATGTCCTCACAACAGCATGTAGGAAAATGAATTGATGTAAAAACGCTTGTCACTTCAGTTCCTGGGTTGGTTACTGAACATCACACATCCACAGACACCCTTTTGACTCTCGCTTTCTGCTGCTTCCTCTGCCGGCCTTCACCTGTGCTCTCCCTCTCTCTGCAGGCAGGACAGGTCAGAAGGACGATATCCTACCTGAGTTTGATGTGGAGATTATGCCAGGTACGGCACCTCAGCTGCACTTCCGTTTCACCGCCTGTCGTCCTCCAGCTTCCTTTATGCTTTCTGACGTTTCATTTTCACCAACCAATCAACACTCTCTCTTACTAACAACATTCATGAGCGCATGTTTACACCGTTCTAGATAAAGTTAAGGAAACATTTACAGAAAGTTGTGCGCAACCGAAACTGGAAATACAAACACTCAGTTATTGTATCTCTTATCCCTGGTCACGGTGTAACTTCCACAAGGGAGATTTGTGACAGTGAGTGCCTGTTGGGCACACCCTCAGGAAGTGTGTTGTTGGGGTCCGGATACTTCAGAGATGTGATGATGGATAACTTTTAATCACAGTTCCTTTGAACTTAAATGAAGTGCCATTATTTTTAGAAAGATTCTCTTTGGTCTCTTTGAAGGGGTGAGTGAAACACCAGCATGTCTTTATTTAACTTGGTTGTGATTTGTGTGGTTTTGAACAGTGTTTGGGAGAATAATAATATATAACATACATTTTGAAGAGATCTGGGAACACGATGAGCTCATTACAACGACAAGTTGGAAGCACAAGTCATTGGATATCAGTTTAGATAGAAATAAAAAAGTGAGAAGTGAATGATACCAAAAATGTCTTTAATAACCTCTCATTGCGCAAGACAACGTTGGGTATTACAGAGTAGAAGTTGAACCAAGAGATTGATCTGTAAACTGGGATGAATCTCTGCAGTTGAGGTTTTGGGTGATAATATACATTTTTTCAGTTTATTAGTTACTGATTTTCTGACTCCTCATATTTCTTGCCCCCTTGGACTTTGTATGTACAGTACTGCATCATCTGTCCCCCAGGTTATCTATCTTTCACAAGAAGAGCGTTCATAAAGTACGCCTGTGTTGTATAAAACGGAGAAAGAATCACATTTTAAATTGCAAAAGTTAAAACTACTGTGAGGAATTTACTTTCTGTGGCCGCAACGGGGAGATTGTCTACTGCTACGTAGTTATTTTTAATCATTGTCGTCGGTGCAACAAAGCCGTACTCCACACAATCCCATCTGCAGTCGGAGCCCCGGCTGCAGGAGGAGAACTCCACTCTCTGCAGCAGCTGCGCCTCCTTCTCCTCCTCCTCCTCCTCCTCCTCCTCCCAGGAGCAAACCCTCGTTGCTCTGCCGATCACCACTGACGCAACGCTGCTGGAGACCTAGGCTGCATTGCTCAAACCACAGGAGGGAAGCGTAAGGAAGAACCGGGACTTAGAAAGGATGGATTTTCTAAAGGGAATCTGGTGCTCGGAAACACTAAATCAACACACAACAAAAGTGTCTCATAGTAGCTTCAGCCCGTGAGGGAGCGGAATGTATGATGAAGAGGAATCTAACTGTCACATCGGGGCGTAAGGACGGAAACATCTTAGCAAGCTCATCATGAATTGTCTTAATGTAATATCTTGAACTCTGTGTGTGTGTGTGTGTGTGTGTGTGTGTGTGTGTGTGTGTGTGTGTGTGTGTGTGTGTGTGTATTCCAGAGTGGGCGTTTGTGGGATCTGTGGCCCTGGGCAGCATCTTGTTCCTGCTGTTGTTGGGGATCTGCTGGTGCCAGTGTTGTCCCCACTCCTGCTGCTGCTATGTCAGCTGCTGCTGCTGCCCTGACACCTGCTGCTGTCCGCGACACCGTGAGAAACACAAACCGTCTTTTATCATGACCACAACTTGCACGCGCATGCTCAGTATCGACCTGACGGCAGCCCTTTGTTGTCTTGTTGTTCTGCTGTGCAGTATACGAGGCGGGGAAGATGGCTAAGAGTGGTCTGCCTGCTCACGCTCCTGTGTATCCCTACTACATTCCTGGTGTTCCTGCCGGTGTTCCTACTGTTGTTCCTCTTGCCCCTTCATCTCACGCGGAGACAAAGATCGCCTCCATCCCTTCGGTGGAGAATAACCTGGCTGGAGGTGAGTATTTAGGAGTTGTGGAGAAGCTATGTATTATTTACTCTCGGCTACACTGATTTGACTCATTTCGACTATCATCCCTCATCCTCAAGGCTTCAACCTGGAGAATATAGAAATATCCATTCATAACATGCATGTTTTCTATTGTAATGTCGGATTTCAGTTAGTTTAGTCTTTTGTAAGAATGTCTTTTGGACATTTGCATGTATATCTGTGTGTCCCTGCATGAACATGTCCCTGTCATGTCCCTGTGTGTGTGTGTGTGTGTCCGCATTCACAGCCCGCATTGGTTATCGACTGAAAGCCAGTCCAGACCAGGACTCAATGAAAGTTCTGTATTACATTGAGAAGGAGCTGGCTCAGTTTCCCTCTACCGAGACGGATGCATATAAACGTAAGCCTGCAGCGATCAGGCCGGTGTCTGTCCTCCGTGTGTTCATGTGTGAGCACGGTGTGTGTGTGAATGAACCGGTGCTTGTTTTCATCTCGTCCTCACCTTCGTGTCATAACATCTAACTGTCCTCGCTTAGAGGAGAAAAACGTGTTTCTTGTTGATCGCCTGGTCTTACACACAACATTATGAATGATCAAAGCGCCTCAAGGTCCACAGTTGAAACGTTCTCATCGTTGTCAGGACAACTCAAAGTTTAATTAATGTTATAAAGCCCTTTTCGGTTTGAATCAGTTTTTTATTATTTCTCCAGTCTTAACTGAACACATTAAAAGGAAGAAGCTTGGGATATTTGTTGGTGTTGAGAAATTACATAAAAGCAATGTTAGTCTGTCATCAATCTGTCTGTCTGCCTCTCAGCACTCAACTCCAATGGTTCCATATATATATGAATATATAAGATATTAAAATTGAGGTCTATTCCTAAAACAGCTTAGAACTGTAGGTTTTAGCAGAAGTTGGGAGTTGTATGACAGGAGGACATTGTATGTTAGATTGGCTTAAAGTTGGCTTTCCTTTATTGGAGAAACATTGATTCATTCATTATTTTTTTATACTTTTTGCACGAAATAAAGAGAATATAAACAAGCTACATCTGGCAATGGCTACCTGGGCAAAGTTTTTTTGGGGTTGGGTACTTACATTTAGTTTGTTGACAATATAGTCATCAAAAATAATATTCCTAGATTTGTCATTTAAATGGTGTGAGACATAAGGGCTCTTTGCCTGCACTCAGTAATCCACAGTCAGCTATAATCAGTGCTCATGATTATACAGTACAATCATACCCACGTACGGAGCTCTCTCTTCAAACACCTACAAAGCGCTTCCATCCATGTTGCATTTCATCGTTTCACGTTGTGTTTTCCAGTGGCAGGATACAGAATAAATGTTTTCCAATTGAATTCTATGAGGAAAATAGCAAATGCCGCAATGTTTCTGCGCCAACAGCCAGTAGCTTCTCAGAGCTGAGCTCCCTTCACGATGGAGGGAACACCGACTTCAGGCACACCTACCAGACGGTGCAGATGAAGGCGCTCCCGCCCATCGCGGACCTCGATGACCAGTCGGTGCTGAGAGCGTCTCACCGTACGCAGAGCCGCAGGCCCAGACGGATCAGAGGCAACTACTCAGACGATGAGCTCGACAGAAGGTACAAGCGCGGTGTTATTTAGCGCATGCTTCCTATGTGACGAGAGAGTAAAGGTCACCACGACAGATGTTGACACAAACCGGTACATTTCCGTTTACCAGGTACTTCATTACATGTGATCACTCTCATAGGCTCATTTCTGTAGAGAAAATCATCACAGGCATATGTTTGCTGCAGCCACACCACTAAAAACGTGTTTTAATCTACTTTTAATGTGGGATTTTATGACCTGCAGTAAAATGTCCATTTACAGCGTATGAGTGAATTATCATTGTTACGATACAAACTCTGTGGGCTGAGTTGTGCGCTCGTCCTGCCCGCAGGTGGAACCCCCGCTCAGAGCACCTGCAGAGGAAGACGTTGGACAGAAGAGGGCGCACCGGCTCCCTGGACGAGCTGGAGGATTTCGCCCTGACTTACGGCTCCCGAGGTCGTCGCGCTCCGCCACCAGGCCGGTCCTACGAGCGGGACGACAGCCCTCCGAGGCGCTTCTACAGAGACGAGGATGACGGCTGGGTCCGCCGCAGCCCCTCCCCTTTACCTCAGAAGAGGAGGGACACGTGGGACAGTGATCGTCCCTGTCGACCCCCACAGGGCAAAGGGTACGATGACACCTTCCTCAGCAGCGTGCTGGACAGCAAGACCAGGGGGCGGGGAAGGGACAGAGGGGCTTGTAGACCGGACGAGGACAGTGACACTCCCTCGAAAGGCAGCTCCAGAGGGAAGGCCAGCGATAGTTACTACAGCCGGTCGCCCAGCAACCGTCCAGAGGAGGAGGACCCTCTGCCGCCGTACTGTGAGCGGGAGGCGGAGCGGCACCGCAGGGCGGACTCGACCGTGGACCGGTACCGCGCTGCGGAGCCTCACAGATCAGAGCTATACGCGACCACGGAGCCCGCCATGAGGCCTTTCTGTTACACCCGCCCCCACCAGGGGCCGTCCCACGCGCTGCAACAGGGGGGCCGAGAGGAGAGGGACAGGAACCGAAACCTGGTGAGTTACTTGTAGCAGGAAAAAGGACTTCCTTCCCCCTCGTCAGGAAAGAGCCTCTAATGCCTGATTGACAACAAATCCAATGAAAAGTCCCCAAACATTCTGTCTTGGTTGCCAAAACCTGATGTTGGTTGGATGATAAAGTGCAGGAAGATGCAGTAAAGTGGGTGTGACCTATTAGTCTGTAGATTCACTTGTGCTCAGAGGATGTACGTTTTGGTTTAGTTACTGAGAGGTGGAGGTGACCGATGACCTGCTGTGGTTCAAACTGTGTTGTTGAAGTCGTTAATGTTGGAGGCGTGCATGATAAGGAAACTTAGAACAAACTGCCCCAAGTTGAATGGCGACTACAGCAAAAAATGGCAACTAATAACCCTCAAATTTTAATAACAATGATTATTCCTCTTGTCTTTTCTTGCTGAAACATATTGTTTCATATTGCTCTGCAGTCCGGGAGTCACAGAGCTCTGGACTAGCCTGACAAATCTTTGTTAATCTACGGCTGAATATAGTTCCCAAAAAAATGCACTATTACTTATTTTATACATCAGATAAAGGCAATGCCGCCAAAATGACTACTGTCTAAATATTGACATGTTTTGATTGATTTTTTGTTCTGAGCATCACAGAGAGGAACTACTGAGAGTCATTATTGGTTTTGGTCTTTTCGTGGGATTTGTTGACAACACGAATAAAGAAAGAACAACAATACCAGCTTTGTATTTTGACGTTTGAAAAAGTTTGACACTATTATGAACATCGTCTTAATGCACAATTTATGGTCTTAACACTGAATCGATATCCTTGTATTTCCAACAATTTTATCTGTCGTATTCGTACATATGTATACATACGTATACATACGTATTCTTGTAGTCTTTGCAAGGGCCACAGTGCTGCAAACGCTTGCTAACTGGCTTGCTAAATATTGAAAAAACACCTGTATCTTTACCACTAACACGGCTTGAGCTGCATGATTTCTGTGAATAATCTGAGGACTGTCTTGACCTCGCATGAGCACGAAGTTCCTAACATGTGGCTCTCGGTGTATTTCTCTAACAGAGTACTGCACTGAGCAGGGACTCTCTCATAGTGTGACAAGTTTTCACAGCCTCAACCCGCTCAGCGCTGCCGGTTCCGAGTCCAGCTCGTCTCCATGAGAATAACTGCACCACAGAGACGGCAGTAGTGGATCGGACAAGGATGAAAAATACATGTGCGCTTTGTACAGGACGCTTTTACTCGAGTGCATGAATTATGTCTGGGTATTTCTTCATGTGTAGTTAACAGATGTTGTGTACGTGTTTCTTCGTTTGAGTGCGAAGGTGTTTTTATATTTTCAATTATTTGCCATTTTTTTTAACTGCAGGATTCCACAATCTTATGTTTTCCTACAGACTTCACACTTCTCCCTCACTTAATACATTGCAACTCAGGTTCACTTTGTATTTGTGTGTTTGTCTGTTGTTGATATTGTTGTACTGTATGAAAGTACTGTACCTTGAATTTTATCTGAAGATTTTTTTTTGCACTGCTTAAATACTTTTTCAATAAAGAAAACTTTAAAGATGTCTCCGCTGTTTTAATAAAAGAACATTCAGCGTTTGGTTTATAGAATGTTAGAAAGTGGTGAGAAAGGCACAGCAACATTAGCCAAAGAGAGAAGTCAAATGTGCAACAACAAGACCCAAATATATTGGGTTCATAATCACATAAGACAAAGAAAAGCACCAACTCATCCCAAATAAACAAATTCATATTCATAATTCATATATATATATATATATATATAAATATATATATATATATATATATATATATATATATATATATAGATCGTAGGTTATTGGAACTCTTTTTTAATCACTAGATAAGGTAATCAAGTACTCAGACGTTATAGCAAGGACCTTTTTTCCCGAGTCTAAATTCATTGTTTTATTTGAGTGTTTAATTTGCGCTCAACGCCTCCAAATTGACCACAGATGACACAAACTAGTTTTTAGGCTTGAATTTATTTGCATTTCATATGTTTTGGTTACATAAGGACATTGTCTGCAGCAGAATTGGATGTTTCCAGCAGTCAATGCACACCGCATTGTGCATCAGATAAAGCAGGTGTACTTCTTATCGAAGCTTATCAAAACATACACAACTAAAACAACACTTGAGCTTTAACCACAACCAGAACTACACACAATCCGCACACTTTATTATGTAAACTGTGTGCAGCTTTAAAATGTTTAACTGGCAGATCACTATGATAACAACTAACTACTATGGTGTGAATTGGGGTCTTTTTGCAGTTCTTGCAGCTCTTGGTTTCTGCTATTGGTGGAGAAGAGTGAAAAGCACACAAACTTTCTCGCCTCCCAAAAGAGGAAAACGATATCTCCATAGACTGTTTGCAGTGTAAAGTGTGTTTCTTTTTCAGTCCTTTGTTTATATTTAACATAGAATCTCGGCCCAGCAGATCTGTTCAGTGGCGACTTCAGCAGGTCATCTCTCATCTTCTGACTCCGGTTGCGGGCCTCGAGTTTTCCGATCAGTGGACCCAGTGCATTTATTTACAGTAAACTTTGAGACTCGGTGTTGATTAAAAGAAACACAACAACTATCCGGAGTGGATAGCAAGGCAGAGAACACGAAAGGGACGTCCTGCCCTGATACCAACGAGGGAGGCATTTGAAGAACTGGCGTGTCTCCAGGTTCAGAGGGGAGCCAGACACAGACGTGATGGCGAAACGTTGCATGAACGCAGCCTTTTCCTCAGGATCTCAAGAGCACTTCAGTGAGCGGAGAACAGCACTCGAGCTCAGCCTTGTTTTTGTGTCAACGGTAAAGCTTGTTGGGATCCAACTTTCCGGAGGAGGGGCTGCAAACATCCACACACAAAGAGCTCAAGAACAATGAGACACATTCTGAGAAGGAACTTTACGTTTCGGGGCTGTAATAAATGAAAAACCATCGTCGAGACGACCTGTTTTTCTACGCCGAGTATTCACATGATGCTCGATTCAACATGGTTGAAGGAAGCTTTAAGATTGTCTTTCTCCATTTTCACTCCTCTTAACCCTTCTCATACTGCAAAAGACAAGGCTGACTAAAATAGCAGGACGGTTTGGGAAATGTCCACCTCTCTTCTGTTGCTTGTTCCTGCTCCGCTGTTCATTTCCCCACGTTACACCTGTGGCAGAGGGCGGGGTCAATGATGTCACCTGAAGCTGGAGGAGGGGGAGGGGGACGATTCGCCTCCCTCTCTCTCTTCCTCCCCCTCTTTCTGTGTGGCCGTGTTGTTCCTCCAGAGAGTAGACGCATCCCCCAGCATGCCGCCTCGAGTGTGAAGAGGAGTCACGATGCTCGGCAACGGACGACAGACGCTTTTCCACAAATATTGCGGATTTCTGGCGGTGTTCGAGCGGCCCCCAGCTTAGAGAAAGGGGGGAAACTTCCGCGGAGGAACGAGAGCGACGAGATGGGAAATTTGATACTGATGACGCTTCTGCTGGCTCACCTGCCAACAGGTGAGACTCCTAATGGCTTTAAAAGGGAAACACGTTTTGTCTCTTTACGTCGACGTTTGGCAGTTTTCGCCTGTTTTTTTTTGTTCAGCGAAAGCGCAGGAATTTAAGGTGAAGCCACTCGAGCAAACAGTCGAAGCGGACAGTGGTGCGTGCGAGTTAATTATCGACAGGTGGAACAGGCCAAGGCCGACTGCGGTCACGTGACCGCTGCTCCACTCTGCCATGATAGTAATAAAAATATATATTTATGGGTCTGCATCGGATCAAACGTTCCCGAAACTAATGTAGTTAGATGAGGAAGTTGTGTTTGTCAATAGAATAAACATCGTTTTCATGATCGTGTAATATGCTGAATAATGGATCAATTGCAGACAGACGGTACGTTTTAATAACCGTGTTGTGTTATATATTATGGTACATATTAGGTATATTAAGCTAATCATTTGTTTATTATTAGTTTGTAGATTTGTTTACAAAATCAGAAATCGATGAAACATTTTCCCAAGAGCCAGTGTAGTGTATTTAATGTTTTGATCCCCCTGTTTAATACCATGTAAGACAAAGACATCTTTGCACTATTATCTATCTATATCTTTACATCTAATAGTATTTACTTATGGTAGATCTGCATGTTTTTGTTGTGTGGGGAAATCTGGTTTTGTCTGAAAACTATGAAAAGTTCTGTTTTTTTAAATGGAATGTTCATAGAATATGTTCCCAGTAGTTTGTTCAGTTTTATATTCTCAGTATATAAAGGCCAAATTGTTTAAGCTCACTCAGCTGTAAACTAAGAAATAAAAATCCAGTGACATTAATGCAAATATTTACTCACGTCAGCTTTTCAAAATATTCTCTACAGTAGTTTGGGACTAAACTTTTGTAATGAGTAAATAATGGTCAAATAAGATTTTATTATTATTATGTTATAAATCAACAGAGGCCAGCACATACATTAATCTGTCATTCCACATCGCTGATCGTGATGAACGGGTGTTAATGTAGAGAACAACATGTGCACATGAGCATGACTTCTGTTTTAAAGTGATAAGCAGTTTTGTCAGATTCTTATCAAGCATTCAAGAACAAAGCTGTTCCCGCTCTAAAGTGATTTGTATATCGTTTCATCGGGGTGCTGTTATTTCACTCTGTCGTCATTTTGTCAGAGCTGCTGTCCATCCAGGTGATTGTCCCACAGAGGGAGAGGAGCACCACCTTGTTTGCCTCTGTGATTCTTCGCTGCGACTACTCGACTTCAGCAAACCCTCAGGACGTGCTGGTCACCTGGAGGTTCAAGTCCTTCTGCAAAGACCCGGTGCTGGAGTACTACTCCACAGGTGAGGCTGCAATTGGAGGAAGTTGCTGATTTTAAAGTGCGATAGTCCAGCTCAACCAAAACAAACAGATGGTGGTGGATATTAACAGCACTTTAGACGTTATCACAGTAGCTTTTCATTCTCAGCACTAAAGACTTGTTTTATTATATTGTCGCGCTCAAAAGATGACCAAAACATATTGTATTAGTTTAGTAACATCTAGCAGAACTCGTTCTCTCAGTGTTAACACTTTTATCCAAATAATAAAAAGGAACGTTTCAACGAAGATTTCCCTCACAAAATGTTCAATGACAACTTGATACATTGTTTTTTTCCTATAATACCTTCTGTTCTAATACACCTTGTTCTTGTAGTATCTAAAGCATGATTAGTGTTTTTTCATGCGTATTATCTTAGAATAGAATTTCCCACACTTTGTTAGGCTATTCCTAAATAGTTTTTAAAAGCCTACATATTAATGCAGTAGGAAACTGAGGACATCATTTGTGAAAATGACCCAGTATGAAATTCAAAATAGCGATACGTACGGTTCATATAAAGTTGTGCATGTATAATATTTCAATGGAGACTTGTAGCCTAACTATTGTTTTCGATGGGGAATTGTGGACTCTGAGCTTCATCAATGGTGACGATCCTTTTGAAATTCCCTTCACACAAGCCTAACTCACGACTCAGAGTTCAGGTTTTGTCCAAGAGTTTATTAACGCTCCTTCCTTAGAACAGGGTCCAGATGTTTTGTTTCTGGGCAGACATTTTGCAGCACGTGTGTTACCAGCAACACTTCGATGTTCAACAAGGGGCTGCGGTTCCAGTTGTATCTTTTACATTACATTACATGTCATTTAGCTGACGCTTTTATCCAAAGCGACGTACAATAAGTGCAAGTGCAAGTGTATCTTGTATCTGTAGCCATCACAAAGTGGTGACAGTTGTGCTTTTCTTGCTATAATGAGTCAACATTTTTTCTTGTGAAAAAGAGGTTTTCATCTGTATAAGATATCCTTCTGAAAGTGTGTCTGTAATTATGTATAACTGATATTTTATGGTTTTATTCATAATTTTTCATTATGGTTTTATTCATCATCATGAGCTATAAACTGAAAAGCAAAAAAAAGCTAATTTTACTGTTTTATAAAATATATGTTGTTCAATTACATTCCAGCTCTATAACCTACAGGAAAAGAGAGGCTGGTTTGGTACTTTTTGAAGGAATTAGTGCCAAATGTATCATTGTTTGAGTTGCATGAGGTAGACCGATCTGGTAGAAGGTATTTCATCCTATTTTCGTCTGTCCCTGAAGCCTATCAGGCCTCTCTGCAGCTGGGTCAGGACCCCACCAACGACTGCCCGGACAGACAGCGAACAATCCGCACTGTGATCCAGAAGAGGGGCATTAATGAGCCCACCCTGGGTGTAGAATACCGAATACGCAAAATTACCATTCAAAACAGTGAGTCCAAGTTTATTCCCATCGCTATGTTGAGACAGTATTTCAGTGCATTTCATTGCAAATATTTTGTGTGTTGTATTAAGCATCTATTTGTTTGAATATTTTTAGTTGTGATGCAGTTCTGATCAAGTTCATCTTCAATACCATTGTCTTCATTCCAAAGTAATGTGACGTTTTTTCGGCAAACAGAGGCCGACCTGGTCATCAATGAGGTGATGTGGTGGGATAACGGCGTGTACTTCTGCAGCATCGACGCTGCCGGGGACACGGCGGGCGACTCTGATCAAGAAGTAAAACTCATCGTGTACCGTGAGTTTTCCCCCAGTTCAGCTCGTGATGCTCGACAGAGTGTCACAAAGAGCCTGGAAAAAAAGTCTTCCAGCGAGTGAAACGCCAGTAATCGGGTTTCCGCTCGCTTGTTGCAGACTGGCTGACCGTCCTGTTGATCCTCATCGGCGCCCTCCTGCTCATCACGCTCTTCTGCATATGTTGCTGCCAGTGCTGTCCTCAGAAGTGCTGCTGCTACGTCCGCTGCCCGTGTTGTCCGCAGACATGCTGCTGCCCGGAGAAAGGTACGAGAGACCGCCGACGCCCCGCTAATCCTTAAGGAAACCATACACAATCTACACAAACATTTATGCTGCGGTTAAACTTTGTCTTTTGTATTCGTTCAAGCCTGCGTATCAAATATCTGCCACGTCCTTAACCGAGACAAATGAAAGCATCTGACTCCCTCTTTGTATCTCCAGCTGTGATGCAGCACAGGATGATTCGAGACGCTCAGAAGGCTATGTCTCCCTGGATGAACGGTCAACCCATTTACGCTCCCATTAGCTCCAACGCCTCCTCCCAGGGCGTTCCCATACTGTACTCCGGTGAGGCTCACACCAAAGACTTTTATGCTTTGTTGAATGGGATGTTGCGTCATACCTTCCTTAGAACAAGGGCGCACGGTTTCAGTAGTTGGAGGACACATTGTGTCACTGTATGAACACCACTTTTATGCAGATATTTAATATATGTATATCAAGCAAATAACCCATTATGATGAAACTGGTTTTGGTGCTTTCAAAGATGGTCCAACAAAAGACAGGAATAGTCTGTGTAAACTACTGGATTACCCGAGTATAGCATAATTAAATCTAAATAAAAACTATAGAAATGGGGGAAATAATAATATTGTGTTGGAAGTCCCAGAGAAAAAAAAGCCATTGTTGAGATTAAAGCAGCTATAATCACTATGAATAATTGATCATAATGAAGGTAACACGTTGGTTGATGATTATCTATAGCATCATCATCAACCAACGTGTTACCTTCAGCGCTGTTTTGGTTGACTTGCCACTCCCTCAGAGAAAGCCAACTGCATGCAACCCATCCAACACAAAGACAGAGACACATTTAGTAACATAGTGAGGCATTTAGCAGCCGTAGAGTTAGATATTTCCCGGAGAACGAACATGTTGCCCCCTAACTGCTGAATACGCTCACAATATCTCAACTTTGCGACATTAAATTGTATCAACGGTGTGTTTCCAGCTTGTTTCTTGGTGCCTCCATGTGGCCAAAAGTCAGCTGGTGGAGATTATTCACGTCTATTTCTGTGTCACTTTTGTTCCAGGCTCATACTCTGACTACCCCACCAAACAAAACTTTGCCATGGTGCCCATGGAGCTGTCCCCCATGGCCCTGCAGCATCAACCTCATCCAAACCACATGAACGGCAGTGTGCATGGCGGCCACCCTGGTCAGGTGTTGGACTTCCTGGAAAACCAGATGCGGGGGCTGGACATGGGAGCACCACAAGCGGTTCCTTACTCTCACCAGAATATGCTCCCGTTGCAGCCTCAGGCGGCTCCCCAAGCTGTGCCCTACACACCGGGGCCCCCGAGCATGCTGTCGGCCCTGGACGAGATGGGGGTGAGAGGGGTAGAGAGACGCGTGATCACCCTGCCTCCCATAATCCAGCGGGTTCCCAGCTTTCCCTCGCGCAGGGGGCCGGCTGACGGAGACGGAGCCAGAGATGGTTCAAGAATCTCCAGCCAGTCCAGTGGGAGCACGAGTCGCCGCGGAGGAGACAGCCGTGGCTACCGGGACGTCTCTCAGCCCAGGCAAGGGATCCTGCGCGATTACAGCGACGACTCCGAATGGGAGAACAGGCGAGCAGGAGCGCCACGCGGGAGTTCGAGGAACAGGAGAGGAGGCCCGTCCGGGAGGAGGGGAGGCGGATCTCGACCGCGGACCCGCAGTCGCGACGACCTGATGGAGGAGCTACACGGCACTGCCGCTCGGAGGGAGAGGAGCTATTCTCCTCCTCAGCGGCGCGAAGGGCCCTGGAGCTCAGACGAGGAGGACAGCGGCAGGAGGAAAGGAGGTAGAGGGAGGGATTGGCCGGAGAAGCCCCCCAGTTACTTCTCCATCGAGAGCCAGCTTGGAAGTAGCAACGGTCGGAGGAACTACGACCGCTTTTCGGTAAGATCCAAATTGACTCAAAACCAAAACTGAGGTATTGTCTTTTGTTCATTGCATTCTGTCCGCTGTCTCTTTGTGGTCTTTGCTTCTTTACTTCATCGTTTTCCGCCATGTGGCGAGTGGAGCACTTTGCTCCAGAGTGGAAATTATCACACCCTAACTATTTGTGCAGACGACCACTTTCAAATTCTGTAAATAATAAGGCTGTCTTTACGGCCTACGTGAAGCCAAACTGGGAAGTTGCCCAATACTTTGCTTTATGAGCAAATACCTGCAAAACTGAAAACATTTCCCATAAAAAAAACCTCAGCTGTAGCATGCTAACATGTTAAACTAAGATTGTAAACATGTAAACGTTATGCCTGCTAAAATCAGCATGTTCACACTTTCATTGTGATTATGTGGCACCAAGTAGTTAGGGGTAGTGAGCTAAGAACAGACTCGCAGTGCCGCTCGCATGGCTGTAGAATTAAGTATTCAAGCTAAATCACCTTTTTAACTTCTGTTATTTTGGTCCTTTATTTGCCGTAGAATCTTATTTAAGTGCTTAAAATGACAAAAGCATTATCAGCTAAATGTATTTGAAGTATCAAAGGTAAATGTTCTCATAACGCATAATGGTTTATTTCAGGGTAAATAAAAGAAGAAGAAAAAAGAAGAAATGTACTTAAATATGATGCAGTATATTACACATGTAAGAAACTTATGACTGGTCCTGTATAATAAAGCATAAAATGGGGATCCAATGGGACATGATTGCACTTTACTCAAGTACAGTAGGCTACTTGAGTCGATGTACTTAGTTACATTGTATTGCAACATGAAAATCTGTAACCATATTCCTCCTCTGTCACTTTTCTCTCTTAGGATAGAAGTTCCCGTAGTGGCACCAGCGTAGTCATCTGAAGCATTTCAAACACTTCTTTTCTTTCTTACTTGTTTAAGAATGTTTTGAAAGCGGTGAAAATGAAGACAAATAGTTAGTTTTTTTCTCCGTCCAGTCTGCAAGAATATAGTTGTTGTGAAATGTAATAATGATTCTTAATAAGTAATAAATATTCTGCATGGGATACTTTTACTGTGAATGCATCACATGGATCTGCAAAAAAGCTTTATGAAGAAAAGCTTTTTGTTTCATCCTTTTAAATTGCAGATGTTATCAAGCCTGCATGCGCTTATTGTTCTGGCTGTTTAGAATTGTGTAACTTGTATCTGGTGATGGGTATTTTTTGATGTAGATGTTCAATAGTTTCAACAAGCAAATGGGTACTGTCAGAATGTGTGGGTTATTGTGAACACGCTATGAGTGATCAACTGATATGTGGATGTTTTCAGAATTTTGCATAATTTCTATTATAACTATTTTTACGGTGTTGTCCTTTTTGACCTTTCATTCATAAAAGCACTATTAGACAGCAATAAAACGTGTGTTTGTAAATGTATGAAGATCAACAGATTTGGTGGACTTACTGTATTTGAGTAATCAGCATCAATGCAGAATTCCGATCTTCATTGTTTCCTTTTGTATCATGATGTGTCTGTTTTCAAATAAACTTTTTACAAACAGTGTGAAGTGGATCATTTATATAATTTATTTTTAAATGACATAGATCGATCGATTTGTTGGCCCCAACCAAAATATCTACTGGGTCCATTGTGTCAAAATGTAGTTAAATGATCAGAATACATTTTGATTTCATTTTTGTCCTATGATTCCCAACTCTGAATAAAGTTCCATTTAATCAAATTAAGGAACTAATTGAACAAGAAACTCAGAAGAAATTAAGTCAACTGAATGGGGAGAACTGTATTACAAATTGTGAGTAAATAAACCGAAGACTCTGGACGTTGTGCACTGTTTTTTTGACCAATTTCGTAATTTGACATAATAACATAAAGACACATTCTTTGAAATGATGAGACGTGTTTAAATATACTTATGTTGCATTTTGAGTAACTTCGGGATGATGAGCTGAAGATGGAGCTGTTGTTCACTCGGTGGGGGGGGGGGCCGTGAGCCGATATGCTGCGTTCTGATTGGTTGCTCCGGGGGGGGAGAAGTGAGATTGTCAAAGTCAGAGGATCCTGGATCAGCTGTTAGCTGTCTATCGCCAACGACATCCACTGATAGCCGGCAGCCGGGCTCTACGACCACCTCAACGGAAGATCCAAGTCAGAGGCCCCGCAGCTTCAGGTCAGACTAGCATGAATGTTAGCCACCGGCTAGTTAGCTTCAGCAGCCGCGCAGATTGTCTCGTTGAGAAAGAGAAGCGACGGGTAGCTACTAGCTAGCGGGGGGTTAGCTTAGTTTAGCTAAACATAGCTTACCTGCGACAACCACACACGGCAGATTTTCCATACGAACACAGTGAACACATTGTTGTTGTTGTTGTTGTGGTGGTGTTGCTGCTGTGACAACAGCACATAGCCAGCTGCGGTTGTTCACATCTGCATGAAGGGACGTGTGCTCGTGTGTCTTTCCGCAGTCAGCATGAACTCGCTCCCGGGAAGAGCCGCGCTGTCTCTGTGCAGGAGCACGGCGGCCGGCGGGATGAGGGTCTTCGCCGGCTCCCCGGGTCGCCCCGCCGGTGCCGTGCCGGTGGACGGGGCCTCTCTCCGGGCTGTGCGGGTCTGCCACTCCGGGACGAGCCGCCAGGGCAGCACGACTACCAAGAAGCGGGGCTACGACATCACCAGGAACCCGCACCTCAATAAGGTGAGCCCTGCGACGGCCCGGTACGCCCTCCGTCTACCGTGATCGCAACAATAATAATAATAATAATAATAATTCATGTCAGGGCATTATGTGTGGCTGCCATTTGTTGTATGCATGTACACAAATAGATTATTTCGTTCCACAAGCAAATAGAAGAAATGGCATAAGCATATATTTATACTTTATTTGTATTGTTTTAGCTTTTGGAATACTCCCAGTCAAAGAATCGTTGGCATTCTGTTTTATTGTATGTTATCTGGCTCAAACGTGACGTGTGACCCGTCATCACAGCTTTTCTGAAGGCCTCATCATGCACACTTCCTTCCTTCTATTCATGTTAGCGAGCTACAGCCCAGGACTGCTGCATGAACGCCTTAGATGCTGTCTAAAGTAAGATAGTTCACGTCCACATCTGGAGCTGGTCTCCCTCTTATGTCCCTATAATTTATCTGACTATCAGATTTCAGTCCGTCTTAATTAAACCTTAAAGTATGAATCATGCTCTCTAAGATAATCATAGTGTTTTAATAGTGGTGATTACACTGCTTACATAACAATATCAATGCTTGAAGGCAGATAGAAAAAAATGCTCTTTCCAAATCTGGTGCAAAAAAGCCCTCCGCCAAGTGAGTCATCCAGTGTTTTGGTTGGGTTTAGTCAGTAGCCACTCTTGTCATTGCCACTCTGCAAACTTGCTAAGCTGTTTGCAGTAACTTCTCAGATGTCCAATTAAATGAAATCATAAAAATCAATGCAATGTTTACCGTATGTCTGTTAATCTGTGACTTTCTTTGACCATTTATGACCACATTTGTTACACATCTTTTAAATGGGAAATGTTTTGTCTCTCATTGGTTAGGTGAGACTAGTTTGAAGTTTATGTTAATGAGTATCTCCTTTTTAATGACGTCTGGCAGGCAGACGTTTTGTTTACAGTGTAGTGTTGGCCAGCCAACATACTGGAAAGCGCGCAGCTTGTGGAACAACCGTGGATGTAATGGTTGTATAATGAATGGAACCATTGACTTGATATCTAATCCCATATTACATTTCGCACTTTGCCAGTACAAGGGTACAAGGGTGCGTTTGGATACTTTCACTTACAGTCGGTTAAAAAACAAAAGAATAAAACCCGACCTTTGGAGGCCAGTTTCTTCCCCATGTAGGTCAGCGCTTCCTGTGCCGTGCGGGAATAGAGTGGAAACGGAGAAGGCGACGCAGTAGGCACGAGGACAGAGAAGTGAAGCTAACAGGGGAGTGAGCTCAGGCGCCCGCACTATTGGCCAGAATAAATAGATTAAACCTCACACTCCTCCAGTCACGCTTTGGAAAGAATGCAGAGACAGAGGAGCAGCGGCACTAACCGTAACCAGAAGGCAGAGGGCAACAAGGCTGCTTTCCAGAATGAAAGCTAGTCCTCGTTTACAGCTTTAAGTAAACTTTGTCTGACTTTTTAAATGTGGCTCTTTTGACCAGTTTTTCCTAACAACCAAATGGCAACTGAAGCGTAATTGGGAGAAAACATAAAAAAGACCACTGTATTCGGGTGCAGGAATGAGTCATAACAACCATATTCTGTGATGACTAACACATGAGTCAATGTGGTCAGGGTTGTTTCCTTAGTGAACCTCACCCTGTGCAAGCTTTTCTTTTTTTTTTTTCCAGTGATCAGAGTGTTGTCTAACTGCTCCTCTTCCACCGTGCAGGGAATGGCGTTCACCCTGGAGGAGCGCTTACAGCTGGGCATCCACGGCCTGCTGCCCCCTTGCTTCCTCTCCCAGGATGTGCAAGTACTGCGTGTCATGAAGAGCTACGAAACGCGTGCCGATCCTTTGGACAAGTGAGGGAACCGACACCGACATTTACAATAAAGCACGCTTTAAGGGCTGTGCAAGGCTACATGTGCAGAGGTTTGAATCGACCAGCCTGGAGCTGGGTCAGATATCCTTTAGCAGGTCTGACCCGTTTCTGTTGTTCTCGTTAGTCTCCGTATGATTTAAAACTTAATTAACTGTCATGTAAAAGAAGGGTTTGTAAAGGGACGTCCAGCGGCCTGGTAGTTATGACCCGTATCAGATAACTGCAGGATCTCTTGTGCGTCACGTACCTCTAACGCATCATATTTCATGCAAAAATGTTTTTAGCACCGTTGCAATTAACATAAATCTGTGAGAATGATGATGAAAAATAGCGACGGCGGCTCTATGTCCCAGGTACATCCTGCTAATGACGCTGCAGGACAGGAACGAGAAGTTGTTCTACCGTTTGCTGACCTCTGACATCGAGGAGTTCATGCCCATCGTGTACACTCCCACGGTGGGCCTGGCCTGCCAACAGTACGGACACGCCTTCAGGAGACCCCGGTGAGCGCAATCCCATCTGCACCGTAGCTGCACAGCACCACTGTTTGTTTAAGTATTTCTTCATCCTTACATTTGGTTTAACATCCTCTATGAAGGAATGTTATTCATATTTTCAAATGTCGCACTTCTGCCCAACGTCTCTCGATCACAGTTTGGTTTTCATTCATATCTCTTCGGACAGTTTATCCTTTACGAACAATGCGTCCGATGTTTTGGTTTAATCTGAATTTCAATGTTTTTGTCGAGTAAAATTATTTGTTTAATTAGCATTAGTGTGTTTATGTTTGTAATGTTGTGTACTGCTGTTTCTCAGTTGTACACTAAACAAAAAGCCAAAAGGGTGAGTAAATTGAGGTCACTTGCACAGGGAATAAAAAAATCAAAATAGGGTTTTGCAGTCGTTGTTGACCTGTCACTCCTGGTTTTAGATCATTTCCTATTTGCCATCCAATTATTGTAATCTGGATTACTGCGCATCATCAAATCAATACTGATTAAATAAAAACCCTTCTTCACAGGGGACTCTTCATCACCATCCACGATAGAGGCCACATCGCTACCATGCTCAACTCCTGGCCCGAGGCAGACATAAAGGTACACACACACACACACACACACACACAGCTGCTTATGGCTGGGAAACTTAACAGCGTATGATCCCCATCTGACTGACGCGTGTTCCCCTGCAGGCCGTCGTGGTGACGGACGGGGAGCGTATCCTCGGTCTGGGGGACCTGGGAACCTACGGCATGGGCATTCCCGTCGGGAAGCTGGCGCTCTACACGGCCTGCGGCGGCGTTCAGCCCCAGCAGTGTCTCCCCGTGCTGCTGGACGTCGGCACCGATAACCAGGTGTGTTTCCTCACAGTCCAATCAGTTGTAAAAACAGAGAGGAAATATCTGTTGTCAATTAATGACTTGACTTTTGTTCTAGGCGCTGCTGGACGACCCCTTGTACATCGGACTGAAGCACAAGAGAATCCGAGGGAAGGAGTACGACGAGTTGATTGACGAGTTCATGCAGGCAGTGACAGACAAGTGAGTAGAAACAAAAAAGGAGAAAGAATACGTGAGCGACTCTCGAGGTCCGACCCTGTCACTCCGTCGCTCTGCAGGTACGGGATGAGCTGCCTGATTCAGTTTGAGGATTTCGCCAACAGCAACGCCTTTCGCATCCTCAACAAATACAGGAATCGATACTGCACCTTCAACGATGACATCCAGGGTACGTGAACACGCAGCTGTGTACTCACAATATATGTCAGTAAATATTGTACGATAACTGATGCAACAGGCAGTGAACACTACACACATGACAATGATACAACTTTAAACAAATGTTTAAGTCATACAAGAGGATTCATTTCTTTAACTTAAAATATCACACGACCATCAACTGAAAACAACATGTATAAATTACAATACTTTTTTGTGTTTTCTTTTTTTTTCTCCTCAGGCACGGCCTCGGTAGCCGTTGCCGGGATGTTGGCTGCTCTGAAGATCACCAAGAATACACTCTTGGACCACACCGTCGTGTTCCAAGGGGCGGGCGAGGTGAGAAGGTTTCCTGCCCACCGGGTTTTATTCGGTCCTGAAATAAAACAAACTACTCAAATAACACATACATTTGATTTTCTTCTCCCAGGCTGCTCTGGGAATCGCTCACCTGCTCATGATGGCCATGGCCAAAGAGGGAATAAGTAGAGAAGAAGCTGCCAAGAGAATCTGGATGGTGGACTCAAAGGGTCTCATTGTGAAGGTAAAGTCGTCCTTCCGCACGCTTCCCCGGATACCGGCTGTCTCAAAAGCACCAAACGGAATAAGACGCGTTTTTTACTCCTATTTAGGGACGAGGTAATCTCAACCACGAGAAGCAGGAGTTTGCTCATGATCACCCGCACATAAAGACTCTGGAGGAAGTGGTGGCCACCGTCAAACCCACCGCCATCATAGGTGAGTCTACCTGGAGGTCACGTTGTCCTTTTTTAATGGTATTTAAATAAAGCCTTTTTGTAACTCTCATTGTTTGTTTCATCCATTTCATCAGTTGTGGAAAAACAGAGAAACCTATTAAAGGTGAATTTTTGTCGTCCCGGCTTTGCTCAGATCAATAATAACATGGTAGATTCCTCCAAATCAACTAACCCCATCAAAGACTTAATGCACATGTTGGCTTTTATTGGTCTAAATTCAAACACTGCATGTGGAATATATTATCAGACTTTCAATCAAAACCGTAGCGCCACTGTGTCAACATGGTCGCGTTGTTTCAAGACAATTATTACAAGTAGAACCCGATCCTTAGATTTAAAAAAAATATATATATATACAACATGGGGATTTCTTTGGAGCCGTTGCTATTTAAGTGATTTTGAGTTGATGGATTGTCTCTTTGTCCTGTTTCCTGAAGGAGTGGCAGCTGTCGCAGGAGCGTTCACTGAGAAGATCATCAAAGACATGGCGTCCTTCAATGAGAGGCCGATCATCTTCGCCCTGAGTAATCCCACCAGCAAGGCGGAGTGCACCGCAGAGCAGTGCTACCAGCTCACGGAGGTAAGGAGCAGCATCTCTGGATTGATCGAAGGGGCTATAAGAAAAATGTTCAATTCATTACAATCAGGCCTGCTATGGAGTTAATTTGCTTTTATTCAGTGTTTCCCCCTCAAATGTGTGTGTGTGTGTGTGTGTGTGTGTGTGTGTGTGTGTGTGTGTGTGTGTGTGTGTGTGTGTGTGTGTGTGTGTGTGTGTGTGTGTGTGTGTGTGTGTGCGCTTGAGATGTAAAAAAAAACAAAGAACACATACGTACCTCATACAACTTCTTGAAATCCTATTTTATTAGATGTATTATTTTGCTTGCTTTTTCTGTCCTTTTTGTTGATACATTTATCACTTATGAGGAGCCATCACCAGTTTTAAACAACAGCAAATGATAAAAGTTGCCCAGTTTACATCTGAGCAGACGTTTAACGTTTCTGTATGAATTTTCTGTATGTGGTAACTGAGGTTCTGTTTTGTGCCAAACAATAATCTGATCCCATGGTAAATCTAAATCGTTCCGTTGTATTTACAGATGTGCTTTTGTCTACTATGCCCTCTCCCCCTCTTTTCCTCTCCAGGGCCGGGGCATCTTTGCCAGTGGAAGTCCGTTTGACAAAGTGACAATGGCTGACGGACGCACCTTTGTCCCCGGCCAGGGAAACAATGCCTACGTCTTCCCCGGAGTTGCTTTGGGTGTCATTGCTTGTGGAGTACGCCACATATCTGATGACATCTTCCTCACCACAGCAGAGGTATCGCCTTCGCCTTTCTACCACGTTAATGTCTGTCTATGAGGACTTCAGTTCTAAATAAACATGTGTTTTGTCAGGCGAAAACTGATGGGTGAAATTATACCCATTGCACACACTTGTGTACCTTTTTTTTATTTAAATAGTATTTTAACCACAATTCAACCTTGTATCACCCCCGTTGTTTCAGGCGATAGCTGGTATGGTAACAGAGGAGAACTTGGCAGAGGGAAGACTCTATCCTCCTCTCAACTCCATAAGGGAGGTGTCCTTCAAGATCGCAGTGAAGGTAAGTTCCTGTTCTCACGTGTGACTTCAGTCCAGTTTCAAATACCACAGGGGGTGTAAATATTTTGGCATGATGGGTTGCATATGTAGTTAAAACTGGTCAACTAATGTTGTATCCCATTACTTATCTCAAAGTGTTTATCTAGAATAAAAGTCAGAGCTCCCAACGGCCGACCGAACATGTTGATAATGGAAATTTTCTTTCCAAAAATTGTGTTTCCAGCAAGATTTTTTTTCTAAAAAAATTAACGTGATTGTAACTACTGTACTGATTTTGTGGGTAACTACTGTGATCCAGAAGTGTTAAGATGTGAATTGTATTTGTTAATTTAATTTAAATAAGCATCTGGTAAAGCGGATTCATATTGTGTTTGTCACAAAACTATATTAGGAGTGAAAACTAAACATGATTAAATGAAGATATTCATCAGGAATGTGTTTGTGAGTTTGAGCTGATTTGATCGACACTAAATATTACTGCTACTAGTTATCGCTAAATTCTGATTGGCTGCACTGAAGTAGTGACCTCACCAATATTTCCACCCACTTTAACAGGGAAACCAGAGATATTTCATTTGAATATGTTCATGTTTGATCCCTTAACTTGCAGTAAGAATCTCTATTAATAAAATAACAAATACTCCCCTCTTCCATCTGTCCTCTGGCAGATCGTCAACTATGCGTACAAAAACAACATGGCGTCACTGTACCCCGAGCCGAAAGACAAGGAGGCCTTTGTGCTGTCTCACATCTACAGTCCGGACTACGACTCCTTCGCTCTGGACACATACAGCTGGCCACAGGAAGCCATGAATGTCCAGGACGTGTGATCCTGTCTCTCACTCCCCAAACTCTGTGTGCTGATGTGGTGTCACGTACGATCTCTTTGCCAATGATCCTCGCCTCTTCGCTTTCTCTTTGTTTCTGTCTTTCATTTATAAACGTCAGTGACTCCGTAGTGAGTTGTATACCTGTCTTTTCAGAAAATGAGCTTCTTGTTTTATCAGTTCTGCGTACCCGATTGAAGGTGTTGACTAAGTAAAATATGTTATGGTCACACTCATGGCCAGCATATGAAATATCTTAAGCGTGACCTAATATGATTTAAGCAACATGAACGACACTCCTTACGTTAGATTGTCCAGCTAAGATGTTGTTGTATCCTTTTTTTCCCAGAGACAAATCAACAAAAATATATAGTGATCAATAACGCACAATGCTTCCTCTTGTCTAAACACAACTGAACAGAGGACTCATTATAAAGCTTTAAAAACCAGATGAAAATGAACAGAAACTTCCAGGATTCACTGCTACACTCCTTCCATCTGCCCCGTTTAGACTTAAAAACACTCCGTCTACGTCTCTGCCGCCCTGTGAGAACCAGTCATTCTTAACGGGAGGGACTTCTCTTAATGTGTTCAGATGAGGCATTTTGGGGGATATGGAGTCACCATCAGGATGTTTTTGTATTATCATTTTTTTTTCTTTTAGTTTTGTACAGAGATCTCCTGTTGTGGTGTTTTAGCCAAAGTTGCAGATGAACTATCTTCTATTTGACTCCTAGAGAACATGATACTCTTGCAAGCCTTAGTATTGGCAGATATGCGCAAATGTTTTTCAAGGGAACAGGAAACTTTTAAAATAAAATTGTAAGCAAAACATTAAACATTTCTGGCATTTTTGGATCATTTTGTTGATAGCTGCACAAAACACTAGGCAGTCTGTATTATTTGTGATTTCTTAAGGCCGTGAGCTATTGCTAAACTTTTGTTCACTTTGGATGTTCGGCTACCTGCTTCACCAGCAGGTCAGTTTTAAAATGTGTTCGTATGAGTGCTGTGTAAATCCACCTCTTGTTGCTCCACACGTTCCGACAGGAAGCAGAGCTGAGAGAAGAACTGGTGTCTTGTGGATTAGTCTTCCGAGAAGCATAATTAGTTTGCTTCGTTAATTCTTTGAGGAGACTATTTTTCAAACCATTTCAGTAACAATTTATATCTTCTTGACCTGATTAGGAGATTTTTTTTCCCCTTCCCTTTAGGTCGGGTCTCTTAAAAATAGTTTTCAATTTAACAAGTTTATTGTACTGCACCAAGGAGTTTAATCAGGAAGGCATGATGAAAGATACATCACCATTTTGTGATTTTGACATAAATATCATTCCCCCATATACAGAATTATATATGGATATGTCTTCTTGCTCATTAACAATAAGAAAAGAATACATTGGATCTACGATGAACATGTGACAGCAAGCAGCATGCGCGTATTAGAAATAAGAAGCATTTGTGTAATGGAGCTGATGTTAGAAATCTATTAAAAGTCACAGATGAGGATATAAAAAGGTGAAAAGATTGTCCCCAATAAGTGGAACTATGGTTTTGAAGGATCACCCAAAAACTGGGTGAAAGTGATTTTAGTAAAGGCATTTTACCACTGCATGTTGTGTACTGTAAACAACTAAAATACCTTTTACACCTATAGACCAAATTGGGGACATATATAGATGAGATTTATCAATGTACTTCAAGTATGTTGTCGGTTGCAGAACAGGTAATCACAGAAAGCCGTGGATTTCATTTAAATCGCCTGACATGCAACATGAAAACATTTTTAACAGCCTGAGGAAAATCTTGAAAAGAAGAACCCACTGAGTCTTTTTCAACACTAACAAACAAATACGTATGAAGTTCAAGCTACAACCTTGAAAGAATACGGACTCCAAATTTGCGAAACTCCTGCACACAGAAACAGAACACTCTGGCACCAAACCAGAGCAGATGGGAAGTCTTTGGCATTTAAAAAACAAAACAATAGTAAATATAACAAGCAAGTCAACAGAGATCGGTCCTGTCAGCCAGGAGAGTCACTCAGTAGCATCTAAGGGTGTTCAGCTTTGGGGAACACAGCTTCGGGCAACAAAGTCCCACTATTGTCCCTCTCTCTCAGCTCCTCTTCTTCTACGGACAAACGTAAGACAAAAGCATGTCGATCATGTTCTTGACGATGACTTCGGGTGGATGGAGAGCGTGAGGAAGGTGGTGCGCCACGCTCATTTGCCAGGCGTCCACCAGCAGCACGTTCATTCCCTTGAACATGGACCGGAGCACCTCGTCCAGCTGCAGGGAGTACCAGTCGCTGTTGAACAGGCTCACCTCTTGGTCCAGGGCCTGGAGGTTCCCCGAGCGAATCACGACGACGGTCCCCGGCGCTCGGTCCAGCAGCCTCACCAGCGCGCGCCGGATGTGACGCAGCCGCCGGATGTACACCTCCACCGGAAAAGTGCTGAAGTGCGCCCAGATGCTGAGGACCACCACGGTGTCGGGGCCCCCGGAGAGGCCGTCCAGCTCGTTGGAGACGTAGCGCAGCTCGCTGGACAGGACGGTGGAGAAGCGGATGGGCGGGCCGTGGCAGCGGTACTTCAACAGAATGTTATGGGTGCTGTCCACCGCCATGAAAGGCCCGACGTTTTTAGGACTGTGCAGGTTGAACTCCTTTAACCCTGAGCAATCAAGACGGAATGAATTTAAGTGGCGGTGAGAAAGAAAGAGACACGAGTGGAGAGTTTTTAAAACTATAGGACAATAACTGACCTGGTACCAAAGCAACAAGGTACTCGAACCACTGCCTGACGGTGGAGTCTCCGTACATGTTGACCACCTTGTTCTTCAAACACTGAGTGATGGCAGATAATTCGTTGAACTGGCGCATCGTCACGTCGCCCAACGGCCTCCACGAGTCTTTGTAGAAATATCCAGACGGCGCCAGCTTACCGGGCTCTGGGTTCTTGCTGCTGTTTTCAACCTCTACTTCTGATGCACAGCAAGAGAAGTGTTGCAGACGAAAGCAACGGACTGAAACGAAGCTTCCCACATGACAAACAAACTGCACGGGTCACTGTGCAGGTGCAGCCTTACCTTTCCTGGGAGGCAGCACGTTGATTCTGTCGGGTCCTGAGGCGTGTACATGAACTTTAATGTTTACACCGCTGAGACAAACGAGACGGAGTGATTCAGTGTTTAAGGTCTATAGTAAAGGTTGAGTCTGATGGAGGTCTATATTGTCGCTATCAACAACACCCCCCTTACCCCCCAAAAAAAGAAAACTCCACAGTGTGTTGGCCCCTCTCAAATAGTTTCCAAGTTTCCTGTTGTACAGGTTAAATCATTCACCTACATCAGAAAGTGTATGATGTGCATCATGATAGACGAAAGCGTCACCCAGTGCTGATAGTAAGCAATACGTCGTAACACACCTGACCTCGCCATCTCATCACCACCTGTACTAGTACAAACCTCTGGAAGAGCAATGCTTCTTTGGCGGTGATGATGTGCTTCAGGTAGCCTCCTTTGGCGTGGTTGATTCTGGTGTCACAGCTGAGCAGCTTGGGCTTGTAGCAGTACCAGGGCTCCCCTGTGTGAAGGTCCGTGTAGTTGCACAGGGGATGTTGGTCGGAGGGCAGGCACATGTTGCACACGGTCGACTCAGACAGGGAGCCCAGGCGGAACAGACTCTTGAAAAACACTCGATCTGGTCGTTCCTCCCTCAACCGGCGCAAGACTGAAACCGCCTCGCTGGAGTGCACCAAGGTGACCTCAACCTGCGCCGACCCCGCCCAGGGGAGAGGGAACATGGCGGAATAAAAGCCGTTCCTGTGGTCCACCACTTTGCCCGCTACACCCGCCCTGAGCTCCGGAGAGTGCAGTCTGGCCAAGAGGAAATCCCCGCCGTAGAGCTTCGGGCGACCCAGGAAGTCGTGCATTTGGACGAGGGCCTCCAGCTCGTCGCCCACGTGCCACTCCCTCCGTCCCTTAGTGGGGAGGATGGCGAACAGGCTGTGCGCCGGGTCGCTGGTCTGGTGCAGGGCGGGTGTCGCGGAGCCGGGCCGGGGCTCAGGCCAGGCGATGGACTCCAACAGGTATCGCTCTTCCAGTTCATCTTCGGGAAAGGGTTTCTGGCCCAGTTGGGCACAGAAGGTGCGGTTGTGATGGAAAGTGGGGAGATCCACAAAGGATGACTGGATCCGGCTCTGGAGCTGATAGAGGGCGGAGATAGTGTGGCAGTTCCAGTTCTGAAGATAAAGGGAGGAGTGTTAGGAGGTGCTGCAGGAAGCAGGACCATCAACATATTAACCTTGGGGGAAATGGTGATAATTAGCATAGGAATTGAGATATGGGATATACGTGTTCCGTGAGATCAAACTCAATTGGACCTTTGACCACTAAATTCTAATCAGCTGATCCTTTGAGTGGACATCTCTGCAAAATGTGAAGTTCCTGCTAAGCGTTCCTGAGATAATGTGTTCACGTCCTGAGGCTGGACAGTATCGCATGTTTAACCAAACAATATCCAGGTTACCTCGTTAACAGCGGACTTATTAGTGATCAACAGAACGTATCCATATTGATAAGAAAGGCACGTAAGCTACAGTGTTATCCAAAAGATACACAACGAGCTGCTAGCAGATAAAAAGTAAAATGACAGGTACATCCGCTTCCCTTAAGATGTCATTGAGAAAAGCCTGTGTGTCAATCACTGCTCACCTCCACAGTGTGGATGTTGCAGAGCAGGAAGATGAGGCCAGACAGGGCTAGGAAGAGGAAGATGAAGGCATATTTGGACAGATATCGGCACATGGTGGCCTCCTGCATCCCATGATCAGGCCCCGTTACGCTCAATGTGGTCACACCCGCGATGAAGGCGTCATTTCCTCATCAGAAACTGATGCTGGCGGACGAAATCTGTGGAGGATCCCAGACAGCATTTACATCTGTGCCAGATCCGTTTTCGTATCAGCAGATCCGGGCAGCAGTCACACTCACTGTGCAAATTTGCACCAATTTTGCGACAGACTTGTCTGTAGCTTCCTGACTGTGATGGGTGCGGCGCTGATACAGGACAGCTATGTGGGCCGGATACACGTCTGCTGCGGGGACCCGACGCGCCGAAACTAACCATCGCTTTTTTGAACCTGATTGCTGCATTACTTAAACGCAGAGTGGAAGACTGCAGGCTTCAGACTTTCTAAATATCTCTTTGTTTCTTTGCTTTGTGTGCTTTTTAAATTCTTACAGGAGCAGTGAGGAAGAATCGGCTTTCGAACAAAGCCACAGACACCGAAATTAATCAAATAGCCATCATGGATGGTTTGATCTGGCTTGCGACCGTGGGGGGTGGTCGCCGTGCCCGGTCACAACCAACTGAGCTGCAGTGATCACATTAGGTTTTGTATGTTTATATTTCTACTGTTACTGTTTATGACATTTTATACCTCCACACACACACACTTTTTTTTCTGCATGCACACACGTACACGCTGTTCATGCTGTAAGTGCTCTTTTGCCTTATTAAAATAAAAAAATATTTTGAAAATTACAAATTGTGTGGGTATTTGTTTGGGCTATCACAGACTACAGCCAGGTGAGCCCCAGATGTCAAATATGTGTCGCGGATCTGGGCCAGGTGAGCCCCAGGTCCCGAATTTGGGCCAGATCCGCACCACACGTCATGGGGTTAATAGCTGTACTGGGCCAGTGCGGGACCAGATCTGTCTCTGATCCGTAATTCCAACATGTTGCGGTATTGGGCCGTTGGAAAAAAAGACCCCGGATCAGGTGCGTTAAGTGGATCCCCGCCAAATGCTAATAAAAACCTGGCCCAGATCTGGAACAAATACATTTTGCTGGCTGGGATATTGATGAAGCTTGAAGCGATGAAGCTTCCATCTCTAAAGGTGAATAAGAGGCAGATTTAAAAGCCGCGTGTCGAGCGCGCGTGGCTTTTGTTTCCGTAAGAACCTGTCATCACCCCCGCGGGTCTCCTCGCTCGGTGGATCTCCCATCTTGAGAAACCTCGGCGGCGCCTCTCGGCCAGCGGCTCCGTCACGTGAACAACACGGAGGCGCCGGGGACCGAACCAGCGGGGCCCGATGCGCCGACACGCATCACGTATGATTCATACGCCCGCACCCATGACAGCTAACAGTCCACGCAGGCGTACAGACACACACACACACACACACACTCACCTATTACGTCGATGGATGGACACACTGGAGCGCGAGACGCATCGTCCTGGTAACCATCCATCTGTAAAGCCGCTTATCCGTCATGCAGGACCGCGGGGGGCCGGAGTCAATCGCAGCTGACATGGGACGGGAGACGGGAGACGGGATCCACCGCGGACTGGTCACGAGTCTATCAGGGCGCACACAGAGACAAAGAGGACGACGGGGAGGGGTCGATCTGTCCCGCTGCGTCCTCTGGTGGTCGGACATTTAAAACCACAGCGCATACAAAGCGGAGGAATTTGACTTGACTTTGCGGTTGGTGCGTAACAGCAGACAGCCGACAATGGACGACAAGACAACAGTGCACGAGGAATAAAAAATATATGTATATAATGCTATGGGTTAGTAGTATAAGGGTATGGGTTAGTTTAAAAATAAAGGAATACAAGTTAAAGTTAAAAATATTTAGAAATTAAAAAGGGAAAAAAGTGCACCAGCGAACCGAAAGTGACAAGTGACGTGTGTGTGTGTGTGTGTGTCTAATATATATATATATATATATATATATATATATATATATACATATATATATATATATATAAACAACTCTGGTTTCCTGTATTTGCGTGGGTTATATTAACTTACTAGTATGCTGTAATGACCTGGCTTACCTTTAGTTAAAGTCTTTACTCCCTGTCCTTAAATACAGCCCCACGTACTTGTACATGACTTGAGTATTTCCATCTTTACTCTACCAACATTGCATTTCAGCGAGAACATATTCAAATTGGATCCATTCTTGCAAATTGAACTGCCAAACCTGTTTAAAATCATTCAAATGATCTCAACTTAGATCAATTACAACATTATTTTATATTTTTATACTGTGACATGTCAATAGTTTTCAACCACTGCCTGTCAACAACGTATACAATAAATATTAAATCAGGCTATATACCTACCAGTGATAGGATGAAGAGAAGAACCCACAGGCGCAATCATTTTAAAATAACATGAAACACAATAACAATTGGAAAATAATTATTTTAGATTTATTTACATATTTTCAAACTAAAGATGCTACAACATTTTTAGATGATCTAGACTTACATACAATCGATATAAAACGGTTCATCTCTTGAATTAGATTGGATTGATAGTAAGCCACAAGTTTCACACATCAGCTTCTGATCTGATTAATTGTTTTATCACATATTGTATTTAATACAGTGGATGTTGATAAAGAGAAGACGATGTACAATACCTGGTCTTTTAACCAATAGATCTACTGGGTTTTCCATTATGTATGATTGCTTTCCAGATACTAATATATTCTGAAGTTACATCGCGACAATTTCTTTTAGTCACAGCGGAAAATGTTAAACAACAGAACAGATTGAAATGTACGAAGCAGAGTTTCAGTGAGTTTAACTCAGTTATGAGTTGTCTTGAGTTGTCTGAGGGGAAGAGGGGGACGGTGTGGTTTTGCCGGCCGACGCTGGTGAGACGGGCCGTGCTCTTTCTGTTCTATCGCTGATCCCCTCCTCCGCCTCCTCTTCCCTCTGCTGCACCGAGGAGAGGTACTGCTCCAGCAGGCTGCAGTCCGCGCTGTCCGCACCGGTGAGGCCGCTGTGAAGCGGGCTGAGGGCTCGCACCGTCTTCGGAGAATCCGCCGTCCCGCTGCTCAGGAAACTGTCCTCCTGCGCTGCCTGCTGATCACTGGTTGACTGGAAGCCAGAGTCGGGGAACGAGGAGTCTGCGGAGGATGGGTTCGCCGTGCTCGATGTGACAGGCGTGGCGGCCGCACACAGTCCTGCAGCTGAGACCTGAGCCGGGGGGACGGCCTGACTCATGCTCGCCAGCTGCTGCTCCACAGACTGCTTCCAATGCTCCATAGACTGGAGCTACAAGGAGAACACGGGGAGATGTTGAACTAGCTGGGCAGCCACAGGAAAATGTACAATGCCATGAACAGACATTTTCACACACACACACACACACACACACCTGTTTCCACAGGAACTTTACAGCTTCCTCCTGGACCAGTCTTTGTAACCTCTCTTCTTCATACTGCTGCTGGACCCTGCAAAACATAACCCACATTTGACCGGTTGATAATCTTTGTGAAATATCATTGAATACTTTAAATAAACTGTATGTAACATTTTTTAACAACAAGTAAAACAGAAAATTGACACGTACCTGTCCAACTGTCCAGACAGGGAGAGGATGTACTCTTGCATCCTGCGCAGACGAATTTCGCCGCGCACCTCTTTGGCCGCGGGGTGACAACAGCGCGTGTGCTGTCCCCTCCACCATGACTGGATTTTAACCGCTGCCCGGTCTGCTTCCATCAAACTTGATTTACTGGCACACACACCTGTGTTTTCCTGCTTGGGGGCTTCTTTTATCTCTTCCTTCCCAAAGTCAGAGGATGTTTCCACACCACATTGAGGTTTGCTTACTCCGGCTTCCGGTGGCTGAGCTGTTGGAGCTGCACCCAAAATAACGTCCTCTACAAGACCCCTCTCCTGCCCACCCACTGGGGGTGAATGATGTGTCTTGTTTGTGTCGTGTCTTTTGGGCTGTGCTGGCCGCTTTGGAGCCAGGGAATCGGGTTCAAATGTCTCTGTCTCGTCCTCGCTGTCAGAGCGGACCGTCTGCGGCTCCGGATCAGATGTGAAGGGAAGAAAGGTGGACTCTGAGGAAAGCATGCTGCCGTTGAGTTTCTCCTCATCCGTCTGAACATCCTCCAGATAGATGTGCTCCTCTCCGAGCCGCGGGCTGCGAACTACCGGCGGCGGCGGGTGAGAGGAATCACAGCTCATCCAGGTGTTGAACTGCACGACTGGCTCTGTAACCAAAGTAACCACGGCAAAGAGATCACATCATTTGCAAAGAGAAACAATAAAACTGTCCCAAGACGGCCTCTTCTTACCGGTCTCCTGTACTAATGGAGCAGCAGGGGGGGTCAGCGCACTGATTTGCTTCACCTCTCTGGCTCCCCCCTGTGGGACTGGATGGGACGGACTGTGCCTCTCCACGTCTAGCTGAGTGGGGCGAGGAGGACTCGGACAGCCTTCTCGTGTCTCCTCTAACAGCTGCCGTTGGTGAAACCTAAATAAAAAAAAAAAAGTCAAATGAGGTCATTTTAATACACAATTCCCATTGAGAGGGATTTATGGCGATGAAGTGAGGATTGGATGATTAGTCTTCGGTGTCTGTGGTGTTTTTTTGAGCTTCACGTATTGTAGCAGACCAAGTTCAGATTTATACCTCTGCTTATTGAGGATCTTCTCCAGTTTGGCGTCTTCTGCAGTCTCCAGCGCTGGCGATGACGTCAGAGGGCAAACAGTGGCCAGGTATTGAACCAGCTGAACATGCTGACCTGGTCGGTATGAACGTCCTTTTCCCTGACTGTAAAGCCACTCGGCTTTGAGACTGTTATTGACAATTGAACACAATAAATTAAGATATTTAAATAATCTGATGCCATTAACCCTGACAAGCAATTTGTAACAGCATCGAAATGTGCACACCCTTCTTTCTGCGACACGACATAGCCATCCAGAACCTTGAGGCTCAGGCACCAACTCATGACGTATGGCCGATAGTCAAAACCTGGCAATGAGGGTGTTGCCATTACACAAGGGTTGCTCATAATGGACAGCTGCTCCAGTTCACGGAGAGGGGCCAGGTAAGATGCCTACGGAATAAATCGTCCAAGGATAATTCGCATTTATAAAATCAAATGGAAGGTAAAGTCATGAAGGTAAGAAAGAAGATATTTACTTCATTAAGATCCCGTATCTCATTTTCTGCCAGGGAGAAGATGGATAAGTTGGCAGGTAGGTGAGCAGGAACAGCACGAAGTGTTGTAATGCTGTTTCCATGGAGTAACAGCGTCTGCAAAATTGACAGATTATCCATCAAATATACATGGAAGAAATCTGGCACAGAAACTGTCTTCTTGTTTAGGCTTACTTTTGACCTCAAGAGGCTCCAGCGCTCACCTTTAATGCCACCAGTTTAGTCACATCACCAATGGTGGATATGTTATTGTCCGACAGATCCAAGTGTTGAAGGGAAACACAGTTGTTGAGTTGCTCGATGACCTGAGAAAAAAAGTTTCAAGTAAATGAATATCTTAATGCATTGTGCTGAAACTGACAGTTTTATCTGTGAAACGACATTGTGTAAATAAATTAGACAGATGGATATATCAGTCAGGTATAGGTAAGAATTTCTCCTTACTTTAATGTTGTTCCCAGACAGATTCAGCCATTTGAGGTGTGGCAGGTCTCTGAGCCCCTCGATGTATCCGATACTGTTGTTTGGAAGATTGAGGACTGTCAACTGTGTTAGCCGAGACACGCCCATCATTCTCACCAGACGGTTACTGGCTACAGATAGCTACGGGGAAGATTGTAAACAAGGCCTTGGATCAAGCAATGGGAGTTATCAGTGAATATGCTATAAACCTGTAAAACAGCAGGTAGAAAACTGAGCAAAGCGCTCAACGGGTTTAACCACCTGCTGAAGGCCTGGGCTCCTTTCCAGATGGTCTAGTTTCATTATATTGTTTCGGTCCAGGATGAGAGTGTGAGTGTCCTCTGAGCAGGTGAAACTCTGGTCCAGCTTTTGCATTCCCCTGGCCGAAAGATCCACCACAGCTCCTTACCAGAGCAAAGAGGGTGGGGATTAAAAGGTACTGGAGAAGCAATTCTAGAAATACAAATCACCGTGGCTACATATCACACGATAGCTTCATGCAACCAAACCCCTGCAGTACAGCTGGTGGCAGACACTCGGTTTACTGTGATCGAGGTGAGGCTGCTTAAAACTCCAAATGGTTAACAGAGAGGTGAATGCTCAGTGTTGTGTTGTAGTCAGCTGGTGTTACTTCAGTGTAAACACATGTAAATATCTGCCAAATAACAAAGGAATTGCATCCTACGCATTTCACAAACTAACGTACGTTAACGTCACCCAGACAACTTGCAGAACATTAAGACAACAACAAACAATGGCAATCCGTAAGTTTGACCGCACATGACACATGGCCCATGATATTTTGATCCGCATCTTCTGACACACTTGATGTTGACAACGTTAGCAAACAGTAGCTCTCTGGAGTCTGGGATGATGCTTACTAGCTGACATTCGCTAGCCGGTATCATAGAAAGGGCTACGCTGTAAAATAAACACACTCAGAAAGGCTAAACTTGAACTAATATGTACCGCTTACCCGCATTTGTATCGAATTGTAAATCTGATACACCCATCCTGTCTCCTCGGGATGCACCTAACGTTTGTTAACTAACGTTACTAGCAAGCTGCAGACCGTGGGGTCAAAGACGAGAAGCGCCTGTCGCTTGTCAAACGGTTAAACCGGGAACGTGCTGGGATATGTAGTTCTAACAGGCCGCCTCCCTCATTACAGTACAGTAATTGTGGCTTAAAAAGACTACAATTATCGTCATTTCCTACCGCCAACCAGGTGGCAGTAAATAAAGTAAGAAAGAAGCTAACCGATAACGTTAATAACAAAAATGCGTGGATGTGGTACCACCTATTTTTATTATTTAATTTTTTATCCATTTGACGTTCCTCTTTATTATCACTTTAATCAACCAGGAAGTAAATTACTGTTTTCCCGCTTACTGTTACGCTTGCTGACCAACGATCAGTTTGTGACGTTGCCCTTCTACGTATTGGACATTTTTAATTGAATTTAACTCATATTTTCAAAAGCAACGATTCTATTCATATACGTGATTCAATGTTATGCGCAGAGTATTAACAATACGTGTTACGGTTTATTTAATAAATATCCATTTGTTGTTTGCAACTTCCGTTTCCGTACCCGTCATCTTTCTTTCCGGTTTGGTGCCCTCTCGTAGCCATCATGAAGTGAGTGTACAGAATACTATCAAAGGCCATCTTAACGCTTAAATAAACGTTCTGACTATATTATATATTTTAAGAGTCACTGTATACCATTTTCTTTTAGTGATGCTCGCTATTTCTTGTTTTCAGGGTCGAGTTGTGCAGTTTCAGTGGGTATAAAATATACCCCGGCCATGGCCGCCGATACGCCAGGATAGACGGAAAGGTAACCATTTGACCCGACAACGGGTTACATCTACGCCGTCTTTTGCTACGGTGTTTAGAACAATTTACCGGGTTACGTGTTTAGTTTCTCCTGTGGATGTCCGCAACCGAATCGGTGTTCTGTGGAATCGGTCCGTCGACTCCTACAATGCTACTTGCTAACATTAGCTGCTAACGTAAACTGATAACGTAAGACGTTGGCTAACGTTACCAACCCGGTCTGTCTATCGGCGAGGAGCCGTGTGGACAGCATTCGTGTTGTAATCATGGAGAGTTGGCAACATGTTGCTAACTCGTATTAAAGGTAGTAAATGTACACCTCTCCGGGATGTTCCTATAGGTCCATACATGTCTGCCCATTATTAGAGTGATGGTCCATCATAAAGAGATTTGTTTCGTAATCCGGTCTTTGATAGGTGTTCCAGTTTCTCAATGGCAAATGTGAGTCAGCCTTCCTGTCCAAGAGGAACCCCAGACAGATCAACTGGACCGTTCTCTACAGGCGCAAGCACAAGAAGGGCCAATCTGTAAGTAAAACAATTATAATAGTATGTCTTTACCGTGGGATATAACAGCCAATATCTGCTTTTAAAACTACAATTTGTTGGTCTGATGCAGATATTTGTGCTGGTTGTTTCTTATTAAAGCTGTCTAAAATACGAAACTGTTTAAATAGTCCATTGCATTTGTTTTTAGGACTTCTACGAACACTTTTAACATGTCTTCATGGCGGCGGATGTGGAAGTTTTCTTTTTGCTTTAGAAAACACCACATTGACTGGTCTACACGGGCGTTGAGACTATTAAACACAAGTCAATACAGTTCCCACTCACATACTTGTTTGGCTGCGGGTGGACGGCGTGCACGGCGACCGTCTGTGTTATGTGCTGTTGCCTGACTGTGTCTTGCAGGCTGGGCAGCAGTGCTCACCCCACACCTGCGGCCATAGAATAAATGGAGATCATAGTACTGGTCCTTGACGTCTTTATCGACATCTCACCATTGGCCAGCCTCCAAATTCTCCTACACGCCACAAAACTATTGCCGAATATGTTGCTGATGTGTAGTTTTTACTGTGTTACAAATAAACAACGGTCCCTTCGTGTGTGTGTGTGTGTGTGCTTTTTACAGGAAGAGGTGGCAAAGAAGCGCACCCGTCGTGCAGTGAAATTCCAGAGGGCCATCACAGGAGCCTCCCTGGCCGAGATCATGGCCAAGAGGAACCAGAAGCCCGAGGTCCGTAAGGCCCAGAGGGAGCAGGCAATAAGGTGAGGACTCAAATCGTGTTATGTGTTTTTAAAAATAATTGTTGGTTCACTCCAATATTAAGGGGCTGTCTGTTAGCAGAATCTTTTTTTCTTTGAGTGTTGCCACCTCAGTGGTAGCAAAGGTCTAATGTGACAACCTTTTTTTACTATGATCAACATCACCGTAGAATCAATTTGGTCACAACCAAAGTCTGTTTTAAAATCTTAGTGAATTTTGTTTGGAAAAAAATCATGAATATTGGGATGAGCTGCCAAATATATATTTAGGATATTGGACATGGTCAATGAAAGACCCACACTGACTCTTATGTTTTGGGTGATGTTTGGCATCGCGTGTTCAAAACAATGACGTTGTGAAGGAAATTAACAAAAAAGTTGTTGATGCAGCAGTTGTTGGCAAGGTTAGAAAAGGCAAAACATTTAGTTTATAGAACCTAAGTGTTAAAATCAATAATGTACTGTGAATAGTTCTCACCAGCTTCTCCTGTTTTTTCCTCAGAGCTGCCAAGGAGGTCAAGAAGGCAAAGCAGGCAACCAAGAAGCCCGCTGCAGCAAGTGCAAAGGTAATGCTTTACTGAGGCAAATATTGTATGTTTTAACGTCACTGTTTTATAAATTGATTTGGTCTCTGTACTTATTGTATCTCTCCTTCTGCAGACGTCTGCAAAGACCGCACAGAAACCCAAGGTGGCCAAGACCATGAAGATTAACGCTCCTCGTGTTGGAGGAAAACGCTAAATCTGACTCGTGGTTCGGGTTGTGAATAAAACGATTTTGCTTAACCAGGATATGTGTTATTTGTAATTTTAGAATCCGGTTGAAGATCGTATTGTAATCCATGCCAGTATGGTTTTTAAATGTCAGACTGCAGTGTTGGTGGATTTTTACAGTTTCCTCTTTTACCACATTCAATACGTTTGAGAAACAAGGCCGGCCAAATAAGTGTTCTGGATGGGATGTCGATGGGTAGTCGATGGGTAATCCGTCTGAAAGAAAGCCATTTGTATCTTGATTAAAACATTGGTCGTTCTGCTCTAAATCGGGTCAATTTCAAGACTACAAACACTGTTCGGTGAAACACTGGTCGGAGACGTGTGATTCGTCACCACAGAAGCTTTGCTGTTCTATAAAATGCTGAAGCAGTGAGGACTGATGGCTTAGTTTTCTATTGTAGCTCAATCAACACTTGCCCCTTTCACTCTGCAGTATACGTCCTGCTGGCTGTTACAAGTTGAAGCCAGGAGTGCAAAGATTCATGTGCTGTTTAGTCACCTCAGGACTGTGGGTCAAGAATTGTCCATGGTGGATGTTTCATGTCACTGCTCTGGTGCTGCCTGGGGAAGTAAGTACTAAACTGTTCCACAGTTTAGTCACTTGAACTGAATCAGCTGCAGGTGTTAAACAGGATTTATTAATCTTTGACGACCATCAAAGTTCCATTTGTTCAAACAGTCGGCAGATAAAGGAGTATTGTAAAGTGACAGCAATTATTGCTAAGAGGTACAGTATGTTGGTAACGTGTCAGGGCAACATGTAAATGAGAACTATTCCTACACAAAATATAAAACATTTCTACTAACTTCCAAAAGCACTGATTTTTAAAATGTTTAAAACTAAAATTTGAAAGCTGTTGGCAGGTCAGTGTTTGCTTTGTTGACTAAATCAATAAAAAGCTGCACAGGCTAAATACAAGCCATTGGTTTACATTTTCCTGACACACAATCAGAAATTAACAGCATCTTTCTATACAGTGTTAGCAAAAAATGAATCAAATGATTAATTATGACTCACAGATTAAAGCATTTCAAATGGAAGAAATTATTCCATGGTTATAAATGATTTAATCATCATTGAGATACAGACGCCACAACTGTTACCTGATTATAAATAAGTAAATAAAGATTAATTTGGAAACATTCCGCGTTCAACACACATCCAAGACTTACGCGCTTCTGGAAATCAATGCACGAGGTACCGATTGCTACACCTGAAGTATAAAGATGGACGAAGAAGAAAAAACCTCCCAACTAGTGCACGAGATAAAACAAATGGAAGAATTTACAATCATAAAAGTTGTTAAACAACTAATACTTGTGTGTTGGTGGCGATAATTCTTGAGTATATGTTGACGAAGGCTCTGTTTGTTTTCTCTCTTACACCCTGAGGAGGTTTGAAACTCGAGAAGACGTGCACCTTCCCAACAGGCTTAAAGTGTGATCGAAGGATGGTTGTTATGGAGACTATGTGTGGAGATGATGGGAAGGGGCTGCTTTGTGTGACGTCTCCGTTCAGTCCACTGGGGGAGAAGCACTCAGGACTCTGCAGCCACTTGGACTTCTGCCTTCTGATCCTGTTTGTACCTGTCGAAAGGAGCAGATTGAACACATCAGAGAGATGTAATAGTGAACAAAGTGCCCGGGGAGAGGAGGGTGGGAGGGGGGGCTTTGAATAGCAGAGGCTTTTGTGATCAGTCACATGATTTTCCCCTTTTCTCTGTGAGAAGTACAGATGAACTCCACACTCGATAAGCAGTTTGAACTTAACAGCTGCCGCACAAATCTCACTTGAGGTCGAGGCTTTTTTCGGACAACGCCCCACTTCCTTAATGTTATTTATTTACTATTTAGTATTTATTCTATGGAGTTCAACTGGGAAATGCTTCAACTCAGATCCCGACGCAGTTCAGTTAATGGTTGAAGCCGCAAACAAAAAGTACAGATGAAACACTGCTGTACGTTATACATTTACCACGTGTGTCCCTGGCGCTGCACTCAAACATTAACTGGCAGAGATCAAGGAATGCATTCACTCATCACACGCTCATTGTAACCGATCAGAGACAATGAGGACACTCCTACCGGGGAATTGACCGCGATAACATTTTGTTTTAAAAAAGGCACAAACCTCCAGATCCTGTAGAGCTGGGAGGATCCCGCGATGCCGAGGAAGAAGTTGACACAGAACAGGTTCCAGTTCTTGGGGGTTATGACTAACGAGTATCTGGACCAGACCAGGCCTGGTGGAACAAGGACAGCAGGAAGTGCGGCGGTTATGCCCACTGAGGGTGAACCGGCGTGTGGACACTGTTCGTTTTGGCCAGAGAGCAACAGATAAGATCCGTTCGAAGACACACATTGCAAAAGCAGATGCATCAGATGACCTTTGGCACAGAGCGGTCCAAATCTCTCTGGTGACCAGATTGTTTGCAAAAGCGCTTGAATGCCTCGAGGCAGATAAATGACGGCCAGGTGACATCAACTTTGTTTTAAAACCGTGTACATTTTTGTTACAGAACAAGACTCCAGGGGCATGAAGGTTATTTCTTTAAATCTATTTCATCTCACCTGTGGCCGTCAGCACTGCAGACTGGGAGGTACTGAGCTTCTCCGCCGGTCGGGTCATATCAGCCAAACCGGCTCCAACCAGCCCCTGTGGAGGGTTAGTCAGTGTTCATTCACTGCATGTTGGGGGATCCGTTTGCATCGATAGTAAGGACACAACGGTGTGAGGTTAAGCCCTGAAAGTCTCTTAAAACCTCCAGTGTTGCACAGGAAAACAAACAAAAGGCACGTACCCATTTAAACACCGGTGCCCAGAAGAATACGGTTTTTGGACCTGAAAAGAAAGGGTAAAAAAAAAAAAAAACATGAAATGTGACCACCGTATTTTGTGTAATTCTTCAGTTTCTGGTTCTCCAATCAGCTGCGGGGTAACAGCGACATGGAGGCCTCACGGTGTCCAAACACACGCAAATAAAAGCTGCTGCTCTTGAATTGACCATCCTCGTATAAGAACATGTTTGTAATACTGAAGAAAAGCAAAGGGGTATGAAGATGCGTCGTGAACATGAGCTGAAAAGTAGGACTTGTGTCACTGCAAAGCCGGCGCTGAGGGAGGCGACTTCAGTCGCCGCCCCTTTTTACCTGTTCAGAGTTGTCCTTGACCACCACAAGGTGCCCAGTGACGCCAGCAACTCCTTAATATCAGTAACAGTTCAAACGTGTGTGTTTAAGTTGTACTCGCAGAATAATGAAGACATTTGGTTTATTACGTACTCTAAACTAAACAAAACACAGTCCCATGCAACGAATGCCACCTTCATGAAGGTGATAGTGTTCGACATCGGCTGTTTTTTTTAGTATCTTGGTATCATTGTTTGTTGTGCTGTTGAATCGCGTTGCGTTTAAGTGGGAAATGTGTCTACATTCATCAGTCTGCACAGTGTCCTCATAGGAAGTGTGTTGACAAAATATACCGTCATGAAGGTGAGATTTATCAGATTTAAGGCTGGTGACTTACATTCTGTAGCTGGAGAAAGTTGTGGGCTCTCCTCTAAACTACAAATGTAATTGTATACGTTTTGAATCAGTAATAAGCAGAGACACAATAAATCCTGCAACTGTAACTTTTTCATTTTTTAAATTTATTTTATCTTTACATATTCTGTGGCTTCGCTGCTGCAAAATAGAATGTGGCCTCTGGGAAACAATTCATGCTTAACTTAGTTATTAGTAACTTCAGTCCAATTAGAATTAATAGGACCATCATCGAAGTGTGAACACAAGATCCGATAAAAACTTTGTTTTTGTTATTCAAGTTGATATGACGACAATAACATGGCAACTGCGCTCGAAATTAAACCACATTTCGATGCGTTTCTCTTCCTAATCGCAATACTTTTGAACTCTCCTCAAATCCAGAACTTAATGCCCCATCAAGCAGCTTCGTTTTCAGCAGCCTGTGATTCAAACGGTCTGTGATAAACTGAGGATCGCGTAGAAAAACAACAACTTCAAACAGTCGTGCCACCAACAACAGACAAACAGGAGCTGCCGTTTGACCCTCTGCGTGAGATTCATCCGTAACAGCTGGATGGATCGTCCAACACATCCAAAACAGCTGGATGGACCCCTCATCGGTGAACAGCCCCGCGAGAGACACCCCGGACACCCAGAGGGGGGAACTCTACATTACCCGCCGGGTGGTTGTACAGAGGTCTCAGCTTGGCGGGCAGCATAAGCTCGATCTTGTCCAGGATCCGGTGGTAGTTCGCTCTCAGCGCAGCCATCGCTGTGACGTCTGATGTCCCGGTTAAAGTAATGACACGGAGCGGAACTTCAAGCTAGCTCGCTAAATGGTTAGCACGCTGTACGCTCGGCTTTGGTTAACGTCGGCCTCCGTGTATATGCGCGTAAGTTGTAAGATAAATAAAAGGCAGGTCGCGTGAAGGTTAAACGCCGCGCGAGGATGCTGCTGTCCTACTATCGACCTTGGACCTGGACCACTATCTCCAGCGCGCTGCTAGCTTCAAAGGAGCATCTGACTGACCGACGCGACGAGGTGACTTTCCGTACGATGCAACCTACCGTGTGAGGGGCGGGGTTAGACGTGCCACCTGTTCTGATTGGTCGCCCTGGTCCCAACCCCAAAATGATTGGTTCGAAAATGAGTGTTTATTTTTTTGCCCGGCGTGTCCCAATGAATGACAGCGATTCACCAACTTTTATTGAGAAAAATATAAACATATATTTCTTAACATCATAACCACGAGAGAGCTGTTTTTAAAGATGCTCTACCACCTTACTATACTATAGTTCGAATGTTATGCTCCAAATGTCACATTGTTGCTTATGTTTTATATTACATAGTTGATCAAAACTTTACATTGTCTAGATTGGCATTGTATACACAACAAAATGTTGCAACTGTACTCCTGAAAGACGTCTGTCCTCTGTTGCCAGCTATTTACACACAATCCTCTACGTATCAGATGTGAGAGGAGAGAGGTTCAAAGGTCATAGTTCCATTTTATAAGGTAGCTGCAGTCTGCGATGTGGAAGGCAGCTCCGTTTCACAAAAAAACAACACACGTGTTTTCCATTTGGCCCCGAAAAGGTTAATCCGGTTATTAACTCGGCAACATATACTTTTTGTTAGTTTTCTTTCAAACTTTTAAATGGTGATTATCTGTATAACCAGCATGTTTACTTATGTTAAAGACAAGAGCTACAATATGACACAGAGATTCAATTACATTTTAAATGCAACCCTTAAAAGTGATTTTTGAGGGGTTTTTTTAGGGAAGACTCCGATACCTCCAGTCTGAACAGTCTTGATGTATGAATTATTTTCCTATTTGGCATAAGATTATTTTTGGAACAATAAAACCCTTAAAATACATGTATTGAAATACATGAAGTTGTTGAATCAATCACACTGCCATTCAATATTCTAATTCTAGGAAAAATGGCCTCAGCAATCTGCAGCGCAATGTGGTATTGCCACTTTTAACTAAGTTAAATATTTGAACACCTCTTCCACCACGTCTCCACATCGTTTCCTTCATTCCAAGCTTTCCCCGTCCCCGCTCCTCCCGCCTGCTTCGCGGCTGAGTAAAAAAAAACGAGCGCTCCCTCTCAGTCAAAACACGTTGTTTATCGCGTTGTTTTGGACACAGCTGACCGCTGCCTGGCTAGAAGAAATAAACCTGCCTAGCCTAGCAGGACGGACAGTTAGCAGCGCAGAGAGCCGGAGGACGGTGTGGGTAGACTAGCGAGGACAGCGGGGACGGGGACAGCAGCGCGTCTTTCACCTCCAGCGATGCGGACGCGGAGCGTAGCAGCCGGCTAACATTAGCGCCGTCCCGACCCGCAGGGGACCGACGTCGATGGCACAGCCGATCGACGATCAAATAAAAGGCGACATCAACGGCAACGCGTTAGCTTGCTTTCAATGTTATTGTTAATTCAAACCGTCATATGGTCACAATGTCCTGGTCTGGAAACCTGGTTTGGGATGTAAACAAACGTCTGATTGGATACAACGAGCCGAACACCATCCGGACCAACTACTTGGGTAAGAACAAAACGACCCTCTCTGATGCTAACCCTCACCTGGGGGGATACGGCTGTTATTTCTCTAAATAAACACCGGTGACTCCGCGGTGCTGAATCGGATCCACTGACAGCGGATCTACCGAATAACGGAGATCTGCTAAGTTCTTCTTCTGTGGAGCAGCGAACATCTCTGTGCGTCTGAACAACAGCAGAGTCTGAACACTATGTTGATGAGGATTATTATTCTCTCTATACATATATATTATGTATATCATTCTTAATAGTGCTGCTTTTTATGATGTAATACATACGGAAAAAATAAAATTGATCTCCCTCATTCAGATGATCCATTGTTTTTGTAGAATTGTGCCATAGAATACATTTCTGTGGGTGAATTGTCATCTACAGACTCCATCATCATCTCTGTCTGTCTATACCTACCAGTCTTTCCATGTAACCGAACTATAGATGTAATGTAGTAAAACGTGGGGATCATTCTAGTAAGCTATTCACAAAGAGGGGATGCGTTATGAAGTATATTTTGCGCTTTTCCAAAGTGATCATTAGAACCTCTGGAAACAACAACATTTTGTTTGGTGAGCAGCTGCGAACGGGCACAAGCAAAATGTAAAACATGCAGTAAATGGTGCAATATTTTTGAGGATATCAAGCCGGGGCATCAACACCCTGCCAGCCCGATTGTTGCATTTTTCTTCAAAGAAAGTGCCTACGGGGAATAAAGGAAGGCCGTTGCTCCGGCCCTAAACTTGGAGTAATCTACCAAACTTCACCGGTGTGAGTTAACCTGCAGCGATCCCACTCCTCATCCACACAGTTCTGTGTTTGGCTGCACGTGCGTGGACGGAGGGGATACCGAGAGGTCCAGGAGGCCATTGTGGCCCCTCCATCGGACCTGACGGAGGTTGACTGAACATACGTAAGCCTGTGGAGGTGGGGCAGGTGCCACACAGGCTTAGTCAGCGCTGCATTTAGCTTGACGGAGATACGGTTGGAGCTGTTATTGTGTTATGGGTAGATGATACATGCAGTGATGTGGGGGTCAGAGCTCTTGTAGGATATATTTAGCTTCAATAGAGGAGGGAGGGGGGGACAAGCAGTGGTCTACATCGAGGACACTTCCGGGGAGGTTATGGATCACAGGGCTGTCTGTGAACTGAAGAGAGATTTAAGCAATAATAAGTTGGGTAAGATAGACAAAGCATTTTAATATTCGTGAAACTAGAAATAAAACAGCTGAATTCATTGACGCGCAGGTCTGGATGCACATTGCCTCGAAGCATATTCTGTAGTCTGTGTTTTTTGGCTCAATGAAGTTGCTACCTTTGCATTTTGATACTGTTCATTTTCACACCTTATTATTATTTGTATTAGTCCTTTTGACTGGGAGCTTCAGAGGAGCTTGTAGCTCATCCTTTGCGAATTCAGACTCGTTTTATTCCTGCAGCACTAATGAAACCTGTCGGTGCGAGTCAAAGATTGTAGCTTTTACAACTTTTTTTTTCTTTAACAAAAGAGAAAACATCCTTCCCACATACAACGAAGGAAAGTTATAGTAGTTATTACATGACAGTAGTTCTGCATGCAGCTATTCAGTATGTCTGGTAATAACCAGAATAGTACATTGTTTTTGTAGGTAGAATACAAGAAATCAACACGCTTTAATTATTTTCTCTTTAACAATCTGAAACTGTGTGCAATTAACACACAATAAAGATGTATTTGCAAATTACAAGGTAATACAGACTGTGATATTGTATTAAAACTTAATGTAATAATTTATGTTTTGTATCTTTTTGTTAGTAAATGAGATTTGCCATCCTCTTTTAAAAAAAATGAAGCCAAACACTGACAAAGAGACGTATTTATCTAGATAATATTGATAATAAATATAAAACATTAAGTGCACAATCATAACTTTAAACAAAGAGCAGCTAGATGAAGCTGTTGTTGTGGTTTCTCTGTTTCACGTACAAGCATTTTGTCATTTTTGTCAGCCAAGAACACCTCCTCTGTTTAGCGTTGTGCGTTGCATTGTGGGAGAATTGTGTCAACGGCGCACTCGTAGGTTTTTACTGGAGTCTGGAGGCTGAGCGTCCTTAAGAACTCTGCATTGTCTCTTTAACAATGTGAACGACGAGACGGAAGCTGTTTAGAGTCGGCGTCTCACATGTGGTGAGAAGTATCACAAAATAACTTGCTCATGATGAGTTCCAACGGTTTGCAGCAAAGAACTCTGAGAATTGGGACTTTAATATGTGACAAATCACTCCACTGTGAAGACAAACTACTTATTGTTTGAGTTAACGCTGGAAGAGAAACCATCAGCATCATCACACTACTCCTGCCATTTATACGGTTTTACCAGTTGGTGCAGGGAAGGCTTTGTCTGCACGAATAATACATTCAAATAATACATTCACATATTTTAAACCAGTCTACAAAGCTTCGGTTGCATGTAACTAGAGTGAAGATGGATGCACAGATGATCGATGGAGCTGGTGTTCAATAACATAATAAATAAATCCTGTGAACTTGTCTTTGTTTTACAGTTGTGCTCTTTCTCTTTTTACAGGCAGAAGAGAATTTGTTCAAAGACTTAAACTTGAAGGGACGCTGAATGTACACGATGGCTGCGTAAGTGCCCCTGATTCGTTCTCTTTTTTTCTCCATTTGTTTTCAATAGAACATAAATCTTTGTTTCACCTTGAAAAGAAAGACCTCTTCATGTGTTCCCCTCGGTCCGTGAGTGAGGCCTGAGTTTGTGACTGAGAGCAGTTCTTTGACTCCGGGCCAGGTGGTTAATACCTCTGAGAAACCCGACGCTGCCACGACAGTCACACGTCCTGTCACACTGTCGGCCCGGACGTCAGTCCTGACGCGGCGCCACAACAACACTTTTTTTTTTTACTTGTATGTTATGAATATGTCCGCTGTCCTTTTAGTGTAGAGATATATTTGCTATTATAAAACGATAACGTGTAAATGGGACTTTCGTTGGAACTGTTACTGCAGATAGATACTGATATCTATAGATACATACATGAATAAAAACAGGAAAAGTCACCCCCTGCGTTTAGATCGTTTTGAGATGGAGCCCTGTGTCGGGTGGGCCGGATGTGGTAAAGGGGCGTGCAGGCGGTGTAATTTCCCTGATTGCAGCAGGGTGAGTCTGGAGGACTAAACTCTGAAGCTGCGACAAGCGGGTGTGAATGAAATATCGACCCACAGATCGACAGCGGAAGCTCTTGTGCTCCGCTTTGGATCCACGGATGAATCGCTGATAAATGAAACGTGTGAACAGGATTCTGCGGTTATTTCAGTCAGTTTTCCAGCTGGTGAACAAACCGCTGTCTAGTGTCATTGATCCTCTGGTCGCATTATCCCAGAGGCAAAGGGACCCTTTTCTAACCATTTTTTTTCTCTTCAAAACAATGAATCAACTCATCCCTTTGTCACTATGTCAATTGCAAAGTTAACATCTGTATCTTTGCATAATCA